TTGGTTGAATATGAAGAATAGAGTTTTCAGCAAACTCTCAAAGTTGAGCTTGCTCTTCTATTTATAGAGGTCCAGTCCTGAAGTTCTTACGAAACATATCTTTCTAGGCTTCGGCATTTTGTCATGGACAAGATGTCAAATTCAGAGGTTGTTGGCTCATTATAGGATTTTGCCAATGTTGGAGTAGGTTTGGGCCATGGATGAGCATCGTCGAAGTGTTGGTCGAGAATTGGTCGACGCGAATAAGCTTCGTCTGTGAAGTAGATGAATCGCTTCAAGGGAGTCGGATTCCAAGTGAATTGGTCGACGGTGTTCTTGTCGAATTGCACGCAATCCCTCGCAAATAGCCATCACCTCTAGGTGAGTAATATTTCTTTCCGCTCTTATAATTCTACAGCCTGCTCTGATGACTTCTCCCTTCTCGTCTCTTAAAATCCAGCCAATCCCCCCGATGTTTGTATCAGCTCGCCATGCTGCATCTATATTCAACTTCCATGAATTTGATGTAGGAGGTTTCCATCGAGCTCCTGTATTGTCTCCAATTCATCTTGTCAGGTACAAGTCCTTGTTTGTTGACTTTTCTTCTAGATTTGTACTTTGACCTTATATTCCCATAGGAATAAGGTTTCACCAGTAGGGGACAATAAAAAAAGTAAAATGTAAGAAAGAGAATCAAATAAATGAGTTCTAGATGTTTTTTTTACTTTCTTTTTTATTTAGTTATAAATTATTAATTATCAATAAAACACAATTAAGCAATATTGAACTTCAATTTACTAATTCAAATTATTTTCATCAATCTTCATTGTCTTATTCTAACATTTATATCGACGTCGACATTTTGAACTTTGGTTAAAACGCATCAATCTCCGACAAATAATTCGTGAATTTGCCTACATTATTATATTGAAAGAATAATAATAATAATTTAATATTTGATTTGACGAAAATACCTTCTCTTTTTTTCCCTTTATTCTAAGGTCACAGGTCTACATCGTCTGCATATTAATTGATTGAACAAACCTAACAACCGTCCATCTTTAATTCCTATGTTTCTTTTTTTATTCTTTCCTTTTCTTTTATTTTTTGGGTACAACACTTTAATTCATATGTTTGGTTTTCAATAGTTCCAAAATTTAATGCACGTTAATTCAATATACAAAATAGATTCAATTAGTTTTTTTTTTTTTTAAAGGAATTGGTTTTATTAAGAAGAATTAAATGTGGGTACTTTATTGTTGTTGTTGCAACACAATATATAGATAGGTAAATTAAAAATTCAAATACTAAGAATTTGTTGCAAACGTTAAATTACAATTTCATCCCTGTGCTTTAACCCCTAGTTTCAATTGTGTTCCCTATGAAAATTGTCCGATCATTTGACGAGTCCTTTATTGATGGTAAATCAGCTACATGATATTACATTTTATTCTAACTAGTAACAAATAGGTGGGATGTAAAATAACATAGTTTTATTTTAAAGTATTTAAAACATAAAATTTAATTAAATAGTTAAAATGTTAAATAAATAAATACAATTGGTTTTTTTTCTCTCCATATTTACCTCATCAATATTTTTTAATTTTTTATTGAATTTTTTTCTTTGTATCTAACACAAAAGTCAACGTTGCAATAAATCTTATCATTCATTAATATGATCAGTCAATTTGGTGACTAAAATAATTTCAGTGGGAATGGTTACTTGATATTTTTAGCAATTGAAAAACAGAATAACCACGACTTAACACGTATCTCTAAACTTATAGTACAAATAGACAAATCTTTTTTAAATTGAAATTTTAATAATATCTTTATTATTAGATATTTAGAAGGTTATAAGTTATTAAGTTTCAATTTATGCCTTATTTATCTTAATAAAATAAAAAGATAAATTTTACTGAGATTTTATCTTTTTGAGTTTCTTGAAAATTTTAAAATCAAACTAAAAAGGTAAATTTCACTTTTCCGAGAAGAAAAGGCAAAATTTACTGTTAAAATAATACAATACCCATTATATTTTTATTGACATTATTTATAGAGTAATGTTATTAATTTAATTTTATAGTCTTATTTAAAGGAACATTTTGTAGTCTAATAGAAAGTATCCAAACCAAACAAATTAGATAAATTTCACAAAGAAGATAGAAGATGTAGATGTTGTTAGTTTTATATATATATAAATATAAATATCTGGTTAGTTTTTTAAAAAATCAATGTTATTAATTTTCAAGATTTGTTATAATATTGTTGATTTTTGCCCAACATCAGATCAATAATTATTTGTTATTGTAAAAAATATATATATAAATTATTAATTGTTAAAAAAATTCACATGCACCCCTTACGGAAAGAAAAATGGGCAGCAGTAAAGCTTCTAAACTATTGTTATTATTATTATTATTTGATAAAGAGCTTCAAAATTATTTAATTAAATATAAAAATAAAAAGTAAACCTGATTTTGAAAATTATAAATTTTAAAATAAAATACAGTATTAAATATTTATAAATAAAGTTACATGAATTTCAACTCTGACATAGTTGCCATCACAAATATAAAAATTAGCATCAGTTCCGAAAAATCATAAAAAAAGATAATTTAGTAGGCTCCAATGCTTAATTAGCTATGGAGAAATCGCTTTGCAAAGTATCTAGGGTATTAGACGTACCTCTAGGGTTTAGCACATCGCTTTACTTATAAGGGTTTTTCTCCTTCGAGATTTCTCGTGTTGGGATAGCATAGCCCACCATTGATGGAGTTGTTGGATCGTAGGGATTTGTGGACTGGGTCAACTCACATGATGGGAGAGAAGGGACGAGGGCTTGGTCGTTTGGCGAGTCTCGGCCCATGCGGCTTGACCATTTTTTCGCCTTTTCTCGGTCGCTTGGCTCACTTGAACCTCTCCAATTCAGCTCGGCCCACTTCTTCTTACTGACCGAATGTCATCTCATAACATAGTATATGACAAATTAATAATAAATACTATTGTTTTTTTTTTGTGGAAGTAAAGTTTTTATGGCATGAATCAATTTTAGAGTTAAATAAAATTTTGGATTTCCTTTAGATAATGTATTTTTTTAAAAAAAAATTTATAGGATCAGAATGGTCACAAAAATAATTCCAAAAGTATAGTAGATAAATCACATACATTTGACCGTGATTTAATATAATTTGTGTATACGTTTTCACCATAAATTACTTATTTGTCACATGACTAGGTTTTATTTTTCAATAATTAATATATATTTTATTAACATATTTACTAAATTGTGAAAAATATTAAAATTTTGAAAAATTAATTATTTATAATAGTAAATAATAATCCTAAAAATAATTAATACATATTTATTACATTTGTTTAATTCTAAAAATAATTAAAATTAATTACAAAACTGATAATTTTTTCCACAAATATTCAGTTCCCAAATAAGTATTCTTTTATTCTCGATTCTTGAACCAAAAAACAAGGTGAAGATATGGTGGACTAAAAATTTTCACAAGCATGAAAATAGGAGGGTGCATCTCGCTACCACTTCCACACCATTGTCATCTCATAATTTTCTCTCTAAAATGTATTTCCAATATTTCTAACCTTTTAGTTATCAAACGACCCTAAACTATTTATTTTTAATATTACGTCGCAAATGAAGTTATGGAAATTCAAACCTACCCTCTATAATAAAAAGATTTTTCAAATATCTAAATAGTTGGTTGACACACCCAACCATACATTTCTCTCATCAGTAATTCATGCCCACAACCAACAACTAGCTCATGCATTTAAGATAGCTCTTGTTCACTGAAACTTCAAAATTAAAATAAAAAATAAACAGGTTTTAGCATTAATGCCTTAAATTTTTTTTTAAAGAAAAATCTACTTTTAAATCTATCAACATAAATTGTTGTAATAGTATCCATTGTTATAACAATTAAAAATACAATAGTGACCATAAATATAGAAGAGCTCCCAAAAAAAAAAAAGTGGCATGATCAATCTGGTGTGGTTCAATTTTTTCAAATCTACCTGCACAAAATTAAATTAAAATGTGATAAATGGAATGACGATATGGTAAAATGAGGTTACATCGTGGGTTTGAGATATTCAACAAACTGTCAACTCCTTGTGTAGATATATCACTATCTCGCCAACAACAAACATTAGATCAAATCATCATTTAAAGTTGAGAATAAGTACAAAACAAACACAAATATTAAAAGTTTGCGGATTATATATATGAATCTATACTTTGACGTAGATTTTTGTAAGATGCTTCAAATTCATGTATTTTTTCAAAGACATTGAGAAATGTTTTTGAAATTCTGATTGATTTCAAATTTTATTCTTTATCAAAATGATCGAATTTTGTTGGTTTTAACCATGAGATTTCAAAATAAATTATTTATTTAATATTGTCATATTTTAATTTTTGGATGAAAAATCTAAATCGATAAACTTTCTTTTTTTTTCTATCGAGTAACATCCCAACAAAAAATAATTTAATTATAATCATTTCAAATCATTCTCATTCTAAACAAAAAGAAAATAAAAAAATTTAAAATCATTTTATTGGACTTTCTTGACCCAAACACAACTTTAAAATGATAAAAAGTTGAGCATTAAAAGAATTATTTACCAATGAAATTGGTATGGAAACAAAGAAAATCAATACCATAGTTATTCATTGTCAACATCATTTACGATCGGTTCGGTACCTTCAGAATTCTGAGATATTTCAAATTTATAGTGTGAATAGAGAGAATGGATACTAAAACAGTAAGCAAAAATTTTCCCATAAAAAAATCTCATTCATTTATATCGAACACACTTTTTCGATACTTTATCGACATCGACGTATCCAAGGACTTATAGCACGTGGATACTTTTTCCACCAAAATTTTCCTTTGGGGTCCAAACTTTATCAGAAGCCAATAGGAAGGCGACATTTATGATTAAAAGTTATGTGGGACTGTGAAGTGTCAACTGTTTTTCTTCAGAACCATTTAACAATACTTGACGCTTGAGAGCTCTATCTTCAGCAGAGCTCTCTTCAACGGCCGCCATCAGTTCTTCAGATGCTCTCTTCTTCTTTATTGCGCTCCGACCAACGCCCACCTAAAGCATGAATCTCCCCAACGCTCTGAAAGCGAGGAGAAACCTCACTTCGCTGTTTCGTATCATGCTACTGTTCCGCGATCTCCGTGCATTTTGATGAAAACAACGTGAGAAGATTGTTGCTGTGTTATGATGCAAGGTTGAATTCGAAATCTCTTTCCAGGATTACGAGGTTCTTTCTGCTTCTTTTTCTACCTATTTATCTCGCTATTTAGGGTTTTCGGAGCGCGCCATTGCTGGAAACTCTGCTCTGCGTCTCGTGATTGAGCGCGTAGGTATGGATTTGCTGCGGTTTTTTCGGAAATTGTAGGGTTTTTTTTTTTTTGGCGTTTTTAGGATTTCATTGAGTTTTGAACCGTGCTCTTGTATGTTTTAGTTGTGAATTGGTTTTATGGAATTATCGTGCAGAGGAGATGAGATTTAATGGATATTGAGTTGATTGTTTTGTAATGATTGAGTTTTGGACTGATAAAACTCTTCCATGTTCAGTGACTTTGTACTCCTGGTTGCGATTGAGTTCATTGTTTTGTTGCTAGTTATGAAATTGCGTTGATTATCTACTGAATAGGCTTAGAAGTACTAGTGACCATGTAGATTACTTTAGGATTGAAACGAAATACTGGAGAACCATATACTGTTTGAGTACATGAAAGAGAAGTTATTATCTTATATTTCACTTTATCACTACATTCTTATTATTATTAGATAACTGATCAAAGATTCAATCCACCACCCTAACGAAAAATGAAGATTCAAAGCTTTTGGTGATTTAGATATGGTTTAAGATTCCCCTTTTTAAGTAGTAAAGATGCAGGGGGACTCAACTATTAAGTTCAATTGACAGAATAATCAGGCAGTGTAAAGAAACAAAAAAAAACTCCCGTGTGTTAAATATTCTATATTTCTTGGTTTCCCTTTTCTCCACACAAATTTGTCATCTCTGCAGAGCAGACCAGAAAGATAGGATGAGTGGTTGTTAGAGGTTTTACAAGAGACCAGACTGAGGCTCCATTGTGTTTGTTGATTGTGTGGTAGTGGAGGGATTGATGTCGTTCGGGATTTTCCCTTTATGCATATGTATTGTATTTCTTAGCAACTGTTTGTACCAATCTTTCATCATGGTGAATTCTTCTCCCAATGCAATGACTCTTTACACAAAATCTGTGTGTTTTTCTTTTGATCTTTTTGTACTTCTCTTCAACAGTTAACATACATTCATTACTGTTTACAGGATGACTAATGGCAAATATTAGTAAAGATGAGCTTGAATGGATAGAAAGAGTGAGATCAGAAGGAAATGTTCCAACTCTTGGTGCAGATGATGACTATTCCTATGGTTGGGCTTCCCCACCTGGAGACAAGTTCCTGGTGAGAGGTCCAGATTACTTTTCAACCAAGGCAAAAGTTCCTGCTGGCGAATCTCTTCTAAAGCCGCTCGGTTTCGACTGGATAAGAAGCTCTGCAAAGATTGGAGAGATCTTGAACCATCCAGACAACCGTATCGGGAAGGCGATCAAGGACTCTTTTCCAACAGGTCCTAGGCCTTTTATCTGGGCATTTAATATACAACTTCCCTGCAAAGAGAACTACAATCTTGTGGCTTATTTCGCAGCCACAGAGCCCGTAGCCAAAGGCTCTTTAATCGACCAATTCCTCAAAGGTGATGACCACTTCAGAAACTCAAGGCTGAAACTGATTGCTGACATTGTAAAAGGCCCCTGGATTGTCAAAAAGGCTGTTGGGGAGCAAGCCATATGCATCGTCGGGCGCGTTCTTTCGTGTAAATACGTCATAGGAGACAACTTCTTCGAAGTCGACATCGACGTGGGAACAAATATCATGGCGAAGGCCGTGTTTCATCTGGCATTTGGTTACTTCACAGCCCTGACAGTTGATATAGCTTTCCTCATTGAAAGCAAAACAAAGTCTGAGCTTCCTGAAAAAATTCTGGGCTGTTTTAGATTCTCTGATCTGAACCCTGCTTCTGCCATGGCAATGGAGGCATCTAATTCCTTGGACAGGTCTGCTACCAGTTTGCAGCAAGCTTCTGGGGCTACATGGCTGTGGAAATCAATTGGGAAAGGTATTTCTAGCATTCCTCATTCTGGTACTCAAGAAAGTGATTCAATGTTAGAATAATCATAGTAATGAAAATTTGATTGGGAAATAGAAAAAAGAAGGTTAAATTTGAGGCTAAATGTATAATTTATGTGTTAATGTTCGAGACGAAAGTCTTTCCAATATTCGTGAGATGAGAAGATTTCCCCATAACCTATGTGACATTCATAATTATTAATTCATGTTTTATTAGGATGTGAATCAATAAAACCTGCGATATTTAAAATAAAACATAAAAATATTCTTCTTTTGACCAATAAAATAATAGGTTAATTTAACATAAAATTTGGTAACTGCTTGTTAAACGGGTGTTGTCACATTCCTTACACCCAATCAACTCTTGAACCAAAAATCTATTTTTTAGATCGTGTTTCTTTTTTAATTACGTGACCAATCACACCTCGTAAATAGTCCGATGACATTGGTTGCTTTATGTGGTGTGTAGAGAGAGTGGGAGGGGAAACTAATAAAAAAAAAATTGGAACAAGCCTTAAAAATATAAAAATAATATAATTTTCACCCCATTTAAAAATGTTGATTTGAACTTAACTAATTAAGTTAAAGCACAAATGGAAAGGGGAAGATAATGGTTCTATACAAGTACTGATAGTTATTTTTCATTGATACAAGGCGTTTTGAGTAGCAGCCAATTTCATATCATGGTAAAATTTACAGAGAAGGTACGTTGGCCCTAATAGATACCAGTAACCCCAACAGTGTAACATCATTTTTTGACATATACTTTTGTCAATGTAATTAAGAAAAGAAATGCAAGTGGCATGGAATTTTTGAAGCAAGAAAATTGTTGAATTTTTCATCAAATGGAAGCCAACATGAAAGAGTCTAAGAAACAATGCTACCCCCTAACAATAAGAAATAATGCATAAAACATGCACATTTCAACCAAAAGTAACCTAATCCCCAACCCTAAAACTTAAAACTCTCCCACACAATTAGGGCATGCCGTGCCTCTCTCTTTCATAAATTACCAACTATTTCAACTCCTCAATTTGAGACTCCATCCCCCAAAATTTCTCTCACTCTAAAACTTTTTTTGTTTCTCTCTCTAGAAAGAGAATAATTTTTTCTGATGGAGAAGAAAGGGGCAGTGAGGGAGGAGTCTTTCCTACAGCACCCAGTGCTCTTTCTGCTTGTTCTGGGCCTGGGCTTTGTGGTGATGGACCCATTTGAGATGGGCCCTGTTGGGGGCCATGATTTCAGGCCCGTTAAGCATGACATTGCACCTTACAGCCAGGTTATGGGCCGCTGGCCCAAGGACAATCAGAGCCGTTTGGGCCTTGGGAATTTGGAATTTGAAGATGAGGTTTTTGGGCCTGAGTCCTTAGAGTTTGATGCCTTGGGCCGTGGGCCTTACACTGGGCTTGCTGATGGCCGCATTGTTAGATGGATGGGGGAGAATGTTGGGTGGGAGACTTTTGCAATTGTCACAACAAATTGGTAAATTTTCTTTTGCCTTCAAAATCAAAATTTATGTTTAAAAATACCATTATTAGTTTGGGGTTAATTTTCATTTGATTTGGCAAAAAGTACAATAATAGCCTCAATGTGAATTTGTTTCCCTAAATTTTAAAGAGAATGTCAATAGGAACTGAATTGTTATCATCACTCACAAACGTGCTATTTATCTTACTTCGGTCGACCTCAATTATATATAACACATTCAATTTACTGAAGCCCTCCTTCGGCAAAGAAATGAACTTTGAAACACTCATCTTGTACTAGTTGTTAGACACTTCACACTCACCAATCAATTTAACGTAAGGAAAAACGTTCTCAAATCAGGTCAGAAAAGCTATGCGCTCAAGGAGTCGAGTCAACGACGGAAAAACAATGGAAGAAGGAGAAGAAGTGTGGAAGGCCACTTGGGGTAAGATTTGAGAAAGGGAGTGGGAATTTGTACATTGCTGATGCATATTATGGGCTGCTTGTGGTTGGCCCTCAAGGAGGAATTGCCACTCCCTTAGCCACTCATGTCCAAGGAACTCCCATTCTCTTTGCCAATGATCTTGACATCCATAACAATGGTTCTGTCTTTTTCACAGATACTAGCAAGAGATACAATAGAGTGTAAGTATATACATCGAATAATTACCGGGCGTTTTTTCCTCGAGTTTTGATCTAATCTCTCGTGTTTTTACTTTTTTTTAGTTTTGTTATTTTCACTAGTAGATCTTTAAATTAGCTAATGATAAACTTCTATAACATTACTGAAATTTAGATGATAAATTAAGCTACCTAAAATTTTTAAGAGATCGACAGAAATTTCAACTTTTTGTTTCTCAGATCCTTTAATTTTTATTTTAAGAACATTTTTCTTGAAATACTTATAATTATGCATTTGGATACTATTTTTAAAGTTGTTTTTAAGTTATAAATTTGTTTGGTTACGCTGGATTTAGAAGTAATTCTAGCAATCAAAAGTATTTTTTAAAGTAATTTTCAATCCATCACTTTAAAGTTATTTTTTTAATAATAGTCTCTCAATTATTTCTTTAAGAAAAAAAAAATCAATACAACTTTTGTACATGCTCTTTTATTTATTATTGAACATTGTAATTAAAAAAACACTTTTGGTCTTCTAACATCACTTTAAAAACTATACAAAACACACTCTAAATTAATAATTCTCCCAAACATGCTTTTAAAAAACATGATTTAAGGGAAAAAAAACCGCAGGCGCACACATTTTCTTCAAAAATCGTCTCAGACAAACACTAACTATCATGTCTTATAAACTTACTAGTGTATTACCACGTGCAATACACGTAAAATTTTTTTTTAATTATAAGGTAACTTAAATTTTATATAATTTCACGTAAAATATTTTAAGTATAATTATTTTTAAAAATAATTAAGATTAATTTTTATATATATTTATTATTATCGACAGCTAATTACTAATAATAAAATGTACTATTTATAATTAATTGTTAATGATATATTTTGTAAATAAATAAATTAAAAGTAAAGGAAAAAATTATATATTAATAAAAAAGTAAATAGGTATTTTAATATTTTTATTTTTAAATTATTTCAACCTAATATGGATCCTTTATTTTATTTTTTTAATATTTTGTTTGTTTATTAAATATTTGTTTAGAGCTGACATTTTGTTATATATGTTGAATTTTTTAACTAAATATAAATTATTTTATTGATTTAATTTTATATTATAATTAAAATTATTAAAGAAAAAATCTTCAAATTATATTATTAGAAAATAAAATGACCAAAAGTTTATATTCCACCTTTTAAGATTCTATATAAATTATTGTTTATAATTAATTTATTAATTAAACATTTTTTTATGTATTGACTTCTATGATTTTTTTTTTCAACGAGCTTGTAATTATCTATATTTTAAACAAATATTCTAAATAAAATTGCTCAAAAAAGAAACATTCCAAATAAAAAACACACTAATTAGAAAAATAACAATAGTAACAAAAAAAAATCCAAATACTTACTATACACTCATCTTTTAGAGTAAATATGTTCATTCTTGAAGATTGCTTGACATATACTATTATTCAACTTTGTAAAATTGTGGAATGGTAATGTCACAAAAGTATTCGAGATATGTAGATTCAACATATGCCTCCCTTGCAACTTGATGAATATGTCACAAATATCTCGAGACGTTTTCATGATTGAATCATCTTTGAGAGATGTTTGAAGTAACTAAGAATAAAAAAGTATTGAAACTTGTGAAAAACATGTAGAAGAAAGCCTATTTTTATAGTAGTAGAGGATAAAACGTTACAAAAGCCTTTCAAATTCTAAAACTCTTGAAATTCTAGTATGAATTTTAATTAAAGAAAAAATTAATTTTATGTTGTTGGAAAACTTTTTGCATTCTAACCTTTTATATTTCATGCATTTATAGTAATTAATAATTAATAGTTAATTTAATATTTGTAATAATATATTAATGGTATAATTTGTAATTTGTAAATTTAGTAAAGGTCAAAAGTGTCCAAAAATGTTTTTCCTACCTCCTACATTTTTAATATAGTATAGATATCATCTACCAATCTTAAATCTTAACGTTCACCCCTAGAAATGATATAAATTGACAAATATCATGGGACTAAACTATATATTTAGCAAACAATTAATTAAAACCTGTCTTTGATTATTTGTAGGGATCATTTCTTCATATTGTTGGAGGGAGAAGCTTCTGGTAGGCTTCTTAGGTATGATCCTCCAACAAAAACAACTCATGTTGTGTTGGATGGGTTGGCCTTCCCAAATGGGGTGCAGTTATCTAAAGACCATAGCTTCCTTCTTTTCACAGAAACCACTAATTGCAGGTATGTCCCGACGTTTATAATGTTGGAGTGTTTTCTTAGTACAACAAATGTGGGTATGGAAATCGAATTTTAACCATCGAACTCAAAGAAAAAAGTTGCATGTTTTACTGCTAAACTATTTTAACATTTGCTAATTGTACTTTTTTCACTGGTCAATGTTAAAACTAGTCGATGATGAACATACATGAGATGATAGTATGTTGTTGGCACAAATTTTAAGAATAAATTAAGCTACGTGAGAGAGGAAGTTTCTAATTCCTCGTCCAAATTGTCATGACAGTAGTAGAAAATAATTTCTATTTAGGCAACCTATATAATTTTCATTGCTAACAACTCACTAAAGATGTGCTTGACATGCCTTTTAAGAAGAAAAAAAGTGGTCTTTTAAGTAAAACACTCTTTTTAGAATTTCTAAATCCTTTTTCAAAAAGCGCCATCAACTAGTAAAAACATTTACTACAACTCTATGAAATTTTAACCAAACATCGCCAATCCTTAAAAAATATTTTGTCATCCATAGACAATACTTCGAAAGGCACATGAAACACAAACTAAATATCAACACTAACCGACATAAAGAGAGTATAACCGAATAATGCTAAAACTTAAGAGACTAAAACAAATGCTAACAACACGATGTTGTATTGTATATTCTCGTACTAACATCTTGGTGCAGATTAATGAAGCTATGGCTAGAAGGGGCGAGAAATGGGAAAGTAGAGCTCCTAGCGAATCTTCCAGGCTTTCCAGACAACGTAAGAAGAAACGAAAGAAATGAATATTGGGTAGCGATAGATTGTTGCAGAACTCGAGCTCAAGAGGTTCTAACCCACAATCCATGGATAAGAAGCATCTATTTCAGGTTGCCATTGAGAATGAGCTTCTTGGCTAGGCTAATGGGGATGAGAATGTACACTGTGATCTCTCTGATCAGTGAAAATGGAGAGATTTTAGAAGTTCTCGAGGATCAAAAGGGAGATGTTATGAAACTGATGAGTGAAGTTAGAGAAGTGAAGGGGAAGCTTTGGATTGGGACTGTGGCTCATAATCATATTGCCACTTTGACTTACCCTTTGCAAATCAACAACAGTAATTCAACTTAGATTATTAGTCCTTTGGTTTATTTTTCTTTCAAGTTTGGTGAAATGATTTGGAACCATTTGGCTTTGTTGTTGATATTTTGATGAACTAGTGATTTGGGATGCTTCTTTTGTGTGGTGTGTGCTGGTGTTGTAGTTGTAGATGGTTTGGTATTCTCATTCCTAACAAAAAAAAAAATTAACTCTTGATCTTCTTCTTAAAGTAAAATAGAAAAAGTAAGCGGCAAAATAAAGAAATAGAAAAAGTAAGCGGCAAAATAAAGAAATATGTGAAAGTAGTGTTAACAATCTTAATTTTAAAAAATATAAAACCAAAAACAAAATGGTCATCAAACAGGTTCTAAGAAATCGACTAAATCAACTAGGGCCCATCAAAAACATTGTTTTAAGATCATCTTTGTTCTCTCTATGACGCTTTAGGCTTGTTATCCAAGAACTTGTTCAGAAATACTGTAATGAAAGGAAGATAGGAGTTTGTCGCTAGGTATTTGACCAAATAGGATCATCCAGTTCCTATAGAACCTATCACTAAAATACCCTTAGAGGGGGATAGGGCTAAACGGAGCGAAAAGAGTTTTCCATGAGATGAGAAATGAAAACTATTAACCCCACACGAGGTTTGTGAATAAGTGATTGATAATAAACAAGGAATGTCCGTCTTTCTACTAAACAGGATGTATTGAACTCATAATTCATTAGATACTTTTCATGAATGTCAACTAAGTATTTTTTATAATAAAAAAGAGAATATCTACCGAATTGAACTGTTGTTCATTTCAATTTGAATTAGGAATTCAACAGACAATACAAGCAATTATTAACTATATATACATTTGATGGTATCTAATACCATTATGTATTACAAATTACTATAAAGTAGGAGGGTTTTAAATGCGAGATCTAAAAACATATCTCTCCGTGGCACCGATATGCTCAAGACTCTACGATATGTTATCGTAAGCAATCGTACACAGAAAAGAATAAGTTTTGCAAGAAAAACTCAAGTGTAACAAGATAAAAAAAATAAAAATAAAAACTATTTTGGCCATTCAAATAGTCACATATGCTTCTAATAGGATAACTACTAGGGTTGATTCATTCACTTTTGTTTCTACAATAGTCCAATATTCTTTAGATACAAAAATTTTCTATTAACATATGCTCAAATACTCATAAAAATCAGCAAAGCAACTCTCTACATAGCCACATTTTCGGTTCAGAACACGACTCTTCCAAAATCTTGAAGTTGGTCATATGGACAGCTTTCTTTTTCTTTTTTATTTGTGTGGTGAAGGCAACCAACCTAGTGTATTCTTTTTTAAAAGTTAACCTAATTACACATCTTTGGGATATTGGGAAATCCAATGAGGAAGCTTTTTTTCTTTTTCCTTCTAACAAATAAGTATAAGACTAGAAACTAACTTGGGGTGAATTGCAACTCATGTCCCTTCTACCGCAAAGTGAAAGGAATCTATCAGAGTGCAATAGCAAGGGACATTTCTGAGTCAAAGTTGATCCTTCATAAGCTTCTTTCAGAAATACTGTACTCCTCACACCTTTATTAGTAATGTAGAAGATCCCATGATGATTTAATAAGCATAGCAAAAGTTTTGATGGTAGAAGAAACTCTCGGTGAAACGCATCCAATTGTGTTGATGTCATTCTCTTTTCCGTCGTCATGCTCATAAACTCGTGAAGAACTGCGACCACTCTCTTTCTGGCCTTTGGATCAGAAGCATCAAATCTCCTCGCATTCAAGTAGGGTGAAGGAAACTCCATTTTCTGCCACCTTTCAAGATGCTCAAGATAACTCATGTTTGGCCTAAAGCCTGGAGGAAAACACATTTTGAATGCAAATGGACCAGCAAAGTTACCATCTTTTGAGATTCTAACTCTTTTTCCACACACACGAGATGCCATAGCTCCCGCTCCAACTTCAGCAAATCTTCCCTCTCGAGCGGTGATTGCGAGTGAAGAATCCCAATTTTCCAACTGGAGGTGGGCTTTACCATTAACTTCCTTCACTGAAAAGAATTCAGGGTACTTGGGAATTAATGAAGTTTTGAAGTCACAAGGCAAACCCAATTCAGAAGCAATGAATTCAATACTTTCAAGCGGTACTTGACAATCAACTGACAACATTAACAGCTTCCTCAAATTCTTTACTAAGACGGGTTCCATTGCACTCCTAACATTAGCTTCTTCACTAGCAATCTTTTCAGCTTTATTGGTTAGCCTAACATAAGGGGGGGTTCTACTACCTCCAGAATCGACGTAAAATATAGAAGGGTACTTCTCAATAACAGCCATGAAGTTCCATTTCTGCACAAATCCGACTTCTTTCTCCAAGTCCCGTAGAAGTACAAATTTGTGTTTTTGAGATTGAATAATGTTTATAAGCCTTAGTATAAGAGATGGCTTTTTCTGAAAGTCCATGACTTTGTCAAGTTCACCAACTCTGTAATATATTTTTCTCTTAGGTCTCATTCCACCACTAGATTTGTGCCTCACCAAGACCCATGTAGAAGCTAACTCCTTGTGATCGAGAACATGTATTCCCAAAATTGGGTTAAAGTTGAGGTATCGATTTAGGCCTAAGAACAAAGATTTTCCATGCATTTTAAACCCTAAACCCTGTAGGAACAAATTTTGAAACAGTGTGCGGGCAAACTTGAAAAGCCCCTCATCGGACCATCCTACATCAGATCCAGAGCTATAAACTCTTTCATCTTAGTTTGTAAAATGAAAACCTGATGAACCAAGAATGAGTTCGGGTAGGTGCAAAAGAATACCTGCAAAAAGAAGAGGAGAGGACAGACGAATTCGACGATCCGGCGCGAGAAGACGTCAGACGAGGGGAAGGCTAGGGTTTCTGAGCAACGACCATTATCGATTTTGAGGAGACAAAGACGCTGTAGTAGACGGAGCTTCAACACTCACAAAGACCGATCTGCCGTCATCTATGGCACTCCACCGGCCGCCAGTCTCCCACGGACGCTCCACTATTGTTGTCCATCCAAACTGAGGTTTTTCCCTTGAAGGGTAGGTTTTTAGTTCCTTTTTGGTTATGTCTTGAGAGAAAAAAAAATTAAAATTAAAATTTAAAAGTTAAAAAATTAAAAAGAATACTTTTGGCGGATGTGCATTGCTAAAGTAATAATTTAATCTCTGATATTTAGTTGACGACGATTTAGTATTATATTTTTAAATTGGTAACAGTTTAGGCCTTGAAAATAATTTAGTCCTTGTAATATATATATAGATGAACTAAAGAGAGACCAAATAGTTTTATAAATTAGAAAGATTAAATTATTATAGGATAAAATTTGACACTTAATTTTAATAAATTTTTTTACAAAGATTAAATTATTACAAATTTTAAACTACATAATTAAATTGTTACAAGTTAAAGTTGAGAGACTAAATTGTTACTTTAGAAAATTAATTTAGGATGAGACTAAATTATTACTTTAATAAAAATACAAGTTCCAAATATGTTTTTTTTTTTTAAATTAATTTAGCCACGCCTTGAGTACAAGGTGTGTTTTGGGTAATAATAAAAATGGTCTTAGGGATAATTAAGGACATTATTAGGGTATTGAGCATACTTTAGTAATTGAGCAAGTACTTACGAATACTTTGTATGGTTAGTTATTGTAGTTCCATTATCTTTTATATTAGCTCGCATAGTCATCAGCCAGTGCCTATAATTCAAATAAAATAAACTTAGTTTATAAAAGTCATTAAGATTAAACTCTCAAATTCTTCAACCAGCTAAAGCATTCAGGGTTAAGTTCCAAAACAACGAGATTGAGTTCAGTTGATACAATCCCAAATTGGGTACACGACCAAACTACAATCCATTATGCCTCTCTCTACAAGTATGATCAGGAAGTACAAACACGGTGCAACAAGTAGATTCAAATACTTCAAAATCAACAACAAATAAATGGTAACACCTAATTCTCAGATTTTCATACCGGCTGAGAGGATGGTAGATGATGTTAATGATCCCACGTTGAAAATAAAAGAAATTTAACAATGGTTTATAATAAACACGAGCTACTCCTCTCATTGCGAATTGGTTTTGAGATGAAATCCCATGAACATTAATAGATGAGAAAGGTTGTCCACACTGATAGACTGTTACTTGTAGAAATTATAAACTGCAGTGACATAGTAAGAAGAAGATGAAAATAAAATAACCTTTAAGAAGAATAGGAAAAAAAAAACATGTCTCGACGACATGAGGGAAAAATCCCCCAATGTCGATGTCGACACCTTAAGGGATTAAGACCTGTAAAATCAGTTGAAGATGATAAGATCTATTCCAACTTTCGACATTTTGAATCTTAATCCAAACATCCCTGAATTCAAGTATGGTAAAACAATATTTTAACGAGCAAAAAATATTGAGTAAACTCGTCTAAAGCACCTTCTTGCTCACCCAACCAAAGATCTAGTACCTGTACTTTACAGGGCGTGCAAACGAAAGCAAATTAATATAGAAAGTAAAAAAAAAAGAAAAAAAAGCTCGATAAATTCTGATCCCTATTCAAGCTACCGGGAAAATCTCGCCGGAGAAAGAAACCAAGATGCTCACAGATTCCAATATAACGTTGGAGAAGCAAGGGGAAACTCATAAATTAAGACTTACGGAAAAGCTGGACAGTGATGGCGTCGGGAAATTTGAGGGGCCTTCTGCTTCTGCCCTTGCAAAACTGCCCTAATCATTTGTTATTCTTTGATGCAATATCAGTGTGCACCATGAAAACAGAACAGGAAATTGGGGAAAACCAAGACAACTTCGAACGGGTTAAAGACTTGTAACATCAATTTTTAGTTTATATAGATTGTTATGACTATCGAAAAACAAACTTCCCCCAAATCTTCTCGAAATTGGAACCTCCACGTGAAAACCTCGATCACGACGGCGGTAAACTCCGAGGCGACGAACACGGCGAACGAAATCCAGAAGGAGATGAGATTGCAAAAAGAGGCGAAGATTTGAGACCGAAATTCTACAGAGAACTGAAGAAGGGTGGGGACTGGGGAGGTGTGTTCCTTCATTTTTCTTTCTTTTTTAAAGCCATAAACCGATCCAACTGAATCAATCCGATCTTAAACCGACCCGTATATGTATCTATGACCGTTTTTAATCTTAATACCAAAACGAGCCTAAGTGATATATATTTCCAACTAATAGACCGTGAATTCCAATTTCGTGAGTTGGTTTTGATTTGATTGGTTTATTTTTTGTTTTCTTTTTCTTTTTACCTTTAAAATTCTGTTTGATTTCGTAGGTTTTATTTTTTTTATTATTTTTTTGTCTTTTATGATTCTATTTTAATTTCACTTAATTTTATATTTAATATTGATAATTTAAATAAGTTCATCAAATTTAAATTTAAAACAAAAGTATCAAAATATTTAAAATTGATAATTTAAATAAGTCCGTAATGACGATAGAATGTTAAAACTTAAAATTATATTTATTTATACAAATTAATTATAAATTTATGATGGTACTTTCAATATAATTAATAATAAAATTTCAAAAGTTTTAGAATTATGATAGTTTTATAGTTTCACTTCTACGACTATATTAAAAACTCCATCTCTTTATTATTATTATCTTATAAAGAATTTGTTAATTTTCTGTATAGTGTTATTTCTTTATTGATCAGTAATAATAATATTTCTTTTATAAGTTGATATATACAATAATCTCAATTGCATAAATGTTTATCTGTTTAATAAAATTTATCGTAAATGTTAAGTCACTTTTGCAAATCTACATAAACAAATATTAAATACCTCAATTGAAAAATAAAATAATATGAAAACTTATGGATTAACCTCTTTTTACGTTCTTACCTCCAAAATTTTTTATTTTAAACTTTTATATATATAATCTTTTAATTATAAGAAATCAAGAATAAAAATTAGATTAAAACTACCAAAATTGTGTAATTTATATATATATTTTTTGAAAAAACGACAAAGATTAATTAAAACTACAAACTAAATTTTGTTATCTTCCTTCTATATAAATTTTTTTCCTGTCTATTATATATAATTTTTATTTCAATTTTGCAAAGTCTAAAGAAGTTGACAATTTGAAAATTGATTATCTAACTTACATTTTATCTTTAACTTCATATGTACTATTAATTTCAAGCCTATTATGAATATAATAGTATGTATATGAGAGACTATTATATATATAATAGTTAGTGGAAAAATCCCAATATTTTGTATACATTGCTTATTGAGCATATTTTTGAATTTCACATAACTTGTTTGAATCGAACAACTTAAAACATAACGTGCTAAAAGACTAGTATATAATAAGACCATTTTAAACTAAAATCATGAATTTTAATAACATAATAAAAAAATCTCAAAGTCAACCTATGTTAATCGACCATATCATCAATTAGAAGCGTTTTGGTATTGAATTTTCCAGAGCCAAGTTTTTTTTTCCACACATTTAAGTTGGAATCGAATTTTTGCATAAAATAAAAGACCCATAATTTTGTTTATTAACGGTCAATTTTAATTTTTTTATTTGTTTTTTTTATCAAAATTTTTTATTTGTTTATGTATGTACTTTCTTCTAATAAAAAATTATACAACCCTTTTTTTAAGTTAACGTGATTTTATTATTTATCAATTATCAATATTAAATAAATGATTCTAATAAATAGATTAACAACTAATAAAATAAAATTTCTTATTATTTTATTTTAATAATAATATTATTATTTTAATTTAAAATAATATTAGCATAATTTTGAGTGAATAGTATTCGTAATTAATTAGCTAGAAATAAGAATTATATATTTATTCCTATTCTAAATCACACAATTTTAGTTAATAGTCTATGATTAATAGTAAAAATATAAAATAAATAACACTTTCGATTGATTTATTAATTTTTAATTCCTATTATTGTAACAAACCCTTATTTTATCCCGTTGATCTTCTCCTTCTACAACACTGTGAAAAATTATCTGTTTTATTTTATTTATTTATTTATAGTTCGAGTTCCTTCTTGAACTTACTTTTTGACAAATTTCAGATTTTTTTTCTCTCTTTTAACGAACAAAATTTTCAGATTTTGATATAAGGGCATTCAACCCACCCCATTCCCGCCGGTTTCGGTTTCTGCGCTCTTTTTCTCCGGCGAGTCGCGGCGTTGATCGTAAAAACAATGCTCCTCCGCCTCTGTAAACTCTCCCTCCGCTAACCATGGACGCGATCCTCTCCTCCGCCGTCGAAGAAATCTGCTCACAAGGTCAAAACGGACTCACTTTCCGCAATCTATGCTCCAGGCTCCAGCCCTCTCTCTCAGATTCCGGCCTCGACCTCTCCAATGGCGTCAAGGCCGCCCTCTGGACCCAATTACTACGCGTGCCCTCCCTGCAATTCCAAGCCGACAAGGTGGCATACTCTGCTAAGGACCCCTCGGTTCAGTCCTTCGAAGATGCTGAAAGGTTGAATTTGAAGATCGTAGCTGAGGACCATTTGAGGGATAGCTTTGTAGGGCTCTACAATGTGCGATCAGCCGGTTCCAACATGTCCGCCCCTCAGCGACGTGTCCTTGAGCGCCTCGCGATTGCTAGGTTCGTTGTGATTACGCTTGTTTTTTGCCTCATTCTGTAGTCTGCATATGATTTTGTATTTTGATGAAATCGAGTTTGTTTATTTGTTTTGATGTGATGTTTTTCTGTTTACGTTTACTGAGTCTCACTGATGGATAAGTATGATTAAAGTTCATGGGCATGCTCATATATTAGGTGCAATTCGTACTTCTTGTCACCCATTTGATCTTTTTAGTATCAATCTCCTTGTTTTTGATGGGCCAAGTTATGCAATTTTGGAGATATATGTATTGTGATAATCTCTATATTTGTTATTTTCTTAAATGGGAGATGAAAATGAACTCGATAGTCATCAATGGTTTCAAAGATGGGCGTCCAAACTGAAATGTCAAATGTTTCTCTGCAAGTAAGACACATTCTGATTTAGTTGGATTATAAGACTACCACTATAATCTCATTTTGGTAGTCTGGATGGAGCCCTTGTATACCCTTGTTTTATTATTTTCCTTGGTTAACAGAAATCTTGTTTCTATGTCGAAAAAGAAAAAGAAAAAAAATATTTATTTTCAAATATTATAGTAACAATATATTATTTTCAAACAAATACTAATCTGATTAATACTCTAATTAGTAATTAGGTTGACATTTTATAGTAATTTAATTTAGTAAGTAATAAACGTTATGTTGTACTGTAATTAGCTAGGCAAAATAATATCTAATAGATCACTTGCAGAAAAGATGGAGTGACCCAAAACCAACTTGCTAAGGAATTTGGAATTGAAGGAAGAAACTTCTTTTATGTAGTGAAGAGCCTTGAGTGTCAAGGGTTAATTACAAGGCAATCTGCAGTTGTTCGAACTAAAGAAGCTTTACATACTGGGGAGTCGAGAAATATTCCAATCGTGAGTACTAATTTGATGTACTTGCACCGATATGCAAAGCATTTGGGCTGTCAACAGAAATTTGAGATTACTGTGGAAGAAAATAATTCTGAGCATCTTGAAGATCCGATGGAAAGTGCTGCTGTTGAAGATGGTTTGCCTGGAAAATGCGTTCAAGATGTGCTTGTGAAGGACTATTTGCCGAAAATGAAAGCTATCTGTGATAAACTTGAGGCAGCCAATGGAAAGGTGCACTTTCTGAATGTTTTGCAGATATGTCAGTGATTTAATTATGGTGAATAGATTTGGTGATGGATATCCCAGTTAAGCTTATTTGATAATCCTAATTGCATTATTCTTTTTGCTGCAGGTTCTTGTTGTTTCTGATATTAAGAAGGATCTTGGTTATACTGGATCTTCTTCAGGACATAAAGCTTGGAGAGAGGTTGAATTTATTTGCATTTTCTGCCTTAACGCTTTTAGCTACCAAATATTTGTTGTTAAATTATTTCTTATAGTTCCAATTTCTAAACTTTTTTGCTGCTCAAAATATGCTGCCAGGTCTGTAACAGATTGGAAAAGGTTCGCATAGTTGAGGTGTTTGAGGCTAAAGTAAACTATAAGGTAGTTTTGGTTTATTTCTTTTCGAGCACGTATTCATAATATTACAACATTTTCTATTTAATTCTTTCAACATAAACTTTTTTCATTTCTTCTTTAATTATCTGTGAAACAATGTATCATTTTTTTTATTGTTTTTTTTTAATCCTCCCTGCCAACTTTTGTACCGTTTTACCAATAAATACTATGTATGTTATCCATAAAGCACACTTTTGTGTGGGAATTATTTATGTTTTCTAGACAAGTGAAAAAATCTTTTATTTTTTCCACAAGAAAACACGATATTTGAGAAGTTCCATAAGAAATTACAATGAAACTCCCTTTTGGTGAATAATAAGCAGCCCAAAAGAAAATGCATAAATTAATCACACAAACCCAACAACCCCCAATGGGCAGCCCAGCTGTCAAAGGCTTGGGGTTTCTTGATCGTACTAGCTTTGAGATCTCAAATTCGAAGTCTTTGGTAGCTCAATACCAAAAACCCTTGTTATCTCCCGAGTTTGGGCCTTGGTGTGGGTGCGGGTGCCCCTGGGTGTAGGGGAGCAAAAGCCCCGACTCCCAATTATCAAACAAAAAAAAAATCACACAAACCCAATAGAAATTTGTACCAAAAAAAAACCCAACAGAAATTATTTCTTAAAAAAAGTACCCCAATATGATTAGATATCAAAAGATGAAAATTTGCTAAAGTCTCCGGGTAGAGCACACCATGAGGCCCAAAGTGTTCATTCAGATTAAAATATTTCATCCCACTGAGCTATTTTGCCTTTGAAAATTAATTGTCTCCTTGAGTTGTTTATTTCCTAGAATATATGAAATTTTGATGAAGAAAGAGACTTATTTGTGGGAGAAGTATCGGATATGTATTCACAGTCTTGGTTTGAAGAGGCTTAAAGGATGATGAATTGGAATGCTGTAATCTTATGCAAATGTTAGATAAAGTGGGACTTAATGGAAGAGCAGAAAAGTGCAAATTGAATTTAGAAAAAGATGGGAAATTTTCTGTTTAATCATTTGTAATTCACTCACATAGTCACATGAAAGTTCCTCTTTCTCTAAATCATTTTTCTGACATTGGAAAAAAAGTCATCTTTCTAGAAATAAAGAAAAAGAGGAACTTTCACGCGCATTCTGCCTCTAGCAAAGATTATGCCAGAAAGAGCCTATAGCAAAGATTGTGAAGCATGAGGACTCTAGCAACTCCACCCACTTAGTCGTTCCTATGGGTAACAAAAAGTTAGATGGTCTTCCTTTTAGAAGATTTTTCTTGGTCTTCCTCGCCGTTCCTCTTCCTCACCCACAACCTCTCCTTCTTCCAAAAAAAAACAAACACTCTATGCTGGCTGCCCTCATATTCCCTTTATTAAGTTCTTCGCTCAAGTTCGAATCCTCCTAGCTGTCTCCTCTGAAATTTCATTTAATCCTTCCAATCACCCACCACCCCAACCCATGTCTTCCACCTCTTACTCCAACAGCCTTCTTTAGTTTGTTTGATTGTGGTTCAGAGGCACTTCTTGTTTGACGACTAGCCACATGTTAAAGAGGCCCACCCAAATTCTAATACCCCCTGCTGGACCCCTAGCCCTTTCCATTCGAATAAAGCTAATATTAGTTGTGTGAATCAGGACCAAGCTAGACATCTATGCATTCAAGGCGGATGGTAAATTATGGGATCCTTTGTGCTTTCTTTAAAACAATGGTGCCCAAGCAAACATGACAAGCCATCCTACATGCCTTCTTGTGGCAGGTGGATACAAGTTAGAAACATTCCCCCTTCACCAATGGCATTTGGGCACCTTCATACAAATTGGAAATGCATGGGGTGGCTTCATGGATTGTGCCAAGAAGATGTTATTGAAACTTGACATCATGGGAGCTCCGATAAAAGTCAAGTTCAACCACTAGCTTCATCCTAGTAGAGGTTCTCCTAAAGGCCCACCCAAATGATTCTTTGAGTTTCAGCTTTATGGCCTTGATCTATGAAGCACAACATATGATCACAAAGTTTGCTAGAAGCCACGATTCTTTTTTACGAGATGCTGTAGTGGACTTTTTCAGTTCGTTGCCCTAGGATCCAAACCCGACTCTACCTTCGTTTCAATCCCTTAGTACACCATTTAATGCACCTCAAACAATTCAATTCTGATCCCTCTCTTCCTCCCTTCGGATTCTACTTTGGTAAAAGCTTTAGAATTGGCCTGTTCTTTGTTTGTTCTTAGCCTCATTGAAAGAATTATATCTTGGTTCATTAAGAATGGAAATTAGCAGTTGTCGTATTGATGGTTCCTTTTTCTGTATTTGGTTTGAATATGACATGTTCATGGTAGAGGATGTGGAAAGGACGGTTCAGGTGCCTCTATACTCTTCGCAATTCTTATGGTTCGAAGGTCATATGAAGGAAGTTACTCAATAACCGATTCATGCTTCATTATTCTTTCAGCTGCTTGATGATCTGGGATAGTGTCGAGTACAAAAATTTAGAATCAAAGGTCTTTGGTTTCTGGAACGGGTTGTATGGCCTTCCACTGGAGGTCGTAAGAGTGCTCTAGTACCTGCTGGTGCTAAAAAGGATGGATTGCAGGTATTCTGGAAGATGCTGAAAACGTTCCCAGTCATGTTATCAGAAGCTCAAGAGCTAAAGATGGTAAGGAATGTTAGCTATATTGATGGTAAGACTGCAACCGTAGCAGGAAAGTAAAAAAATCTGGGAACCATCAAAAGAGTACCAAAAATGCCCCAAAGTATTGAAAGAACTTATGCTGACGTTGTAGCTGGAAAGGAAAAGAATGTACCTGCTAGGCCTTTAGGTGTAATTTGTAAAATTGCAGAGGAGTCAAGGATGATTAAAACAACAAATGTTCATACCTATTGGGTTAAAAAAGAAACAGAGGTTCTGGGTTTGGATTGGAATCGCCTAATGGTAATATCAAAGGGATGTGCACGTGTTGATTGGAATGAGATTACCAAGGTTTTAAAAGAAAAGTTCTTGCTTGACTGCATGATAAATCTTATAATGATTGATTAGGGACTTTTGAGATTTACAAATGAGAAGATACTGAAGCTTTGTGAGCTTTATGGCAAGTGGAGGAAGATAGGGAATTTTCATCCGAAATTAGAAAGGTGGAATCCTCACCTCACCTGCGTAATAGAAGTGAATTCATTCATGGGTATGGTGGTTGGATAACCATTAAGGACCTACCTTTGTATTATTGGTCTCGTGCAACTTTTGAAGCTATTGGAAGACATTTTGGTGGTTTGCTGGAAATTTCTTCAAAGACACTTAACATGTTGGATGCCTCAGAAGCCTTCATTAAAGTTAAACCTAAATATTGTGGTTTAATTCCAACCACAGTGACAATCGTTGATGAAAAATATGGGTCCTTTGAGATTAGGGCTTCAGCCAATTGTCTTCCATCTTCAGTTGATTCATATGTTTCAAACCTGGATTACAAGACACTATCAAACCCTTTGGATGTTGAAAGGTTTCGCAGAATTTCGGAAGATGAACAGTCAGATCTTATAAGGAATAATTTGGAAGCTGAAAAGTTGCAGGATGTTGAAGAAAATTTAATTATGGGAATTCAAAAGGACGCTTCAGAAGGAAACCCTAATCCGCCAACTCGAATTGAGGATTCAACAAAAATAGGGGTGATTAATGAAGAAAGAGACTCAATCGTGGAAGAGCAAGGATCTCCCTTAGTTCACGCAGTTCATTCACTGGGGAAATAAGATCTCCATTCAAGGAGCGTGGTTTTGAGGAGGTAATAACGGGGATCCTATTGTATGAGCAGGCGGAAGATGAACCGATTTTTATGACAGCTGATAGGGTGAATTTACGTCGCCCTAACTTTGATGCAGAGATGTTGCCAAAAAGGAAATTTATTCCAGCCTTGCCCTTTCACTATACGAGGAGAAAATTCTCTGCAAAACTAAGAAAGGGCTTTGATTCTCTAAATTCTGTTGGGCTAGCCCCTTTAAATCTAAATCTGGAAGATGCTTTTAATGAGGAAAGAGAACAAAATCAATCAGGGGAATTTGATTTGAAAAATAAATCTATTCCTCCCGGAGTCAAGGATCTGATTACTTTTAATATCGATAAGTCTTTTTCCCTTGAAAAAATTAAAGATGGTCAGGCCACGAATAAAGAGGTTCTGGGGGCTACATCTCTTACATCGGGCTGTATTAACTCCACAAATATGCAGTCGAAAAACCAAGAAGAAGACTGTTCTGATATTGAGGATGACTTTAATGGAAGTATTAGCAACCCAGATTACTCTTATCATGAATTGGAAGATAAAGAGATGAGTAACTTCGACTATTCTAATTATTCGTTTGGAAAAGATCTTAATAATCTCTGCGATATCACTGAGAAAGTTATAGTTGCTTCCCCTGTAGAATTGATCAATAAGTCTAATCTAGTGGAATCTAAAGAGAAACAATTCGAAGCTTCTTATAGTGTGCATATCCCCCTTATTTTGCAGCTGTAGGGATCTCTTTGTCCCCTATTAAAACAATAGCATGAAAATAATCTCATGGAACGTTCGTGGCCTTAACAATTACAAGAAGAGACTCAAAGTCAAGAAGACTATTATGAAATACAATCCAGATGTGGTTCTACTGCAGGAAACCAAGCTTCAACAAGTTGACCAGGATATTATTAAATCCCTTTGGAGCTCTAAAGATGTATGCTGGGCGTGTTTGAACTTGGAAGGTAGATCAGGAGGCATCTTATCTTTATGGGATGAAAGTAGAATCAAGTAACTGAAGTTTTGGAAGGCATTTGCTTAGTAACTATAACAGTATCCTTTTCCCACTTGAATAATGTGGTGATAAAAAATGTTTATGGTCCATCAAACAATAGAGGCAGAAAACGACTGTGGTCCGAACTCAGGGATATCGCAGGCTTCAGTGAGAAATTATGGTGTTTGGGAGGTGACTTTAATGTCACAAGATGGTCTTCTGACAGATCTTCGGGAGGTCGTATTACCAGAAGCATGAAGAAATTTAACCGTATCATTGAAGAGTTAGACCTATTGGAGGTTCCTTTATCAAATGGTAAGTTCACATGGTCAAGAATGGGAGACGATTCTACACACTCACTTTTGGACAACTTTTTTCTTTCCAGAGAATGGGATAATTTGTTTAACACCTCACCCGGTAAGTAGAGGTGAGAGAATAACATCAGATCATTTTCCTATTATCCTAGACGCAGGGGATTATAATTGGGGTCCTTCCCCATTTCGCTTCTTTAACTCTTGGCTTGAGAATAAAGAGTGTGTTCGCATAATTGAATCCAAACTCTTGGAGGATCGTTCTTATGGGTGGACTGGTTTTGTGATATCGTCAAAGCTAAGAAATCTTAAAGCTGTGCTAAAACAGTGGAATGTTCAAAATGAAAAGATGCAGAAAGAAAAAGAGGAGAAAATTGTGTCAGAAATTAATCTTATTTATACTAAGGATGAGATGCTTGGTCTCTCTCTAGCAGAGGTCGAAAATAGGTGTGTATTGAAACATAAATTGCTGTGCTTGTATCTGTCCGAAGAATAAGTTATGTTGCAAAAGTGTAAGCTTCATTCGCTTAAAGGGGCAGACGAAAATAGCAAATTTTTTCATAGATACTTGGCTGCCCGTAAAATAAAAGTGCTGATTTGTGAATTGAAAGATGAATCGAACGGTTCATTGGTAAATCAAAGGGAAATTGAAGCTGAAATCATCAGGTTTTTCGAGTCTCTATACAGCAGTGAGGGAATCCAACGATTCTCCTTGAAGGGTATTAAATGGAGACCAATTTCTAGCCAAAACAGTAGCTGGTTAGAAAGGTCTTTTGAAGAAACAGAGATATCGAGTGCTATTAAGAATCTTGGGAGAAATAAGGCTCCGGGGTCGGATGGTTACACGATTGAGTTCTTCATCCGTTTTTGGCAGAGGTGGAAAGGAGATTTTGTGAGATTCTTCACGGAATTTCATACGAGTGGCCTAATTAATGCTTGCCTTAAGGACAATTTTATTTGTCTGATTCCTAGGAAGGAAAATGTGGAGAAAATCAAGGATTTCAGACCCATTAGTCTCACTCCTACATACAAAAGCCTAGCCAAAGTCCTTACAGAGAGACTAAGGCATGTTATACCCAACATTATCTCCTTAAATCAAAGTGGTTTCATTGAAGGAAGACAAATTTTGGATCCAGTGTTAATTGCAAATGAATTCGTAGACTTCTATAGAACTCAGAAGAAAAGTGGCTGGATTCTCAAGCTTGACATTGAAAAAGCCTTTGATAGGATGTCCTTGTTGTTGTTCTTAATATGAAAGGATTTGGAAGTAGGTGGATTAAGTGGATAAATGGATGTATCAGAGGCAATAAATTTTCAGTATTTATTAATATTTAATAGGAGGCCGAGAGGGAGAATACAAGCCTCTCATGGACTTAGGCAAGGTGACCTTCTTTCAACTTTTTTTTTTTTTTTTTTTAATTAGTGATGTGTTAAGTGGCCTGTTGGAAAACGATTGTGAAAAGGGCATTTTTTTGAAGGATTTACACTGGGAAGGGCTGAGGTGCAACTGCATGTCTCCCATTTGTAGTTTGCAGATGCCACTTTGCTTTTTTGCAAAAATGACGATGTGATGTTAGAAGCTCTCTTTGATACTATTAAAGCCTTTGGGTGGCTTTCGGGTTTGAAGGTGAATTGGGATAAATCTTCATTGAGCGGGGTCAATATTGACTCCCAAAAGGATGCATTGACGGCCAAAAAGTTCAATTGCAAACCTGAATCTCTTCCTATTTTATATCTTGGGCTGCCTTCGGGAGAACCCGAAATCTGCAGATTTTTGGAATCCTATTATGGAAAAAACTATGTAGAAGCTCGCAAGGTGGAAGAGATGCCAACTTTCAAGAGGTGGTAGATTAACTCTTTGTACATCAGTACTTGGAAGCATTACTTTGTATTATATTTCTTTATTCCAAATGCCGACAATGGTATGTAAGAAACTGGAAAAGTGTATAAGGAACTTTTCCTGGGGTGATAATCTGAAAAGTTCTGTGAATCATCTTGTTAGATGGGATACTGCATCTCTATACCAAGAAGATGGTGGATTGGGTATTGGCAACCTTACTCAAAGGAATGCATTGCTAGCTAAATGGGGATGGTAAACATGTTCTATTTTGGCATCATCTATGGTTAGAGCAATCCTTAAAGATCAGTTTACTGCCTTGTTTCGGGTTGTTTCTTTCCCCTCTACTTCAGTTCATGAGGCTTGGGATCTGGTTTCTTCTTCTTGGAGAACTGAAACTAGAAGAAATCTTAAAGATGAAGAATTTGACGAGTACTTGATGCTCTTGTCAGATATGAATTCAGTTTTTTTTGCAAGAGGATGAAGATCAGTTGGTGTGGAGCTTAGAACCTTCAGGGTCTTTTTCGGTTGCTTCCTTATGCAAGCCTAAAAAGACTTCTTCCTTGATGTCAGACGATCAATGCTTTAGGTTGTGGAAGACGGGCAGTCAAAAAAGGGTTAACATCCTTTCTTGGATTCTTATTAATGGCAAGGTCAATACGGCAGAAATTCTTCAAAAGAACTCCCCAAATATGCACTTGCAACCATCCATTTGTGTACCGTGCATGGCAGCTTGCGAATTTCAGATGCACGCCTTCTTTTCTTGTCCATATGCAGCAGATTGTTGGCTTCCCTTGCTCCATTTGTTCAATATTTCTTGGGTGTTGGATTTGGAAGTGTCGAAGATTGTAAATCAGATGCTTTTCGGTCCATCCTTATCTTCTAAAGCGAGCCTCCTTTGGGCAAACCGGGTCAAAGCTATCATCTCAGAGCTTTGGTTTGAGAGAAACCAAAGGATTTTTGAGGAAAAAAGGTGGTCCTTGGTGGAGTGTTTCAATATGGCTAAATTCAAAGTGTCTCAATGGTGTGCTCTATCCAATCTTTTGTTAATTACTCCCCTAATATCATATATGCTAATTGGGGGCTTTCCTTTTCCTACAAAATGTCGTTTGTTTCTTATATTTTTGGTATTCTAGATTGTTTCTTTTTAATTTTTGCTATGTTTTTTCACTCCTTTGGGAGTTTATATCATTGAACGTTTTAGGTTCCTTTTCATTTAATCAATGAAAAGTTTGTTTCTTGTTAAAAAAAAAAAACAATTCAATTCCGACCAAACTCATGAGCCAATTAATATCCTCTCTTCTGTCTATCCCTTCTCACAACCTCTCTTCACCTCCTCCTTTTGCAAGCCCGTCCCCAAAATCCTTCTCCTGTGGTTTCTCAGTCCTTGACCCCTTTCACCTTTAATGTTGTTGCTACAGTTGGCCCCCTTTTGCAAGCCCGTCCCCAAAATCCTTCTCATGTGGTTTGTAAGTCCTTGACCCCTTTCACCTTTAATGCTGTTGCTACAGTTGGCCCCCTCATGGTCGCCTCAGTTAATACCATTCTTAAACAAGGCACCAAGCTTCCTCCTTAAGATACAACCACCATGGCGACCTCAAACCCCCCTCCAATACCTGCCCGATTCACAGTTCTCCCACTCCAAGGACAATAAAGTTCTTACACTTTGTAGTGCTGGAGACAGAGAGCTGGTTGAACTGGGTCTAAGAGGATGTTTGCAGTTCTGCCTTTTCCATAAAGTGGCAAGCCATCCAGAACTTGATCCTTTTGAAAGTCTCTTGTTTTTTAATCTTCACATCCCCAAAAATATTGTGATTTCACTCCTTTAAACTAACCTTGAGGGAGGCTAACTTCCTCATAAAGCAAAAGCCTTCCCACTTACCAACTGTGCTTTTTATGGGTTCTTTGGAATGGAAGTAAATAAAAGAATTTTCCTTGGTGAAGGAATACTCTCTTTTTGGTGGATCATTTAAATTTTTGTGACCGTTACTCTTTTACTCTTATCATCTCTCTCTCTCTCTATATATATATATTATATTTGTAATTATAGCCATACTGTTATCGGTACTTGTCGGGCCAAGGTTCTCCCCCTTTTGTTAATTTTGTTCCAGTAAAGAAATTGTTTCTTGGAAAAAAGTTTTTTTTTTTTTTTAAACAAGAAACAACTCTTCATTGATAAATGAAAAAAAAAATCTCAAGATACACACCCCCCAAAGGAGCAAAAGAAAAAGAAAAAAGGAAAAAGGAAAGGACAAGCTCAACGAGGAGCAATACAATCAAATTGAATAAGAATGAACATTAAGGAAACTAAAATCACCAACAAAAGGCCCAAGAACAGCTAAATCGAAACTCGGGACACCAAACAAATGTGGCCGACCAAATGAAGCTCCAATCCCTACTTGGATGAAGAAGGATATGGAGAAACAAAATCCTCGAGAACATCCTCAAGCTCCTTTATGTAGTCTTTCAACAATAGAATTGGTGTAATACCAAATATGAAAATTCATTAATCTTTCAATGAATTAATAACAAGGGAGAAGGGTGCCTTTTGTAAGGCTGAGAACCCGAGAGAAGGCTTGGAGTTAGCTTGAACTAATTAACTGAAAGATTTACCTACTTAACTAACTAACAAAAGGCTAACAACTTAAAACTATACAATGAAAACAGAAAATAGAGAATAGTCAACCGAATAATACATCTTCAATCTGCTGCCACTTGTTTTTCCAGACTTGAAAACTATATACAGTGGAACCTCACGTTCCATTAATTCTTACTCGTATTTTCTTTTCCTTCGTGGACATCATGCCTTTATTGTCATTTTATTTTAAATGTTACTCTTCCTCATTTTGACAGTCTGATAGTTGTCTACGTCTACTGAAGAAGTTTTCTCCAAAGTGTTTTGAGACGAGTAATTTTGGGAGAGATGATAGTTCTGGTTACAAACATCATATGAAATTTGGGAGGAAATATCAAGTAACTGATCAACTCGTTGAGCTTGCTATAGAGCATCAAATCTACGATATGATCGAGGCTTCTGGATTTGAAGGCATGACATTGATGGAGGTATGTTATTTACTTCTCATTGATCTGCTAAACTGTAATGGCTAGAATACCTATATATATAGGTGACAATGTTAAATTATTTATTTTGTTTCTTCTTTTGCTTTTTGTAGTAGATAAGGTTTTTTTCCTTCATTATTGACATCAAGTTATACTTTTTATGAAATAAAGAACTTTGTTGCCTTTCAGCCACTAACCTCGTAATTTCCTGTGGTGTGCAGGTTTGCAAGAGGCTTGGAATTGATCACAAAAAAAACTATAGTCGGCTCATCAATATGTTCACCAGATTTGGAATGCATCTTCAAGCTGAAACTCACAACAAATGCAATCTTTATCGAGTTTGGACACGTGGGAATTTCAAGCCTGAATATAATAATCAAAATTTTCATAAATCACAAGATGCAAAGAATAAAATTGAAAATTGTAGTAATCATATTGTCAATGTAAATAAGAGGTTAGCTCAAACGACTTCTCTAGATGGCTGTACAAATTCTGAAGATACAAATTTGGACATCGCTAGTGCTACGTGCAGAACAACTGATGATGGAAAAATGAATAGAGAAATTAGTGATAAGTCACATGGCGATAGTGAGGCTAACGTTGGGGTTATCGGTTTGCCACAAGAGTCAGTTTTTCAGCCAGAATGCTCCATTCCTGATGTAAACCTCAGTTCAGTGAACACAGTTGTTGAAACAAACTCTGGATCAACAAAATCTCCAACTGCGCTGTTAAGGCCATCAGTTTCTGCATCATATCAGAAGTATCCGTGTTTACCTCTTACTGTGGATAGTGCTCGGAGGGAGCAGAGAATACTTGAACGCCTACAGGTTTACTAAACAATATACTTATTAATTTGCATTGCTTATTGTTCTAAAACTGTAACTAGAGTTACAATCTTACATATTTTGTAAGTTCAATTGTGTCCAAGATAATTTTCCATATATCTTTTACAAAATGGTTTTACTGTGCTTACGCTATCTAAAACAGTATTCCCATATTTTTCCCTGTAGGATGAGAAGTTTATTTTGAAAGGTGAGCTTCATAGGTGGATTATTGATCATGAGACGGATAAAAGCACAACTACAGATAGAAGAACCATTGTCCGAAGTATAAACAAACTGCAACAGGAAGGGCACTGTAAATGCATAGACATCAATGTCCCTGTTGTCACAAATTGTGGTCGTACTCGTGTCACCCAGGTGATTCTGCATCCATCTGTTGAGACTTTATCACCTCAACTTCTAGGTGAAATTCATGATAAATTGAGGTCATTTGAAGCCCAAAGTCGTGGTCATGGCTCGAAAAAGGCGAAGAAGAATGCATTGCTTCCTGTATTAGAAGGTATCCAGAGGACTCAGTACTATATGTATTCTGACATTGCAGCGGTACGATCAGAAGCCATGCGTGCAAATGGATTTGTACTGGCAAAAATGATCCGTGCAAAGCTGCTGCATAGCTTCTTGTGGGATTACCTGAATTGTTCAGGTGGTTCTGATGGTACTTCCTCATCTGAAATATTTGTCCATGATCTGAAAAATCCTCACACTAGCTGCAAACCGTTTTTATTGGAAGATGCAATTAAGTCTATCCCAATTGAGCTTTTCCTACAAGTTGTTGGGTCTACTAAAAAATTTGATGATATGTTAGAGAAATGTAAGAGGGGTTTGTCACTTGCTGACCTTGCTCCAGAGGAGTACAAGCATCTGATGGATGCTAATGCTACCGGAAGACTCTCGCTGGTTATTGATATTTTACGGCGTTTGAAGGTAATTTCATGGTGACTTGCTAATATAAGAGTTTATGAGTTCGACGAGTAATTGATGAATTCTTGCGCTTTAAAATTCCAAGGGAGCTGAAAATGACCAACAAAAAAAAAAAGGAAATACTAAGTTTCAATAATTTGATATGAATGACCCTTAGGGTAATTAGGGATATTATTAGGGTATCGAGGGTACCTTAGTAATTAGATAGGGAAGTTGTTAGGGTGTGTTGTTATAAATAGAGTGAGGGTGTAAGAATGAAGGTATCCAATTAGTGAGTACGATTTTGACTTGAGTGATATCTCAAGAGGGGAGGGTCCAAGTACCTCTAATACTTGGTAGCTATTGTAGTTCGTTTATCTTTTATCCTTTAATATATTTGGAGGTTCTAACATAATCCTTGTTCATAGACGTAGTAAAGTTCATTGTTTTGCCACATTCAATCTGTTTTTATTTTTATTTTTTTAAAGAAACAAATATTTCACTGATGATATACAAAAAGGGAGTAGCTACCCATTAATTGGGTTATGAAAGGGTCTTCCAATTTTTCTTAAGATCACTTAAGACTAGCCATACTCTGTGAAAGGAAAGAAAAAATATATACACCAAGAGCCAAAACAAAAACATAATCAGAGAATGTCATAAGGATGGGACTTGTCGTTGAAGAATGTGTTGTTCCTCTCTATCCAAATGCACCAAAGAGAAAACTCTGAACTCTGATCAATTGAACCTAGAGGGATCTCTTTTTACCTTCTAAAAGTGTGGCCTACAAGGATAGCAAAAAGCCATGGGGTCTAATTACGAGAACGCCTTCCAATTAGAGACGAGGTCATTTAGAGAGTAGCTATTGAAAGGGGAATACAAACATTTACACCATCCAAGAGCTAATACAATAACTCTATAAAAAAAGAGAAAAAAAACCTCAAGAGGGGGAGATGTGGCATCGAAGATCTTTATCTCCAACCATATACTCCATAGAAAGGCCCGAACAATTTATACCCAAGGGATTCCTCCCTCCTTAAAAGGATGACCGATCAAGAAGATGCTAAGGAAGATGGAGGGGCTTTTCTGTAATCAATGTTTTAAAAGGCTAAAGGTGGCCTCGAGGCTTTTTCTCTTGAAAAGGCGAGGCGTAAGCCTCAAGGCAGTATGAGGCGTAAGCCTCAATTTTAATTAAAAGAATTAAACAAATCCTAAATTTGTGTGGTCAAGTATTACCAAACATAATAGTTATATAAAATTATCAAAATATCCACCTGTTACTTGTCACTAAAAAAAAATTCTAAAAAAACATCATAACATCACTACTATTATCACCAATAGAACTTACTTATTCTATAAATTGTTGTCTTCAATATTTTTAAAGTCTAGGTAGTAAAAGTAGTAATAGATTGAATTGTTACAACTCCCGCTTAGGATTCCATACAAAAAAAACCTTGATATTTTTTAAGAATTGGAAAAATTAATAGTATTCTTGTAATCATTACATGAGGCGTATACTTTAAGCCTTAGTGCGTTTTCAAAGAGGCGTAAGCCTCTTCTATGTGAGGCGTAAGCCTCTTATAATCCAAAGAAGGCGTAAGACTTGAGGCTAAAAGTTAGAGCCTTGCCTCGAGGCGGTCCTCAAGGCGTAAGCCTCAAAAGCCTTTTAAAACATTGTCTGTAATATAGTTTGCCATCCGAAGACCTCGAGCATTTTATGCCAGAACAAAGTGGAGAAATCACATGATCTAAAGAGATGACCTTGTGTTTCTGCCTCTTTGTAGTGTAGATGGCACCAATGAGGGGAGAGAGCAATATGGGGCAACCTCCTTTGTATCCTATCATGGGTGTTAATAGCCTCATGGTTAAGCTCCCAGCAGAAGAATTTAATTTTTCCTTAGGTACTTTTCTTTCCAAATGCTTTTGTAGAGATGGTGTGATTGGTTTTCCAAGGAGATCAAGAAGGTGAAGACAGATTTTGCGGAGAAGCTTTTGGTAGGGTCAAGAGGCCATTGCCACTTGTCAGAATATGGGAGGGACGGAACCATTTTGAGTGACAGTAGTAGCCAATCCTCAACCTCATTGTCCTTTAGCAGTCGTCGGAAGCTATAATCTCTGATTTGGTGGTTTTGGACCAAATATTTGATATTTTGATACCTTTGTCTGTAGAGATAAGGGATCTCCTTGTCTCAAGCCCCTAGATGCTGTACACTTGTCCCTCCATTTTCCATTGATGATGATAGAGAAGCTTGTTGTGGAGATGCATGCTCGAGTCCATTTTCTACACGTTGCCCTGAAGCCTATGTGATAAGGGATAGCGTCTAAGAAATCCCAAAAGAAACAAAAACCTGATTCCAAAACTTGCTAGCACATTCAAAAGATAGGAGTAAATGCGCTTGTGTTTCCAAAATTTTCATGCACATAATACAGCAGCTAGGTGAGATATACATACTGGGGAACCATTTGTGTATAACTTCATGAGTGTTGATGGAGTAATGGCTTAGCACCCAGCAGAAAAACTTGATTGTCTTGGAATATTTGTCGTCCCAAATTGTGTAGTATAGATATTAAAGCTGTGTCCTCATTGTGAGTGAGATTATTGAATAAAGACCTCGCTGAGAAGCTGTTAGTAGAATTCCTAGCCATACTGATTCATCTTCCGTGGAGGATAGACCTGTCAATATGAGGTTGTGTGAGCGGTCCAACCATTCAGAGATTTCATCCTCTTTAATATGTCTGCAAAATTTGTAATCCCAAGAGTTTGTTGCTGTAGACTTCACGAACCTGTACTTTCTTGTTTAAGGACAGTGCAAAGAGACTATGAAATTCAATGGGCAGAAGAGTGCTGTCAGTTGTCAACCACCCATCATGCTGTAAACTGATATTAATGCCCTTCCCAATTTTGCAAATGGATTTAGCCTTGACCTTCTCAAAAAATTTCAAGATAGTGTTCCAGGGGCCATTCAAGGGGTTATTCTCGACGACTGGCCTAGAATCAAAGTCTGGAGTCCCATATTTAATTGTGATAGCATTCAGTCTATGTTAAACTACAACCTAAATTTTATATCAGATACATATATGGAAAACATTTTTTTTTTTTTGCTGTTTGATAAAATAAATAAAATGTCCAAGAATTATTGGAGGACCAGGGCAGAGAAAGTGAAAATGAGGGCCACATAATATAAGTAAAAAACCTATACATGTTCAATAAGAACCGTAAGAATCAAGAATAAAAAATATGGGAACGTCATAAAATATTAGATTGAGAAGCTCAAACCCATGCATTGAACAGAACCAAACACCAGATTTTCTCGATTTTCTGATTCTATCATAGAAAACCCATCTACCTTAGATGACCACATAGGCAATCTAGACACCTACCCTGCCAATAATCTTACCTAACTTTTCTCAAAATGTATATAGCAAGTAGTATTTCCTATTCTGATCTCCACTATGCTGGTTGAAAGCATAGTATAATCCAAAATGGAGAAATGATTGGTCCTTAAATTTTTAAAAGCATTTATGCTATTGAAAATAATACCTTTTTTTTTTTATAAGAAACAATTTTATTGATGGGAACCCAAAAAAACCAAAGGAGTTATAGAAAATTTCTCCAATTGGTTAATAAAGAGTTCGTGCTATTTGAGTGAAAATAGAGGGATGCTTTACACCAAGACATAGCATGAAAAGTAATGTTGTCAAAAACACTGATGAAGGGCAACTCCTTGTCTAAAAAGAGCCTATGGTTCCTTTCATTCCAAAAAGTCCAAAGAAAGGCTTAAATGAGGTGTTTCCACATAATCTCTTTAGTTCCACAAGAACATAAGTGAGCAGGGTTTGGATGTCAATGGGGAAAGCAACTGTCCAATCAAAAGCGTGGATGATCAAGTTCCAAAAAGCCTTGGCCGGGGGGCACGTGTGAAAAAGATGGGAGGCCATCTTTTTTGCATAGTATGCACCATTGTGGGGAGAGGGCAGTGAAGGGTAATCTTTGCTGTCTATCTGAGGTGTTGATACCCTTGTGGGCAAGCTCCCATATGAAGAACTTGGTTCTTTTGGGGTAAAAGTCTTTCCATATGGCTTTGACAAGTGATGAATGGAGGTGTGATCTCTTCGGAGACACCTCAGAGAGAAGAGATTTGATGGAGAAGATAACTTTTTTGTCCAGTGGCCAAGCCCATGAGTCCTCACCTGCAAGGACGAGGGTGGCTTCTAGTTGATTGGATAGTGTGGCCCAATCTGCAATTTCCTCTTCTTGCAGATTAGATTTTGGCAAAAGTGCTAGCAGAGAGGCTTAACAAGGTTATTTCTTCTACCATCTCTTGTAATCAAAGTGCTTTTTTAAGTAGAAGGTAGATTCTTGATCCTATTCTCATTGCAAACGAAGTGATGAATGATTATAGATGTAGAAAGAAGAAAGATGGGTTTTGATACTTGATATGGAAAAAGCATTTGATAAAGTTGATTGGATCTTTCTTTCAGAGCTCTTCAGACAGGAAGACTTTCGCAAAAAGTGGATTAAATGGATCAACGGTTGTATTAGAGGCAATAACTTTTCAGTTTTCATTAATGGGAGTCCGAGAGGGAGAATTAAGGCTTCAAGAGGGTTAAGGCAAGGAGATCCCCTTTCTCGTTTCCTATTCTTATTGATAAGTGATGTGTTCAGTAGTTTTCTGGACAACATTCACCAAAAGGGAGTATTTGAGGGTTTTGTAGTGGGAAGGAATTCAATTCACATCTCCCACTTGCAGTTTGCTGATGACACATTATTATTTTGTAAAGATGATGATGAGATGCTCAAGATCTTATTTGAAGCCATTAAGACCTTTGAGTGGTTGTCCGGTCTTAAAGTTAATTGGGAAAAATCGTCATTGAGGGGCATAAATATGGAAGACCAAAGGGTTGTGCTGGTAGCAAATTCTTTTTGTTGCAAAGCTGAACACCTTCCTATTTTATATTTGGGTTTGCCTTTAGGAGGAAACCCTAAACTGGATTCTTTTTGGGCTCCAGTTCAAGAAAGAATTTCTAAGAAACTTGATCGTTGGAAAAAGTATCACACAAAGGGTGGAAGATCGACTTTATGCAATATGTACTTGGGACCATTCCCCTTTATTACTTATCTATTTTTCAACTCCCAGTGAGAGTTAGTAAACAACTTGAGCAAAAGATGCGTTCCTTTTTGTGGGGCGATTCTTCGAAAGGATCCTTGAGACATTTGGTGAGATGACATATTGCCTCCCTCCAGCGCGAAGTAGGTGGTTTAGGCATTGGTTGTACTATTTTTTTTTTGAACAAGATACAAACTTTTCATTGATAATGAAAATGAACAAAATTGTTCAAAGATACAAACTCCCATAGGAGTGAAGGTACAAGAAATAAATAAAAGTAAGCATTAGAAGAAATAAAAACCATAAACTTAAAGAAACCTCCTTAAAGGGGAATTATAAAAGCCTCCCAATTCATACAAAGCATACTAGGAGAATAAGAAGAGAAGAGATCGGAAAGAACACACCATTGGGAGGCTTTGAATTTGGCGATTGAGAAACACTCCATAGGAGATCGATTCTTGCCTTCAATTATTCGTTGATTTCTCTCAAACCATAATTCGGAAAGAAGAGCTTTTATTCCAAAAGCCCAAAGCAGATTAGTTTTAGAGCTTGCTTGCAGCCCACTGAAAAGTTGAAAAATGATTTGAGGCACCTCCTATTATTAAGCGCAACAATTCTCTTTTATCCAAATGGGGATGGCAGTTTAGCGTGGAGACAAAAGCTTTATGGCGTAGGGTGGTGGCCAGCCTATATGGATCTGACCGTGTTAATTGGAATGTGATACCTAAACTTCATGGTTTGGGTCGTAGCCCTTAGAATAATATCAATAAACAGTGGCTTCAGGTGGAGAAATTTTCTTATTTAAAAGTTGGTAGTGGATAGAGAACTCTCTTCTGGCATCACTTATGGGTTGGAGTCTCTCTTTTAAAGGATAGATTTCCTTCTATTTACAATATTTCGGCTTCTCCTCTTACTTCGGTTTCGGAAGCTTGGGATAGTGGGTCCTCTTCATGGAATATTGTTACTAGAAGGATATTGAAAGACGAGGAGATTATGGAGCTTTCGGAGCTTCTTTCTTGCATTTCTTTGGTTACTATTTTAGAAGATGATGATGTTTGTCATTGGGGATTGGAAAAGTCGGGCCTCTTCTCTGTTTCTTCTCTTTGCAAGATTCAAAGAGCAGATTTGCGGGTTTCAAAAGCTCTTCTATTCTCTCTTTGGAGTTTGGGCAGCCCAAAACGAGTTAATATGTTAGCTTGGATTCTTTTATATGGCAGAGTCAATACATCAGATGTTCTGCAGAGAAAAACTCCTAAAGTGGCTTTACAGCCATCCATTTGCTTATTATGTGCTGAAAAGGGGGAAAGTTTAAATCATGTCTTCTTTTTCTGCCCATATGCTACTGTTTGTTGGACTCTTCTCTTCCAGATGTTCCAATTAGCATGGGTGTGGGATCGTGAGGCTGCTAATAATATTTTTCAGCTTCTACATGGAGTTTGGTTGACGCCTAAAGCTAATCTACTTTGGATTAATGGGTTTAAGGCAATCATCTCAGAATTATGGTTCGAGGGGAATCAAAGGATTTTTGAAGATTCTTCATTAGAATGCTTCAACATTGACAAATTCAAAGCTTCTCAATGGTGTGCCCTTTCCGATATTTTCTCTTCGTATTCCCCTAGTATTATTTGTATGAATTGGGATGCCTTTATTTCTCCTTTGTAGTCTTGTTCTGTATTTTATTTTCTATTTTTGTTTTTATCTATCACTCCTTCAGGAGTTTGTATCTTTGAACAATTTTGTTCCTTTTCATATATCAATGAAAAGTTCGTATCTTGTTAAAAAAAAAAAGGATTAGCATTGAGGGGGAGACCCAAGTATGAGTTTGGCCACTTTCCAACCTTATAGTCGTATAAATCAGCAATGGTGCTTAGTCGATCCACTTCCATATTAAGGCCGAGAATCTCTGATTTGGTAAGGTTTATGTTTAAACCCGATGAGGCTTCAAAGGTTTTGACAATCTGAAAAAGGTTTTTGATGGCTTTATCATCATCTATGGAGAAGAGTAAAGTATCATCGGCGAATTGGAGGTGATGGATGTGAAGAGGTTCAGTTCCCAAAATGATACCATTAATTAACCCTGATCTGTTGCTTGAGTGAGGAGATGACTAAGGCAATCTACCACCAATATGAAGAGGAATGGGGAGAGAGGATCTCCTTGCCTAAGGCCTCGTGATGCTCGAATTTTATCTCTTGGCCTCCCATTGATGATGATAGAGAAGCTTGTATTAGATAAGCAACCTCTAATCCACTATCTCCATGTGTTGCCAAATTCAAAGCTTCTCAATGGTGTGCCCTTTCCGATATTTTCTCTTCGTATTCCCCCAGTATTATTTGTATGAATTGGGATGCCTAGGATCTCCTTGCCTAAGGCCTCGTGATGCTCGAATTTTATCTCTTGGCCTCCCATTGATGATGATAGAGAAGTTTGTATTAGATAAGCAACCTCTAATCCACTATCTCCATGTGTTGCCAAAACCTTTAGCACAAAGAATAGCATCAAGGAAGTCCCAATCACTTTGTCAAAAGCCTTCTCTATATCAAGTTTGATGATCACCCCTCTTCGCTTCTTCCGTTTCCATTCTTCTACTATTTCATTGGCAATGAGGGATGCATCTAAGATTTGTCGCGCTTCCACAAAAGCTGATTGTTGTTCTGAGGTGGTGGATGGGAGGACCTTTTTGAGCCTTGACGAAAGGACGCAGACCACAATTTTGAAGAGACAAGCGGTGAGGCTGATGGGCCTATAATCCCCCACAGTGCGAGCATCGGATTTCTTTGATATAAGGCAAATGTATGTTTCGTTGATGCATTGATGACACCATTCCTAAAAAAATCTTGGAACACTCATAATATCATGTTTGAGAATGTTCCAAAACTTTTTAAAGAATTCAGCGGTGTATCCATCGGGGCTCAGGGACTTGTTGGTGCCAAGATCACAAACTGCTAGCCAAACTTCTTGCTCAGTGAACTGTTCTTTCAGCCTCTGACTTTGATGGGCATCAATTGGATTCCATGATAATGATTGAGGGAGAGTTCTGCAGCCTGAATCTTTGGTGTATGTCTCTGTGTAAAAAGAAAGAAACTCGTTAACTATATCATTTTTAGATAGAAGGCTAGTCCCCTAACGGGAAAGGATTTCCCTTATGGAGCATTTACGTTTCCTTCCAGCTACAATTCTATGAAAGAACTGTGTGTTAATGTCACCCTCCTTAAGCCATTTGCTTTTACATTTTTGTCTCCAAAGGATCTCTTCATTTGTTGCTAACGAGAGGAGTTGGGATTTTATGGTGGATCTCTGCAGACGGTGTGCTTCAAGGAATGACCCTGTTTCCTCCATATTGTCCAAGAGATTCAAAGTTTTTTTGTTGCATTTTGGGTTTATTTATTAATTTTATCTTAGTTTATAGGATCTATTACTCTGGTTGGTTTGAGATCATGAGACTTGTGGTGCTGACAGTACAAGATTTAATTTGTATTGAAATTTCAAGCATGATAATTGACGAATTCAAACTAAAGTACCCTTAACAGTTTATTCTTTATTTCAGTTAGTTAGGTTAGTAGCTGCAAGTCCAGACGATGTAAATAGTTATGGGCATGCCACTTTGAAACATGCATTGGAGCTTAAACCTTACATAGAAGAACCAGTTTCAAAAGATGCTACTAGATCTTTGATGATCAAGTGTCCAGATCTTCGCCCAAGAATTAGACATGACTTTATCCTGTCAAGTAAACAAGCTGTTAACGAGTATTGGCAAACCTTAGAGTATTGTTATGCTGCGGCTGATCCCAGATCTGCTCTGCTTGCATTTCCTGGGTCTGCTGTTCGTGAGGTATTTGTTCTAACTTTAACAATTAGCCAACCAATGGTCCTTTATAATTTGCATAAGTATTTTTGGGTTTTAATGTATTACCTTTATTTCAATATTTCTTTTTCTTTTTCCATCAGGTGTTTCTTTTCCGTTCATGGGCTTCAGTTCGGGTTATGACAGCTGAACAACGTGCTACACTTCTGGAGCGTGTGGGAAAGAGGGACCAAAGTGAAAAGCTTTCATATAGTGAGTGTGACAATATCGCAAAGGAACTTAATCTGACACTAGAGCAGGTAATATTCTTATTCTTATATTCTACAGAATATACATATTAGGGGTGTTAAAAAAAAACCGACAACCCGAATAACCCGAGTTGTCGTTTGCCATCTTCCGTCGCCTGTCGCCGCCATCTTCCATTGTTGCTTCATTCTTCTTCTGCATTTCTTCATTGTTGCTCCATTCTTCTTTTGGATTTCTTCAATTGGTTTGTCTTTTGTTAATTTCTCAAATTTTATTTCACCCTTATGGATCTCAAGTGAGTAAACTAAGTTAGGTAAGGAAACTAAGTGAGAAACTATTTTACCCTTACTCTTATGGATCTAAAATTTTCTTTTACTCTTATTTTACTCTTATGGATCTCAACTGGGTTCTTCTGCTATGTTTTGGGAGCTTTTGCGCTGGAATGTTCTTCACCAACATGTTTCTTTTGATCAACCCGACAACCCAACCCAACCCAACCCGAAAATTTTGGGTTGGGTTGGGTTGGGTTGGACGTTTCATTCGGTTCTTTCGGTTCCTCAATCTCCCCAACCCGAAAATTTGGGTTGGCCCAAAAATCCCCTATAACCCGACCCAACCCAACCCGTGAACACCGCTAATACATATGGTGCCTATCGTTATTACACTTGAAATTTTCATTGTTCTTGGTGGTATAAGGATTGTTTTCAGCTTTGATGGGACAAGGCCCCAGGTTCAAATGGATTCTCAATGACATTTTTTCTAGAAGAGTTGGGACACCATCAAGGGAGATCTTTCAGGGTTTATCAGTGTTTTGAAAAGCATGCCTAGGCAAACCCGCTTAGGGTGCTCGCTTCTGGAAAAGCACGCATGCTCAGCACTTTTGACTTTTTTTTTTAAATTACTTTAAAATTTTCTAATGTAAATTAATTGAAAATCTCTTTCAAAAACCCCTTTTTTTCCTATATAATAATTTAAAAAAAAAACTCTAATTTCTTATACTTTTTCATTAACTCTTCTATATATAAATTTTTTTTCTACATTTTTCTACTGTGTGCCTCAAAACAACCCTCGCCTTTTTTGCACCTCAAGCTTAAGCCCTAGAGGGCTACTTTAGTGTACCTTGCATAAAAATGATATAGTCTATCACTGATAGATGTTTCAAGGCTATTTTAGTCTTTTTTTCATGCGTGTTGGGCTGGTTTTTTTTTTCCTTTTCTTTTTTGGGCTATATCTGTGAATCTAGAATGTTGTTGTCATATTTTCCATTAATTGCGCTTGACCAAACAAATGGTGGACTTTCTCTAAAGCTTTAGATTTCCAGATTAGCTTAAATGTACTTTGCTGGTAGCACTAGTCAGTGAAATTTTGCAATATGTTATTTATGATATCTTCCACTCAGCCCAGTAGTGTTTCTTAGTTGGTCATTTTTTTATCCTTGTTACACTTCTTAAAAACCTGGTTTTCTTTTACTTAAGTATGTATCAATTCATTAAATTTTAATGCCCAAGTGATGTGTGCATTTCTCTCCCAAAACGTTGCATGCAGGTTCTACGTGTGTATTATGATAGGCGCCAGCAACGTCTCAACAGATTTGAAGAAGGGACGGGTGATCAGTCTAGACAGTCAATTAAAAGCCATTCATCTCAAAGGAAAAAACTACCAAAAGAGAGGTCAAGAAAGCGTACACGACTTGACGTGGTCGGCAGGCAGTTGGATGAAACAAGGGTTACTACATTTCCTGAAACTTCTGTTTCGTCCATTGATAAAGATAACCAATTGGCTGCTAATTCAGGAGAGCATAGCACTCCATTGCAAGAAATTTTTGACGATGATGATCGTCTTGTAACTTTAGAGAAGTTTGGGCCTAATGAGGAAGATGAGGCATGCAGTTCTGTTGCCGCTTCAACGATGAAGCCAAATCGTCAAAGAAGGTTTATATGGACTGATGAAGCAGATAGGTAATAAGATGACAATGACTACCAAGATATCAACAGCAGCAAAAAGTTATAAACTTAAAAAGTTTCTAAATTGCCAGCCTTAGATCTAGTGTGGTGTTAAAATGATCGATATGAAGGAAAGTTTATTAACTTTTACCTAGTCTTGCAATCCATGCCTTTGGTTCTTTTTTGGGATCTGAAAACATGTCCAACTGCTGCAAGCAGTAATATTCGTGTAGAAATTCAAGCTAGTGAAGATAACAGGATTAACCATGTAAAATGTATTCTTAAAAGTATATGATGAGTTGTTGGAGATTCTCTTCTATACATGCATGCATATATAGATTATGTAATGACTTTCATGATTTTACCAGATGATGCTTCTGGATTCTATGTTTATTGATTTCTTCATGTATCTTTGCTTTCATTGAGACTTTTATTATCCTTTCAGGCAATTGATCATCCAATATGTCAGATACCGTGCAGCTGTAGGTGCAAAATTTTCTCGAACGAATTGGAGTTCTCTTTCTAACTTACCAGCACCTCCAGCTAATTGTAGAAAAAGAATGGCATGGCTGAATGGTAGCACGAGATTTAGAAAGGTTGTTATGAGGCTTTGTAACATTCTTGGAAAGCGTTATGTGAAGTATCTGGAAAAATCTAAGGATGCATCGAGTCATCAAGATGACCCCAAACTGATCTTAACTAGTTCTAAAGGGAAAGGTCTTAACAGGAGTAGTAGTGGTGACAGTAGATATTATGGTGAGATAGACTCTCAGGAAGAACAATGGGATGATCTTGATGATAAAGATGTAAAGATGGCCCTTGATGAGGTTCTTCATTGCAAGAAGATGACAATGTTGGAGGACTCCAAAGGAGTTGGATCTGTCTATGGCGATTTCTTGGATGCAAATGTGAGTGTTGAAGAACATGTAGTGTACATTGTTTCTTCTTCTTCTTTTTTTTTTTTCTTTTCCTTTTTAGAATGATATTATACAAGTGTCCATATATTCTGCTAAATAACCTCTGAATTTTGTATCTTTCGAGAGTTTGTATATTTGAACAATTTTGTTCCTTTTCATTGTTTCAATGAGAAGTTCGTTTCTTGGTAAAAAAAAAAACCTCTGAATTAATGCTTAGCCACATGCCCTTTGTTGTTGGAGTTAGCTTTGATGTTTGGGGCTTGGAGCACTGAAATTCATTCTCTAATTTGGTTAACTGACTTGCCATGTCAATCTGACTTATTATCTTCTGCAGTTGACGTTTTCCTATATAAAGCATACTTTGAAATTTACATTCATTAGCCACAAATGCTTGTGATAATCCACATATGCACTTTTGTTGTTTCATCTATTATGTGCTTTTCTCCCCATGTTTACTCATGTTATGTCAAGATCAGGTCTACTATCTTAATTGTGATTGATAGTGGGATTTAATTCTGTCTATCTATTTATTTTATTTATAGTAATTCTTTTGCCCTTTGATTTCCAGGAATCTGAATTTACTACATCTGACAATCCTCAGAGTGCAGACCTGGTAAGATCTAAGTCAAGAAGCCTTCACCAGAGGTTGAAGAAGATTTTGAGTGGCAGGCACGTCAGCAAAGAAGTATTTGAATCATTGGCTGTTTCCAATGCTGTGGAGCTATTTAAGCTTGTTTTCTTGAGCACCTCAAGAGCACTAGAAGTACCTAATCTCCTTGCTGAAAATTTAAGGCGTTATTCAGAACATGATCTTTTTTCAGCTTTTAGCCACCTTAGAGAAAAGAAAACCATCGTAAGTCGTGCTGAAATTAAATCCTTTTTTTTTGCAATTTCACTTTTTTTTTATTTACCTATATTTACTTTTTTTTACCCAAAAGAATCAAACTTCATATGTGTTAACCCGTGTTTTTTTTTTGTCTGATTGTCCTGCTCCTCCAACTTCTTCTTCAGTCTTTTGTTCCATTGTGCAATTAATTCTCTTTCTATAATTTTGCTTTCCACTTAAATAGCAATCATTTATCTTTTCTTTTCTCTCTTGTGGCACTTGATGTAGTTGTACACCTTGATTGTAAGCTTGTGTGAGGCCCCTATTGTAAATACTTATGCTAGGAAGGGTAGAGAGAGAATTGCACCCACCCATAACAGTTAGGAAAGGGGCTGTACGGGTAAGTTAGTTATAAGGAGGGAGTTTAGCTAGAATGGGTATATTCTGTCATCTTGAACGTTGGAGAATGGAGAGCACCAGCCTTCTCTAACGGCTGGGACCTCTTTGTATGCCTTAGGGCTTTCTATCTTGCTTCTTGGATCGAATCTATTGAATTTCATATTGTAAGGACATACCTTACAGCTTGTTGGCCGTTGACAGCCCAAGCTGCTTGTACAAGTTAATGGAGTACACTATGGTAGGACTTCAAATAGCCATGTTATCTTGAGTTTGTTGACCTTTTTCTTATTTTCTTTATTTTCTATTTTTTTATTATTAATTTTTTTTAATGAGATACGAGCTCTTCAATGATAAAATAAAAAAAAACAACGAATGTTGTAAGGGAACAAACTCCGAAAAGGAGCTAACAGAAACAAAATAGGAAAATACAAAGTCCATTTCTCATCAATCTCCGGTAGGTTTCGAGCTTCACATCAATCCCCAACCTCCAAGTCCATTTCCCTGTGGTGCAAATTAGAAAATGTTTTCGTGCAAGCTTGGGCTCACTGCAAATGAGCCTTAAAATCTTATAGATCACGATCATGAAGCTGTTGATCCAAAGCTGCGTTAACAGTCTTCTGTTGCCCATTATTTTATTGGCATTACACCTCATCAGATGGCTGTTGTACTCCATTTACCATGATGCTTGTGCGAACATATGTCATATTCACCATTAATTTTTTTCCTATTTGCCAGATTGGAGGCAACAGTGGTGAACCATTTCTGCTCTCACAAGTTTTTCTGCATAGCATTTCAAAGTCGCCATTTCCAGCCAACACTGGAGAGAGAGCTTCCAAAATTTCCAAGTTTCTGCATGAAAGAGACAAAGATCTTGTGGAAAATGGGATTAACCTTCCTGCTGATTTACAATGTGGAGACATTTTCCATCTGTTTGCTCTAGTTTCTTCAGGAGAGTTGTCCATTTCTTCTTTCTTGCCCGACGACGGTGTTGGAGAACCTGAAGATTTGAGAAGTTCAAAACGGAAAGTTGATAGCTGTGAACTTTTCGGTGACACTCAGGCTAAGAAACCGAAACTTTCACCAGCAGAGGGTGAAATTGTTTCTCGTCGAGAAAAAGGTTTTCCTGGGATTATGGTTTCTGCATGTCGTACTACAATTTTAAGAACAGATGCTTTGGAACTATCAAACAGTTTTAATTGTATTAATGACCAATGTTTTGGTGGGAGTGATAGATTCCACATTGTGCCTACTCGGAAAAGTATTTCATTTGATCATATGGAATCACTATGCAATACGGATGGAGTTGTATCTCTAATAGGGAATTATAGTGAGTCACCTTGGCAAACTATGACAGCTTTTGCAGATTGTTTGATGTCTGTACATTGTGATCAAGAACAAGTGAGTGTCATATCTCCAGAGGTCTTTAGGTTGGTTTATTCTGCAATTCAGTTGGCCGGTGACCAGGGTTTAAGCACAGAAGAAGTTTCCCAGGTGGCTAATTTACAAGGTATTCCATAACTTTTGAATGTTTTTGGGTGATTTTCTTAACTTGTGATTTCAGAACATGAAAATGAGTTAATTTTAAGATCATTGTTGTATGTTGTTACTAAATAGCCTTATCTTACGATTAAATTAGGAGAAAAGCTGCCACAAGTTATCATTGATGTCCTCCAAACATTCCGACGAGTACTGAAGGTTAGTATGCCTTCCCTAGTAACCTGACAGCATATAGTATTTTTATTTTGTAAGCGTACTCGTATGTTTATGTTTTTAAATGTACTTGCAATATAATCCCAAGGTGTTGGTATATTGGTGAGATGTTTCAAACTTATGTTTCAAGTTCAAGTCTCAATGTTTCCTAAAATAAAATGTACTTGCAATATATATTATATGCTTTATAGGCACAGATCAACTTGCAACTTACACTTTCAAGGATTGTATCACTCCTTGAGCAAAAGCGTTAAAAAAAAAGTTATGCCTCCCTCTTATCTTACTGGAGAGTCTTTTTGTAGCCCTTTTCTTGAGCCTTATGTTCTCATATTTCATATATCAATGAAATAGTTTCTTTATCCAAAAAAGAAAAAACATCGCCACCACCTTGAGAGGCTTGTTTTAAAAAATGGACTTCAAGTTGGAAATATGACTGATAGCTAACTATGAATTTTCCTTTAACAAATAATTTTCCTTGACCTTAAAAGCTTTAGAGCTGGCTTGCATATTTTGTGGTGGGATGTCAGAAGTAGATTTTGAAGTTGAATGATTATGGTTTTACATTTTGTACAGGTGAATTCTTTTGATAGTATCCGAGTTGTTGATGCTTTATATCGTCCCAAGTACTTTTTGACGTCGATTGCTGGTTCCAACCAAGATCATGTTACTCCTTCATCAGTGGATATGATTGGAAGAACTGATAGCCAGTCGGTTCTTGATTCAGAAAATTACAATGTTGGAGGAAAAAATCCAGAAAATCACATTGCTGATGGTGCAAATTCCCAGACGGAAAAAAGAAAGGTTGTTGGTGAGGTGCACAAAGTAACAATTCTCAATCTTCCTTCAGATGTTGATAGCAACACAAAAGAAAGTAAAACTAGCAATATGCATCCTCACGATGGATTATTTTGGTCCTCTTCTGGTGGTTTGAATATGCCAATACTCCCATGGATAAATGGAGATGGTACGACTAATGATATTGTCTACAAGGGGCTCAGAAGGCGGGTTCTTGGAATTGTAATGCAAAACCCAGGAATACTGGAGGTATGATTTTCTGATTTTCTGTTATCCTTCGGTGACTGTTCTTTGGCTTTCGTATTGGGCCATTGCATCCATCTTCCAGTATTCTCTTCTCTTGGGTCTAGTGGTACGATTGGACTCCAAATGTAATTTTCTCGCATGTATATTATTGTATATATTGGTATAAATATCTTAGTTATTGAAGTTTGTTAGTTATTTGTCTTTTATTGCAATTGCATTCTATTATTGTACGACCCCAGTTATGTCCTATATATTTGACTTATTGAATGGAAAAGAGAATGGATTATTCTCTGACAACATCCTATTAGCTTACATGGCATAATAATGTTGAGGATTACTTGGGGTAGCTAGGGTTTTTCCTTTCAGGCGACACTAGGGTATGAAATTTGAGTCATCACTTTGGGGTGGCTTTTTGTCAACAACACTCACTCCAACAGAACTGCCACCTGTCAATGATAAGAAAATAATTCTGGCTTACTTGTAAAAGATGGATACAAGGCTAGTCTAAATAGCAAATACAGGAAAAAATAAAAAGGAAGGAAAGCAACACATGAGGAAACAATTACGAATTAGGAGCTAATTACAAATAAGGGAATAAAATTTAAAGAAATAACTATAATAAATATAATTAGTTGTAGAAGATTGATATCATGTAATGAAGGTCCATTTGGAGCTCTTCCTTTTTATGCGATTTGTGAACAATTTGAATCTTAATCACACTTTGCATACTTTTGAAAATAATGTTCTGTTAGTTACTTATTAGGTTGTTAATCACGCATTGCATTATTTTGAAAATAATGTGCATCTTTCTTCCTGTTAACTTGTCATCCTTCCATGCTTATGTATTTTAGTAGAATGACTATCTTTTCCCTCAATATGTTATCAATACGTCATAATGCCTTTTCCATCTTTTGCATATATCTTTGTTAGGTTGACATTATCCTGCGGATGAACGTCTTGAACCCCCAGGTATTCTAAAATTTCAAATATACAAGTACAAAGTTCTGTCTTTCCGGTGCTAGGTTGAAGTTCTAATATTAAGTTTTCTTTTTTCTCAACTCTTCAAACGTTTTATCTCTTGCCTCTGACTGTATGTACTATCAAGTCTATTTCTTGGCATTTTATATCTAATTGAACTATTTTCAATAAGTAGCTAAATATGCTTGGATATGTGTATGTGAGCTGGAAATTTTACGTTGCTGATTCTGTGTAAGATATCTAAAGGGAGATGCTAGAAATGGGAGAAATTCAAATACAAGCAGTCTGAACTTATGGTTGTGTTAGAGCACATGAAGATTCTCTTTAATAAATGCCTGCACAAGTTTATCGCTTTTCAAAATATATAATTGTTCGAATTATGTATTGACACCATCTCTTCTCTCAGAGTTCTAAGAGGCTGTTAGAGTTGATGGTGTTAGACAAGCACCTCATAATTAGGAAGATGTATCAAAGTACGTTCAGTGGGCCCCCTGGTATTCTAGGGATTCTCCTCAGCAGGAGCAACAGAAAATCAAAGTTTGTTTTTCGTGAACACTACTTTGCAAATCCCATGAGCACATCACTGCTGTAGATAGCCTTCCATGTTCAGCATCCGTATCCTCCATACCCACTGCCCAGGTAGCTTATACCAGATGCCTTTTCTTTTCCTCCACCGTGAAATATTTGGCTGATTTTTAAAAATGAAATACAATTTTCTTAATTTCTTTTCTGCACAATGTTTCAGAAACTATGCACTTGTATTCCTTGTTTAATTAATTTGTCTTTGGTAGGCATGACATGATACAACATGTACTTTTATATATGATTGAAAATTCCCAATAATTCAACAAATAGGACACTTGGCTTAAAAGAGCACAGGTTGCTTTGGCTCGTTCACGATTTTTTACATGACCTATAATGATGTACCACCATCTTGCCCTGCTTGTTTTAGCTTGAAATTCTGATGGTTGTACTCTCTCATAGGTTGTTGTCTATTGAAACTTTGCTGAAAAGAGTACAGATTGTAAAATAGCACTCACATTGCTGATGTTCTATGGGAAACGCTTTAACCGTGTCAGCCTGCCAGGAATCAGGTGGCATCTATCGCTCTGGTTTACTTTCTTTCTGATTTTAACATGTTGGAGTTGATCTCTGCCCTCATTTGTTTTTGGCTAAAGTCCATTTCATTCTGCCATTCTCATTTTTGTAAATGGTTAGGCTTTGTATGAGTGATACCCCCAACCGCCCTAAAGGAAAAGGATATACTCTCCATCCCTCCTCTCTTGTGCATACGTTGGACTTGGAACCATGTGTTAGGAATACTAGTAGAGATATGTTGAAGATATTAATAGTGATATATTTGTAATTAGAGAAGTTTGATATGGTTGTTAACTTGTAATTTCTTTTAGAAAAAAGAATTAAATGATATGATTAATAGAAAGGGTCACTCTTTTTTTCTTACGCAACACTGCTTTTTTGTATAAAATAGACGTTTAGATGTCTGAGTCTCAGAATGTGTGGTTTATATTGAATTCTAGTTTCTCCTCTTGGAATTTGGTTTCCTAAATTTGTAAATTTGGTACTTATTCGTTCAGATGTTGCATATGTTTGACAAAAGTCGAGAACCGAAAATTATGTTGAAGTTATTGATTCTCTCTGCCGGGAAATGTTGAGTTTGTGGAGCCTATTCATCAAGCAGGATCGATCTAACCTCGTTTGAAGGAACCTACTAGAGACATTGGCATCGCAATGCCAGATGTAAAGTATTCACACAATATGGTGCATCTTGCTCACACAGCTGCATGAAGGGAGTTTGTGCCAAGACGCTCTTTCTTAAGCGTTATTTTTGTGGGTAAGAGAGTGGAATAAAGTCACTAGCAAAGTGTTTTAGGCTTGTTTAGGGAGGAAAAAGAGAGAGGAAAACTCATTTATAAAAGATGACGTATGATTCTACTATCCTAGTGTAATCTTTTCTTATTTTAGCAGAACCTGCAAAGTCTGCCGTGTAAACGATGTAGCCATATCGGGTGAACCTGTATAGATTTAGTGCTAACTTTTCTTGTTTTAACAGAACTTGCAAAGTCTGCAGAGGAAACTATGTAGCCACAACGGTGAACTTGTATATATTTAGTGTAATCTTTATTCCCTTTATGTTTCCTTTTCTTGATTTTCTCAAACTATTGTCATTTATCATTTCTGTGGAAATGAATTCTCAACAGCAAATCCATCAACCTCTGTCTTCATCTGAAACCAATCCCTTCTCCAGCTGCCCACTTTATTTGAAATTGAGAAATTTTGGATCACCTTTTTGGTTTCCCTTTGCTTTCAGGTGATGAATTATTGTTGGTGAAACCTTTCAATCTCTTGGTGGTGGAAACGAAGCAAACATGCTTTCTTTTTGGTATAATCACATTTTGAATTTTAAAAAGGTTCATCTCTAACATATTTTGTAATGTCTTATCTCGAAGGGGCCTAGCTTGTACTAGGTTCTAAACGAGTTTTCTATTCCTCTTAGCAAAGAGCTTGAGAAACTTTGAGCCGCCTCGAGCTTCAACTCCTCTTGTTTTGTATTTTTCTTTTGATCTGGTATATTACATCTAATAGTGATTCTTAGAAAGTATATATTTGGTGTTTGTTATTTTGGAGCAAATTTATTATTTTGTTGTTCATTGATCTACATCTCTTGAATTTGTTTCTAAAATTCATTTTAAGCTTGGTCAATCATTTGAGGATCAAATTTTTAAACCACTTGATCTAATATATTAAACTTTTTGGCCCAAGGATTTGATACATTCCAAAAACCTTTTACTAGAAGTGAAGAATTAGACAAAAGGTTGCACAATCTATAAAAATAATTCAATACATTATTTCATAATTAAGGTATATTGCATATGTTGCTTTATTTTGTTGTGTTTGCCTACCTTCTCTCAACATTTACTCATGGCATTGCACTAAATATTATGATAATAGCTATATAAAAATCAAGTTAAAAATTACTTTTAGTCTCCATGAGGTAACGATTTAGTACCTGAACTTTAGTTTGTAATGATTTAGTTCATGTACTTTAAAACTTATAAAAATTTAGTCCATAAACTTTGGTATGTAACAATATAGTTGTTGTAGTTAAAAAAAAAATTGTAATGATTTAGTCCCTGTACTAAATGACTACGACGTTTAATTTTGATGAAATTTTTTACGGTAGGACGAAATCCTTACAACTTTTTTATTAGGATGAAAATATTACGTACTAAAAATTAGGGACTAAACTGTTACAAATTTGAAATAATACAAATTAAAATTTTGAGGTTAAATTGTTGCTTTAATGGAAATATAGAAACAGTTCTTCACCTAAAAATTACAAATCAAAATCTAGAAAACATAATTAAATTTTTTTATGCCGTGGTAGTATAGAATACAAAAATCTAAAAACAAGAGATTCAAATCTTTGTTTTCAAGATTTTTAGATTTGTATTTGGTAGCGGAGGGTCTCATTAAAAAAAAAAATTAACCTTTGTTTCGAAATATTTGTGAACTTCTCGTAGTTACCAATTTATTTTAATCTAAAATAATATTAATTAATTTATTAATATTTTTGTTCTGAAGCTTGTATTGTTATTATTTTATATATTTTAATTTTAATATAAATAAATGAGTTTATACCATGAAATAATATAAAGTTTTTATATTTTAATTCTGTATTTTAAAATTTTAAATTCAATATTTGAAAATAGTGAAAACATAAAAATGTTTGTTTTTAAAATTTCTATTGTACGGATGAATATGAAAACAATTTTAAAAAGCAAATTTGTTAAATGCTGTCAAAAGAATATTCACTAAGGCCATGTTTAGTTCGGTGATGGAAATGGAGAAATGGTAATCAAATTTTTTATTCCAGGTTTATTATTGAACGTGAATCAAATGGTGTGATCCATCCACTTTTTTTTATTCCAATCCCCTGGAAGCAATCACATTTATCTTTATAAACTCGTCAATTTCATTTTCATTTTTTATTTTGTGGGTCTCACATATTTATTATCATCACTCTTTTACTTTGCCCTTTCTCTCTCAAGATTAATGAGACTCATATCTGATTTCGATTCTGATTCCAAACAGTTTTAGTAAACAACATCAAAAGTTCTTATTCCGATTCCAGAAAATTTCTGGTAAGCAAGGATATTACCATTCCGATTCCTCGTGGGTAAATCGGTTTAAACCTTTTTGATTCAGTGAATTAATCCAGATTACCAATCAAACATGCTCATTAAAAATTTAATAACTAAATAACACGACCTGCAAAATTTTAATATCAGTATGTTGGTGTTATTATTATTCCCTTTTTTTATTCTGTATTGTAATTATGTTCTCACCAAGTAATTTATAGTCCGTTTCGTAACGTTTTCGTTTATGTTTATGTTTCTTCAATTTTAATAAAAAAAAATTGCACGGTTCCAATACCCATAAATTTAAGAATGATAAAATCATATTTATATTTATATTTTATAAAAAATTAAAATAGAAACAATAAATAAGAAATTTGTTTAATTATGTCCAAAATTTTTATACAATTTTGAGAATGCTTTTAGAAAATAAAAAACAAAAAATAAATTAGTTGCAAAAATACTTATTCTTAATAAAATTTAAAATAACAACGACGAACGTACCAAACAGACAGTGGCGGATGCAGAAATTTTGTTGAGGAGGCTTGATACTAATTTATAAATAAGTAATACGATTTTGAGGTAACAGAGTTTTGTAAATATGCTCTACAAACTTAATTTCGAATATTATAATTATAAACAATTATTTGTTCTTATACCAAGATTTGTCGATAAATTTTTCTAAATTAATTATATAAAATATCTATCAAAACTACTATTACTTTTATTCATCAGGCATCAATAATATCTCTATTTAGATTTCAAATTAAATCTGCAATAACATTAATAAAAATTAAAACATAATATAATAATGATAATAATTATATATATGAAAGTAGTTGAAACGTGAGAATTTTATGTCCCACTCCAAGTTTTTACTAACAATTATATTTAAAATAACCTCGAATAATCAAACTCAATGTATATGATATAAGGTTAATAAAAATATACCTCAGAGTTAGAAGTTGACGGCAATTGACGGCAATTATTAGACTAAAAAAACCACAAATAATTGAAAATAATTTTCGGTAGGTTTAAAACACAAGTGGTACAATTTAAAAGTAGGTTTTAAATTTCTCACAAACTTATATATTCTCTTATTTTTCTTTTTTAAAAAATTACAAAATTTATCTTTTTTTCTTTATCTTTTTCATTTTTTTAAATTGAAATAATTTATGATTTTATTCCACTTCACCACTCACGAAAATTTGAATGGGAAAAAAATTTAGGAAAATCATGAATAAAAAAAATTAGATAAACATAAATAAATAAAATGTCCATGTTGGGTTCAGGCGCATCGGAGAAAAATCACGGAAAAAAACAGTCAAATAAAAATAAAAAATACCCTGTTCAGTTTCAAACCTGTACTGAGAGGGCTAAGCGCCGCACCGACCACTGGGACATTAGTATACATATACTATAGTATAAATCTAAAAGTTCAGAGGGGCTCGAGCCCAGGCTTAAATTCCACCACATTAATAATATCGCCGCAGATAAAATAAATTCAAGGAAAAGAAAAACTGCCGGTTGAATAGAAGATTAAAAAATAGTTAAAATTCAAAAAAATATTAAATATATAAAAAAAAGTGAAAAATAGTTAATTAACATTTTGAAATGGCCAGACCCTGCAGTGGGCCCCACGCCATAATTATAAATATATTTTATAAATATCAATTATAAATATATTAATATGTCATATTTCTTTCTTATTATTATTATTATTTATTGAGTTATATACTATTTTTACTCCATCTATATATACTATTCTATTTTTGAAATATCTATTTTAATTTATGTATTTGTAATGTTTTAGATTAGTCTATGTAATCTCAAAACATTCCTTTCATTTTTATATATTATATACTTTTAAAAAGTAACTATTTAACTTTATATTTACAAAATTTTAACATTAGAATAAAAACTCTTTAATATAAGTTATAATTACATCTCAAAAGAATATATTGAATATAATATCATGTTGAAATTGTGATAAAAAAAAGAGAAAAAAGGTAAAACAAACAGCCTAAAACAATAATTTTTAAAAAATACAAAGACCAAAATTCATTTAGGGACGTAAAACTTCAGTTCGGATCAATTTATAAATATAAACACTAAAATAGATAAAAAAAAATTATAATTAGAGGTCCTCTTCTTTTTTTTTTCTTTTAACATATCTACCTCTCCAGAAAAAAAAATTATAAATATGTTTTTAAATTGGGTACACCAAAATAGTATTTAATTTTTTTGTGTTTGTTTTTTGAGCTAAAAAAATGTGAGAAAAGGAAACATAACGGCATTCATTAAAAAGTGAAGCTTTATATGATAAATTAATAATAAATGTATTGTTGTTTATTAAATTTAATTTATTTGGAGTTTATAAACATGAAATTTCGGCGCCAAGGCAACCACTTTTTTTCTGGCGTCGGAATCCAACCCTAACAACCTCCTCAATGCATTTGAATCTCAATTTTCTCTCATTTTTCTGATCTTTCTTCCTCTCGATCCCGGAGAATCAGAAAAATGGAGGCCGACGATCGCTTCGTGGATTTGAATCCGAGGACCTGCGTGGTGTTGGGAGGGCGTGGGTTTCTCGGCCGATCTCTGGTTCTCAGGCTCTTGACACTCGGCAAGTGGATCGTTCGAATTGCTGATTCTGCTGACTCGCTTGAACTCGATCATTCCGAGCATGATTCTCTCCTCTCTGTCTCGCTTTTGTCTGGTCGGGCTTCCTATTTCCATGTCGATGTTCGCGATAAGGATCAGATCGTTACAGGTGTGTCTATTCTCTCTCTCTATCTGTTCGGATGATCGTGAATTTTTGAGAAGTGTACTTCGTTTTGTAGTCGAGAGTTGAGCGGGATGCATCTCGTGTTGATCGGTGTAGGTAGTTGAAGTGGTTTTGAATTGCTTTTAAAATGCAAAGAACTGGTATAAGAAGTCCGAAGAATTATTTGAATTATTGAAAGTATGTCAAGATATTCTAAATGAAACCTGAAATTCTAGGTTCTTATTTCTTCCTTAGTATTTATGACTTTTTATTTTTTCATTAATTTTCAAAATGTGTTTGGAATTGAAATATTCTCTCAATTGGATCATAATTTTAGTATGCTATGATCTGTGAATTATGTGGAAATTCTCAGCTGGATCATAATCAGAGAAAAATGTTTTCGAAGGAGAATTTTTCTTCAGCTGTCTACAGCGTTAGAACCTCCTTTGAAAACCTTTATCTGCTTGAATGCTTAGAAAAATGTAGAGAGAGAAGAAAACCGAAACTTCTGTAGTGGCTTGTAACGTGAATTAATTGTCATTCTTCACTGTTGCTCCTTTCAACTCTAGCTACCTATTAAGCATTTTCACTATCCTAAATATGCCCACTACTTAACTGGGAATGAACAATTTATATAACAGAATGGAATTGTTTTTCTTTTTTCTTTTTGGCAGCTGTCAGTGGTTCTTCTGTTGTGTTTTATATGGACTATGAAGATTCATGTTCGAATGATATTTATCTCTCATACATGATTATAGTTCAAGGTACAGAAAGCTATTAATCCTTTGAAAGAATCCTTGTTATTCCGAACATATCCCACTTCGAAGGAAGATGTGATTGCTGGCATCTTGATTTCTCATTTAGGTGCCAAAAATGTCATTAATGCTTGTCGAGACTGCAAAGTAAGACGGCTAATATTCAACAGTTCAGCTGATGTAATTTTTGATGGTTCACGTGATATAAATAATGGAGACGAATCATTAAAATATCCATGGAAAGTATGTTTCTGCCTGAAGTGTTTCTCAATTATCTATTTTTGGACATGCCTAACATTCTCTTCTGCTAATCATTTCCTCATCAAGTGAGTACTATGTACAGTTTGAGGACATGTTGAGTGACCTAAAGGCTCAAGCTGAAGCACTCATCCTGTTTGCCAACGATATAGATGGACTTTTAACATGTGCACTTCGCCCTAGCAATGTTTATGGGCCAGAAGACACGCAACTCATTCCTTTTGTAGCGAATCTGGCAAAATCTGGTTTGGCAAAGGTTTGCAGAATTATTTATGTTTTGCTCCAGGCTTTGTTTTAACTACTGTCATTGAAATTTCTGTAATATCCATCAAATATTGTGGATTGTTTGTGCACTACCATTTCAAGTCAGGATAAATTTAAGAACCATGGATCTGATCAAAATTGGTGCCATAATATAGTCCATAGTAGAAAGGTGTTATATCTCTTACTATAAAAAATGAATTGAGAAACAATGGAATACAGTTTGTAGAAAAGCTATGGCCTACGGGGTCTTTTTATATTCATTGACTTGATGAAGTTGTGGTTTGTCTTCTCAAAATAAGCTTATCAATTTAAAATATGTACCTGTTAGTATGATGTATAGAAGATTTATATTGTCTACTCTTATTGAAGTAACAGAGTTTCTCATTTCAGTTCATTATAGGGAATGGTGAAAACATGTCTGATTTCACATTTGTTGAGAATGTGACCCATGCCCATATCTGTGCAGAAGAAGCACTAGATTTTCGAATGGTGTCTGTGGCTGGAAAGGTAATGCATTTAAAAGATTGATCCATAGCCTTTTCTCATAATTTTTTAGTGATGAAATTAAGTATTTCCTTTCTATCATTTTGTAGGCATTTTTCATTACTAACTTTAAACCCATGAAGTTTTGGAAATTTATATCTCTCATTTTGGAAGGCTTGGGTTATCGAAGGTACAGAATTATAGTTCATGAATTTTTAAATGATGCTCTTCTGTTGATCCCTTTCCTACCTTTTTGTGCTTCGGCATGTATTTCATGAGAACACTAAGGACATGTAGTTTTTAGTTCTCATTCTTGTTTTGGCTCTTTTTTCTGATAATGTTGTCTTGCTACTTGTTCTGGCAGGCCATCAGTTAAACTTCCCTCTAAGATGGTTTGGAATGTTCTCTTGTTTATGAAATGGATACATGAAAGGTTCGGATACGATAGATATAATCATTCCACTTGGGCTCGTTACATTCAGCTAGCCTCGTGCACTAGAACTTTTAACACTGTTGCTGCACACAAACAAATTGGGTACTCTCCTGTTGTTTCCGTGGAAGTAAGTTGTTATGAATATATCTATATGTTTCTTGTTCGCTCATATTTTATTTACATAATGATAATGGCATATTGTCTTCTGTTTTTTTCGCTTCTCTTTGTTAACTATCCTACTCATTTTAGGTTTTTGATCAACTTATAGATACTTAAGACTGAAAATAGATAAACTAAAAAATAGTGCGTTTTGTTGTTGCTTTAAAATTCTTAACGAATTTCTGTTTTTCTGTGTTGGCATTCTTTTTCTAGTTTAATATCTCTCCGTCTCACATGTAAGCCATGCACACACCAATTCAACTTCGATGAAGTTTGTGAACTATTACTATGTTTCGATGATTTAGAAACAACTGCCTTTGGTAGGAATTTATTTGGTAACTGTCATGTCTTTTTTTCTCTTTCCTGGTGAGGAAACAAAATTCCACATTTAATTGATGAATGAAATTACAAAGGAGGCTAGAGACTCAACTCAATCCAAACCCAAAACAAATTACAGCTCCTGGAACATAGAGAGGAAAGGGTCCAATTACAAAAAGAAGGGAGAGATTTATACTAAGAACGAGTAACAAGAATCAGATTATCAAGAAAAGAAGAAAAATCTGAGTGTTCATCCTTGAAAGTGTGCTTGTTCCTTCCCCTCCATTATCTGTAAATGCCACTAAAAGGCTCTTGAGATCCAAAATCACCTTTTATTTAGGTCATCGATTCGAAAATATGTGGATGATCCACAATGCTTTCTCCCCACTCATTAAATATTGGGAATGAGTTCAAACTCTATGATGACCATCTACCTTAGGAATTAGTAATTCCTATGTGTTTCCCAGCACCAAATGTTGTAGTGTCAGACGGTTGTCCCGTGAGATTAGTCGAGGGACGTGTAAGTTGGCCCGGACACTCACGGATATAAAACAAATATATATATATATTGGTGGAAAAATACACCAATCAGGGGCTGGCCATGACATGGATTAATACTGAAATTAAAGGCTCTCAATCCGATTATCAAAACCTGGAACAAAGTGACTTTCGGATGTTTAAAGGCACAACAGAATCAGATTCAAACCAATTGATACATTGGAGGAGTCGGGCCTATACAGGACATCCATAGAGTACAGAGAGCATCCATCAAGTCACTTATTTCACTGGCTGCAAAGGAAGAAACACAATGGAGACAAAAGTGCAAATCTAAATGGATCAAATAGGGAGACATCAATTCCAGATTCTTCCATAGATTAATTTCCTCCAAAAAGAAAAGGAAGAATACCATTAGGGAGATCTTGTCCAGACACAGTAACAACTTATTTTCAGAGAATGACATCGTTAACGAATTTACTTCCTTTTATGAACAGTTTTGCACTAAAAGCTGGCTCTATATCTCTTCCCCCCTCTCTATCTTGGCACCCCATCAATGGCCTACTAAGCGAGAGGCTGGAAAAATAATTTACCGAACAGGAAGTATGGTTAGCTGTTTGCGATCTTGGCACTAACAAGTATCCAGGTCTCGATGGTTATCTAGCATAATTCTTTAAAAAAATTTGGAACATTCTTAAGCAAGTTATCATGATAGTATTCCTAGACTCTTTTAGGAATGAAATCTTTTTTTGAACAAGATACGAACTTCTCATTGAAATAATGAAAAGGAACAAAATTGTTCAAAGATACTAACTCTCAAAAGAGTGAAAATATAAATAAAAATTTTAAAACTCAGAAAGTTGCAACAAAAACACCCCAATTCGAACCGATCAAACTAGGGGAATAATGTTTAAATAAAGGAGATAAAGAACTCCATTGAGAAGCCTTGAATTTAACAAGGTCGAAGCATGTTGAAGGAGGCTGCCTCTTTTCTTCAAAAATCCTCAGATTTCTTTCATACCACAACTCATACACTAATGCCTTTACTCCATTAATCCATAGGAGAGAAGCTTTAGGATTCAAAACAGGCCCAAAAGAAGCTGATTCAAATTATCTGCTATCTCCTTGCCGCTAGGAAACACAGACACTTATTTTTGGGCGAATTATCGATGTCGGACACGTGTCCGACATGGATACGCCCAGACACGTGTCAGACACGCATTTTGGCGTGTCTGATTTTATTTTTCATTTTTTAAATTGGACACGACTGGGGCACTGTTGGGACACGACCTGGACATGGCCTGGGCAATTTTGTGGGTTTTCTGGGCCCAAATAAAAAGGCCCAATGTCCATGAGTCATTTAAAAAAAACAAATAAATGATAAAAACCTAATACCCACCCACGATAACAAAAACACACCACCCCTCTCCCACGAAGCCAACGCCGCCGCCACCAACGCCCCTGCCTCTGTTTTTCTTCTTTTCTTAGGTAAAATCCCTGCCTTTATTTTTCCTTAGGTAAACTCTAATAAAAACAATCATCTTTTACGTCCCTTCCTAAAAGAATATTAAAAAAAGTAAACGTGTCCATATCCTAATTTTTTAGGAATTGACGTATCGCTGTGTCCTGTCGTGTCCATGTCCGTGCTTCTTAGCCTTGCCGAAAATCCATGCCAGATTAAATTCTTCTAACAAAAAATTCCAGCACGGTCTTTGCATAGGGGCATAAGAAAAAAAGATGTACCATACTTTCTTCAAAGAAAAAAAGATGTGCCATACTAGCATCTAAAATCTATATTTGCCTCATCCCAAAGAAAGTGGATGCCCGTACTATGGGAGATTTCCGACCTTTTAGCCTCACTACCTGTTTGTATAAAATCTTGGCAAGAGTTCTTTCTTTTAGACTTAAAAAATTGCTTGCTTACACTATCTCGGAGCAACAACCGGCCTTTGTTTAAGGTAGACAAAGCCTTGGTGCATCACTAATTGACAACGAGATTATAGATGAGTGGAAACATAAAAAGAAGAAGGGGATTGTGATTAAGCTAGACATTGAAAAAGCATTTGACAAAGTTGATTGAGATTTCCTCAATGGTATTCTTTGTGCTAAAGGTTTTGGTAGTAAACGGAGAAAATGGATTAGAGCTTGTATATCAATAGGAAACTATTCTATCATCATCAATGGGAGACCTTAAAATTTTAGCCTCTAGAGGACTTAGACAAGGGGACCCACTTTCACTCTTCCTCTTCATTATGGTAGTAGGTTGCCTTAGCTGCCTTTTAAGACAAGCCGCCGCCTCAAACCTAATAAAGGTGTTGAATTGGAAACTAATTCTTTGCATATACATTATCTTTAATTTGCTGATGATACTATACTTTTAGTTTTCTCCATAGATGACGACGACTCTATTTGGAACCTCTTTTAACATCATAAAGGAATTTGAAGAGGCTTCGAGTCTTAACATTAACCTGAATAAATCGATTATTGGCATCAACATGGTTGAGGATTGCATGATTGCCATTGCTGAATCTATTGGTTGCAAGATTGGTAGATGGCCAAACACATACCTTGGATATCTTCGGTCAGTTAGTTCTCCCACCCAACTAGCATTTGTATAGAAATCTACGCTACCAATCTGTTTGGTGATTTTTGAACAAAAATGACCAGGGGTACCTTTTAAGTTTTTTGTTTTTTGAACAAGAAACGAACTTTTCATTGAAGATATAGAAGAGAACAAAAATTGTTCAAAGATATAAACTCTTGAAAGAGTGAAAGTGAGAAAAATAAAACATAGAAACAACACCAAACGGACTACGAGGGGAAAATAAAGGCTCCCTAATTGTTACAAATAAGATTAGGCAAGTAATTTGAAAAGCAATCCAATAAAGAACACCATTGGGAAGCTTTGAACTTAAAACCTGTTTACAGCCCCAGAATGATGGTCATTTGGTCATTTGAACCGTTCTAATATTTTGGTAACAATACTAACAGAGTAAACAATCTTCCCAAATAAGGTTATATCTTTGTGGAGTCGAGCACTAGCTGATGTATTTGGCTATTTTAAATAAGTTAACGTTGGTGATGCAGCTTATAAATCTTCTGCAACTTCTGATTCATTTTAATAGTCACACCTTTGTTTATAGCATTAATAGCAACAATGTATGAGTTTTAACTTCTTTTGTTCTCCATTTCTTTTTTCTGCTGGTCAACAGGAAGGCATCAGACTAACCATTGAATCATTTTCACATTTGCGCAAAGAATTGGCCGTTGCAAGTTTCACCGACTTTACTGAAGAATCAAAAGTTGATAAGCTGCTTGGTGGTGGAAGAGGTTCAAACATTTTATCATTAATGTATTTAGTATCATTTTCTATACCAACGTTGCTTAAACAACTTGAATAATAAGTTGAATTTTCTGATTTCAACTTATGGTCCTTGTGCTCTTAGATGATTGCATTTTTTTTTGTTATTTTATATTTGACTGAATGGCTGTTGCCAACTGACAGATTAAATGCGTGAATATCACCTCATCCAATTGACCAATATGTAGTTAGTAAGAACTCTCAGCGGTTCAGCTGGGGCTGACTGAGAGAGCATGCTTGAAATGTAATATAGATGTAGGTGGTGTATGCAGCAGATACATGGATAAATTGGCTCTTTGGAAGAAATATGGTAAATGGCAGCAAACATTGGTTGTTGTCTTTTTTTCCCCTTGAGTACGTTTAGTAATTATCCTGCAACTGTGTGCTCGAACAATTTTTATATATTTATTTTTTTATTGATTTGAAACAGAATGCATTGATCAAAAAGGAGAGAAATAGCCTAAGTGAAAGGGCCGAGGAGGGCTCGAACAACCATTGTATTTGTTTTTTAACATAATAAACCAATTTTCATTCAGATTTGATGATAGAAAGAAAGGACAAGCTAGAAACAACAGAGCGGAATAAAAAAATTTACACATCAAACGACCATTTTACTCTTTATTTGTTAACAAAATTCAATAAATACTGTTAAATGGACCATAATTTAATTGGGTCTTTATGAGAAATATTTTGAATTTGCTAGATCTTGGATACATATGCTTTGATATATGAAGTGTTAGCTATGTGTTAAAAAAAACCCGTTGATTAAATGTAATGCATCTGAAAGTATAATACCAATATGGTTATACCTACATTGTTTACAGCTGATTGGTTGAGTGCATGAATATTGCCTCATTCAGTTGATTAACTAGTTGTTGTACAGGGTGGGTGAATTAGAGAACAGGCTTGAAAGTACAGGGTGGGTGTAGCATCATTGTATGTAGATATATTGATACACTAGGCTGAATTAAAAGAGTTGCTTTAGGCAGTGTGATGATTTGTAGTCGTATTTGTAGTCGTATTTGCCTGCTTGGACACATGGATTCTTTTTTTGTAAAAAACAAATTTCACAAGGACATGGTTCAGATATGTTGAACAAAAAGCATAATAGATGCAGAGTTCATTGATTAAATAGTCTTAGATAATGCTTCGGTCCGTATTGATTAGAATGTAAAAGAAGAAAGAAGAGAGTTGATGAGAGGAGGAAGAAAAAAAGTAATAATTGGGGAGTTCGGTGGTAGTTGAAGTTTTTGGATCCTTACTCACTGTTTTATTATTGTCTTGATATAATCAAAGAAGGCCGGTGAGTTTGTTTGGGGTGAACAATTATGGTTGAGCGGTCTTAGGATTCTTTTATTTTGGGGTTATTACTCTGTTTTATGGAACGGTTAATTTTGTTCTCTTTTTTAAAATTCTACGCCCACCCCAAGGCCCAAACAGTTATTTTATTAACGAGAAGTTTTGTTTTCTTGCTTAAAAATAGTCTATGGACATTTTATTTACTGACGACTGAAATTCACTTGTGTACCATTTCAAATTTGTAATTGTTCGTTCTTATTATTACATCATTTGGTTTACTCCGTAACAGAAGGTAAATTTGTATGGAGGAATGACGTTGAACTTGTTTCTGCAGTTGCCGATATATTGTTATGGCGAGAAGAGAAGAAATCATTCACATGTTTTCTTGTTTCGTCTCTATTGTTTTATTGGTTTTTTGTACGTGGAGGAACTTTTATATCATCAGCAGCCCAACTTCTGTTGTCTATCATTGTCGTCCTTTATGGATATGGCTTCATACCACCAAACATGTAAGTCTGCTCTTGAAGAACTAAATATTATTTTGGAATAGGCTGCTTAAAAGTTACTGTTAGGATTCTTATGCAGTGATAACTGACACTTTTTTGTAGCAATGTACAGCATTTTGCTTTGTGGTGGTCTTTAAACCACAAAATTCTTTTGTAATTATAGACCACACTTGATAGATAGAAATTGGAAGGCTGCTAATGTTTAGTTGCTGGGGAGGGTGATCTTGACTCTCTGCCCTTAGGTCGTCCTTTCTCCTTTTGAACCACTGAATATATTGTCTCTTATAAATAGATATATATATATATATATAACTGACTTTTTGATGACCGTATGACTACTTTCTTTAACGTGGAAATGGAATTGAGACATTCCACATTTAAAATTCTAGGATTCTTGTTTTTGTTGTTTTAAGCCCTTATTTTATTTTTCTGCAGTTGTTTATTATTTATTTTTTTTTGCATGATTATTTGCCTTCTTGTATAAGGGCATGGTTTGATGATGGGAATTTGCGGTGTTTTCAGTTTGCCCTTTTCCCTTTCTTTTTTCCTTGACAAAAACTATTTTCCGTCTTGTTTTCTTTTTAGTCATCATTATTGTAGTAGTGTTTTGTACTGACACCGAGGCTTTTCCATCAGATATGGGTTTGATGTTCAGAAATTATCTGCGTCTACCTTTCATTATTCTGATTCTGTAGTAAGAGATACAATTCTGACCCTAGCATGCCTGTGGAACGGAGCTATGTGTAACGCAAGATCATTGGCCCGAGGAGGGGATTGGAATCATTTTTTTAAGGTATGGTTGCAACAATCATTTTTCCATGTGCCGGTGCTATACCGTATGGAAATCTTGTATGTTTATTTATTTTGTTTTTTGTTAAAATACTATTTTGGTCCTGACTTTAGTTTTTTTTGTCCCTCTACTTCCAAAACATCCATTTTGGTCACAGTCCTTTCAACTTTTGTTCATTTTAGTCTTTATGCTTGAAAAATATCTATTTTGGTTCCTGTGCTTTGAAAAAAGATCATTTTGATCTTTATTTGCAAAATTTTAACATAAATTTTGTACACAATAGAAACCCTTTAATACAATTTTATGTCTACATTTTAAGAAATTATGTAGGTAAGTGTCATGCTAACTTATGTAAGAGTGAGTTTGAGGTAAAAAAAATTCTTTCAAGTGTTTTTTTTAAGTATTTTTAGAATTCTCAAATATACTTTTTGACTGTAAAATTTTTTTGTCTATGATTCATTGGTTGTGCAGGCTGCAGGATATCTTTATGTCCTCAAGCTGTTTTTCTCACAATCCTTGACTATGCTGATAGGCATGGGTAAGCAACAACTAGGTTTTAATTCTAAACTCTACGCAGTTCTTATTCCTTGTTATTCTTACAATCCCTCGTTCGAATAATATTGCAGGACTGGCGTTTGCATTCACTGCATTCTTTGTGTACGAGCAATACGAATCCGAGATCGACGGGTTTGCAAAGTTCCTTTTCATCGGCGCCATGGAATTAAAGAGATCACTTGCAAGCCATATACCAGTACAAGTGATGTCATTTCTCTGTAGTGACAAAGCATCACATCAAGCTAAAGAAGTTGCAGCAACAAAGCGTTAGAGTCGCATCCAAGTATGTCTGATCAATCCGTTAGCTCACTCGGGTGTCTGCTAGAATATCTAGAGCCTTTCTCCCCCCAGTAGAAGCGAAGAAGTGGAGGTAATCTAGCATATTACAAAACTCGACCCGAACCCTTCTTCTTGCAACATTTTCTGCCATTACTATGCAATGTCTTTTAACACACACCTGTTAAGCATCAGAGGCCAAATAAAATGTTGAAACTCGATGTGTAGCGTAGACGGGCACGATCGAGATGTAGATGAATATTTGGGGCTAGAGTCTAGTTTTTCATCCTTGTCCTATCAACATTACTTGTAGTATTGATGGCCAGCAGCAGCTAGTTCAGTACTTGAAATGTGGGGCTACAGTTTTCTTTTTTCCTTGAAACACCATAATATAGGGTTGAAGGTGATGCAATTTCCCTTCCTTTGAATGCATTGCAATCTCTTAAGCCTTATAATATGTGATTCACCTTAGTATTGAAGATTAATAAGCGATATTAGTTTTGGTTTATTTTATTCCTTATACTTTTAAAATATTTATTTTCATCGCTGTATTTTTATTTTATTTTATTTGTTTGTCTATTTAAAAATATTTATCTTGATCATTGTATTTTTATTTTTTTGTCCATTTTAGTCCTTACTTGATTTCTGTACTTTTAGAAGTGGTTGATTTTTTTTCTATTATAATTTCAACAAGAAGCTATATGAAATGTAGCTTTAACTTTGTATTAAAAGATTTATTTGGATATATCATTTATGTTAAAATTTTGCAATTAAAAATTAAAATGGTCACCTTTTTCAAAGTACAACGACCAAAATAGATGTTTTGAAACTTACCGATTAAAATGAACAAAGTTTGAAAATACACGGATTATAGTGGACATTTTGATTGTGCATGGATCAAAACGAATAAATTACAAGTACCTAAGAACTAAAATAGTATTTAAACTTAATATATCTAAATCTTCACGATTGGTCTGACAATCTTTTTTTCAACTTCTCTCCTCAGCATGATCCATATATTCAAGTTAGATACTACTAGACTTAGAAAACAAACAATTCTACCTCTATCAAAACAAGGGAGATAGGACATAATTCGATTTGACGAGATAATAATTAAACTTCTTTGTATTTATCTACCAATACCAAAGGTAACCAATTATTTAAAAAAGTATAGTTTAGAAATGGAACAAATTTTATTTATTTCTTTTTTGGGAACGAAATCAACAAGCTTTAGTTATCTCATATAAAATGATATTTTATTTATTCACTATAGTTAATATTATAATTTTCAAACTTTCTTGAAATTAAAATATTGAGTGGGCTAACCTGAGGATGAATAACTAGTCAAGGTATAATTTACTTCTTTAAAAGTCGGAGGTTGGAATCTCCAGCTCCACCTATTTTAGTAAAGTAAAAAAAAAACTATACTTCAAATTGAACGAGTGACTTATGAATGTTATCAAGTTGGATGAACCAATAATTCGAACACTATATACGGAATCAATAGAATCGCAAGCTCAACTTACTAAAGCCACGAGTTCATGGTGATTGTTAAGGCAGTATTGTATCTCTCTATTTTTTTTTTAACAACTAAGTCAATTGATATAAAAATGTTTATATATCCCAATCAAAAAGTGATGAGTTCGAATCTCCACACATTTTAAGAATATATATATATATTTATGACATTTTTACTATTGAAAAAAGTAAGGTGAAAGTAAGGTGAGACCAACAAACTTATACGATAAAACATCAAACAAACGTCATTTTTATGACATTTAAAAAAACAAAAATAATAATATTTTATGAATACATATTTATTTTTATTTTAAACAATTAGCTATAATTTATCCAAAAAAAAATTCATAAAAAAATATGATTAAAATGAAATAAGGAAAATTGGACTGAATGGCTTTTTGAAAGGCAAATTATGAAATGTATCACAAACTCCAAATTTTATGTTTTCTTACGTATTTTTGCGTGAAATTACAAGTTACCCCTTATCTCATTTTCTCTACTCTTTCCTCTTCTTCTCAACTCTCTCTTTCTCTCTCTTATTCATTCTTCCATTTCTCTGCAGATCCTTTTCCTATCACTGTGATTTGATTTTTTTTTCTTTTTCAAGGATGTCTCTTTTTTCCATTTTTTTTTCTACACCACATCCCATTTGATTTTTTGTTTTCCTTTCATTTTTGGAATTTTTTGTTTTGATTTTGAAGGCATGCACTTTTCTCTCTCCTCTCTTTCTCCTCTTTCTTCCTTATTTTTCATTCATCTCCTCTCAATCTTAACAAAGAACACAAAAAACAAAGAGTTCATACAAACCTCTACATAAAAGAAAAACAGAACACACAAAAAAAGGTTCGCTCCGGTCACTCTCGCCGTCGACGTATGTCTCTCATCGGAAAAAAATCGTAAATGGAGTTTGTAATATATATTTGGAGTTTTTTTTTATGGTGAGTAGATAAGAGAGAGAAAATTGGTTGAATTTTTTAAGAAAGAGAAAATTTGTAATACGAGAGAGGAGAAAATAATAAATTGGAGAAAAAATGAATAAGGTAAATAGGTATTTTCACTGATGTCGGCAAATGAGCCTTTGAAAAAGGCTAGGCTATTTAGTCCGATTGCCCCCGAAAAAAAAGTCATTATTGATTGTGAAGTGATTTTGCAGGTTTATGGTTGGGTTCGAATCATTTCCCAAAAAGATCTTGAGAACGAAATTTTGAGAACGAAATATAGAATGATTCCAAAATGACTCTCGAATTCTCTACCTGAAGCAGAAGAAGCGGCACCGCGTGAGTGAGACTGAAGTTTTGGAAGTTGTAATGGAATTGGAGGCGGTGGGCGATCTCGCGCTTCATCTCATTCTTTCCAAATTAAGCCCTACAGATTCCGCCATAGCCGCTTGTGTTAGTCGGAAGTTCAGATCCTCGGCCTCCGAAGATTCTCTCTGGGAGAAATTCTGCAACCAGGACCTCGGCCTCTCCCACCCAGTTGATCCTTCGGGGAACCCAGTTCCTTCCTTCAAGGTTAGACCCCTTTCTCCCTCTTCAAGGTTAGCTATGCCTATGGTTGATTGTTTCATTTTGTCTGTATGGGTTATACTTCATGTACCCGAGTTTATTGTCGATTTTGATGGATTTATTCTGGAAAAGTCGCTGAAATTGTGGAAATTGTACAAATGATTTGAATCTTTGTTGTTACTGTTGGTTTTCTTTTTTTAGATAGTTCTAGTTTCATTGATATTTTCAATATTCCAAAGTTTGGGCTCGTTCTGGTATGCTTAATTTAATCGTGAGATGGATGTGTCAAAAGTTTGAAATCTAAGACTATATTATATCAATGCATCTATATACAGCCTTGCTTCCTAATACTTGATATTTCTCTTCTCTAGGAAACTTATCGAGCATGGCGCACAGCTTTTGCTATGTATCCTTGGCCTCTGGTCAAGCGAGTCAAGAGATGTTGGAATGGACTCAAAAACTGGTTGAGTATAAATTTTCCCGAGGCTCTGGAGACACTCCGGGAAGGTGCATCAGAAGCTGACATTCAAGAATTGGAAGACGCTTTGAAGGTGAAGTTACCACTTCCGACGAGGATCCTTTACCGTTTTCATGATGGTCAAGAGTTGAAAGGCAGATATGTTGATCGTATTCAAGGCTTTCCATTGGGTATTATTGGGGGATACTCTTTCTATCATCGGACTGTAAATGTTTATTTGTTACCTTTAAGACAGGTGATCTCTGAAACAAAATCTATCACTCGAGATCTCGGTTTCTCAAGGAGATCCAAATACATAGTTGTCGCTTCCTCTTCGACACTTATTGAGAAGGTTTTTTTCCTTAATTGTGCTTCTGGTCAACTCTTTGTGGGTACTGCAAATCTTCGGGAAGATGGAGAAATGATGGCATGTGTACCTAAGGCGTTGATAAACTCAGTGCATGAGTATGACACAGAACAGCAACAGGATGCTTTGTTATTATGGCTAGAAGAGCATGTCCGGCGCTTAGAAAATGGTATTATCAAGCTGCGTGAAACTGATAACATTAGAAGTATCTCTCTTTTTCCGGATGACTCTCCCTTATGCTCTGTTGCAATAACCAATGGTGTCCGTGTAAGTTATACTTTTAGTTATTTTGACTTCTTTTATAGCTTTTATGATCCAAGGTTGCCGCATATTAAGGAGCAATGGAAGTCATTATATTTATTGAATCTTGTAAAAAAGTATACACTTTACTTCTTATGAAGAGCACCTATTCAAGGACGCTTTGGTAATTGGGTTTAGGTTTCTCAATTATTTATGAGCTCAGAAGAAATGTATCATCTCTATCATTCTTTATCCCTAATTCCATATTTCTAGATAGAAAATTTAGTTTATCAGATATTCTACCATAATCTTGTTCTAGTGCTTGCCATTAAGGCAAAAATCAGTTTTCTTAATTTTTATGGTCTAACCAATGGGTAATTTTGTTACTTAGGTTCGTGCTTCTGCTGTCTTTATCCCGGAGTCGACTGATCTTCAAGACAACGGTGGAAACTATCAATTTTCATATTCAGTCCGCATGTCATTGCAGGCTGAAGGTTGCATCATAAATGGGATAACATTCAGCTCATGCCAATTGCATTATAGACACTGGATAATCCGTGCTAATGATTATGTAATTTCTAGAGTTAATGCAGAGGCCGTCATTGGACAGGTATGTATATATATATATATATTTCTCTTTTTTGATACCAGAATGGTAATTATATTATTTATCATGGTCAGCTGAACAAATTATGTGGAATACACTTTAGTGTAAGTGCCAGGAACTGTGGCTCACATCATTAATATTTTCATCAAAAGAATATTTGTTGCTCTAATGTTTAGTCATCTAATGGTTTTCTTCTCCCTTGAAAATTCAACTCTGGAATGTGCCCCATGTTTTTCATTATACATCTTTTATCAATATATGTTAATTTAAGATCGATTGTTGATAGCAAAAGAAAAAATCAAGTCATGTACTAGCTAGATATTACAAGGACCCAAGAGTGTCTGCTTATAGAAAAGGATCATACAGAGATTCACCATCCGTAGCAGATAGAGCAACCAGTGACAATGGGAGTGGCACAAGGCTTGGCCTGATGCAAGTTAAACGATCAAGAAAATTATTATTGTAGGTAGTCTGATGTAAAAGTAGACGAATAGCAACAATTGGAGTTGAATGCCAAGAAAATAGTATAGGAGCCTCAAATCCTTCGTAGCAAATTTTTTGTGTAACTGATGGATGATGGACTAAATTGAGGTTGTTGCCTGTGATATTGAGATCATCAACATAACTGAAAAGTAAAACCATATAAATAGGTATATGAAGAACTAAGAAGGAAATATTTGATTTGGACCAAACAAAGTTCCGTGGGAAAAAAAGGTCTTTAAATGTTCATACCAGGCCTTAGTCTTTGGAGCCTTTTTAAGGCCATTAATGGTAACATGATCTGGCCGAGACCGAGAGGAATCTTCATATAGGTGGTTTTGTCATATAGACGTCCTCTTTTTAACTCACTATTGAGAGAGTCTTTGTAATATCCAAATTTTGAAGAGGCCACAGCGAAGGTTAGAATAACCTAATGGTCAGGATGGGTGTCAGGTACTTGGTAAAAGCTCTTAGCAAGCGGAGCTTTATGCCTAGTTTTTTTTAACAAGAAACTAACTTTTCATTTTTCAATGATTAATGAAAAGGAACAAAATTGTTCAAAGATACAAACTCCGAAAGGAGGGAGCAAAAATAAAATAAAATAGTATCCTCTCCATTTTGAGCTTGTTAACCCATTTGTTGCTGATCATCCCAGTATGTAAACCCATATAGAACTAATTGAATTATGGAAGAGGCAGGGAGGAACGGGCAGCCAAGTTTGATTGTTTAAAGGGCAGTAAACTATTGACTGTTGCAGTACACTAAGCAGGATTTGTTCTTTCATCAGATAGGTGAGTGGTTCACATCGAGACCAATAAAGAAAGAAGGTCGGTCGTTTTTTATAAGGTGCCAAAAAGTGTTTGGGTTGGTGTGTCAACCTTCCAACGTGTGAGCATAGATGAATATTTAGAGAAGGGACTGAGGTGCTGGGTTTAGAAGGGGAGGTATGAGTAATGAAGGGGAGGTTTGAGCAATGAGGTTGGCGTAGGTGGGGGGTAGAGGATAAGGAAGATGAGGATGAAATTTCTAGAGAAGTGTATTGGATTTGGAATGGGAGATGGATAGATTATCTTCGTTGGAATGAGAAGGAATGGTACGTGTGAGTCACAGGTTTGATGTAGAAAACTCTGGTGAGGGTAAAATAAGTTATGGCAGTCAAATTCTATCGGGGTGATGGGAGGTTGATTGTTGTGATGAATTGTTTTCCCTAAAACCAGTAACATAAGGAAATTCCTCTTGCTTGAGGTTCACATGTGTGCTGGTATTTATTCTACGGAAGCATCAGTACTTTTTGCCTTCATATTGGTCACTACAGCCAAAAAAAGGCATCTGGCTAAGTGGTAGTTCCCATTTTTGTGCTGAATTGGGGGGAGGGGGGGCTTTCTGATAAACTAATTCATGAGGTATTTTTGTTCTAAGCAAAGAAGTAGGCAGCCTATTTATGAGGACTTTCGTATGGAAGGTTCTCACTGGAAAAAGAGAGGCATTTTAGCTTATGTAAAAATGTTACCCTGTTTCAACCTCATGTCTGCGGTTTCTTTCCATTCTCCCACTTTGTCTAATGTTTGAGAACAATCAAGCTAAACATTAATACCACATACCTCGACAAAGATTGATAGTGCATAGTGGTTTTGATTTCTCCTCTATCATATCTCAGGCTTTTATTGTCCATTAAATTGAACAGCTATTTGGTGCTTTGGAGCTACCACCTGCATCAGGATTCCGTGTCGATTGTTTTGTTGATTATTCTTTTGGATTGCATGTATTGTGAGAATCTGTTAAGAAGGTGTAGAAATAAGATTTTGAAGACCCATCAACCTCTGACGCTAGGCTTATAGATTTGAAAACCAAGGTGTTCGGTGAGCTCGTGAATATTTTAGCCTAGAGCAAGAAATTGCTCATGAATGAAAATTTGAAGCCAGAAATTTGGGCCTTTAACCTTGCTGCTTTATACTTAGAGATACTTCATCTAATCTGGAATAAGAAATATGAATAAAAGATCTCCACCTAATTTATGAAATCACAAAAAATAGCTGGAGGGAGGTCAATAAGTTCTTTATCTGTCCCCTTGGTGTGAAATTACCTTTCTTTTAACGGATTCATTCTTTTCATTGTCTTTCTACCGTGGTTCGTGGCTTTCAGTTTCCCCTCTTGCACCCGGGAGAGAAAGAATTCGTCTACGAGAGCTGCTCAACTCTGTATTCTTCTATGGGCTCCGTTGAAGGGTCTTTTACATTTGTTCCTGGAAGGTACACTTCATATATGATTTATTCTCCCATTTTGCTGTTCTTATCCATAACTGTGGATTTTGTGGCTCTTATCCATATATTGATTTAATCTCCCTTGGTTGTTGTCCATACCCATGGATTGCATGTTGATAAAAAGAACTGTATAGGATTACTAGAACAAAACTACTTCCCATTTGATGTGATTAGTGTACTTCATTGTTGAGTAATGTCCTTCATCTATTCCACTGTGTCCGAACATTGTGCAGTTTTCCTAAAACGGACCCCAAGGATCAGGTTAGGAACGCATTTTTCATTAGGCATTGGAGAATGTCCACTTTAAGAACTTTTCCCATCACATTACTCTTTAGATTTTATTTTATTGCTGGCTATTGTCGCTGTTCCAAAGTTAGCATTGATTGATATTTGATACTGTGGCTTAAGATTTCGAAACTGTCGGTTTAATCCCACTATCATCTTTCTCTATCTTCCTTATCATCATTTCCTGTCATTTTTTTGAGTAAAGGACTAACCCAACTACGAAATATTTGGAATAAGTTGATTTGGTTTATTTGTGGAAAAAAAAGGGAAAAATATTAGTTCTTTCAATGAATCAGGGATAGTAATTCAATCTCAAATTTTATATTATGAAAAAATTATACTCCGAACACAACAAATCTAGCCGAAATATAATTGAAAGAGTTATATACACTTATGGAGAGCCCATGAACCAATCCAATCCATAAAAGTTTCAACAACCCCATACCATATGACCATATGATTTAGGTTGAATTGATCAAGTTTTTCGAGTCATCTGAGTTTTTGTCACCCGTACAAATGATGTTTCCCTGGAAAAGTGAATAGCAATCCATGTCTGTGGGATGTATTTTGCTTCCAAAGTCTCAGCCAACTGTTCTTGTGCAAAGTGAAAACATCTTTTTTCTGGTGTTGTCTTGTTAATGTATGTATTTATCACACATGCATTTGTGCATACATGGACGTTTAGCCGAGTAGATTCGTATATCGACAAGGCTAAATTCTGCCGCTTTTTTAATGGAAAATTAATTTTTCAGCTTGATGAGTCCAAAAGGCAGATCATTTGAAGCTGAAGTGGCAAGGTTTCCTCTCCAGGTTCCAGAGTACATCTTCTGATCTCACTGCTAATGTACAAAAGATTTGAATTCTGTATACACAGCACATTTCACCTCACTCATCTTTCCTCTGTTTTGTAAAGTTTGAAGCATGTGAGAGTAATTTTTTTATAATTTATTTTGCCTGTTTGAGATCTCATCCTATTTGTTTCTAGCATATTGATGATTGTGCAGTGAAGTGAAATATATCTGATTGTACAGTGAAGTGAAATACATTGAAAGATGCCACTTAGACTTGACTAGTTCTATAAGGTGGCATTTACTTTTATTGTCATTAGATGCAAGAAAAGAAATATGGTTGCATTAAATTATTTATTGGTTGATAAGGGGTTTTGGATATAGATAGGTTTTTCTAATGTTTTAGCAAATTTTATTTATAAATATATCTATAAATATGCCACAAGGGCGGGCTCCATCGATAAGGGTATAGACCTTACCATCTTATATAGGGACTCTGGGTAATCAAATCGCTATATATATTGGCAAAACACGTTATTGATGCTTTAATCGGTTGAGATATATTTAAGTCGACATTATTTTGATGACTCATACCCGGGCTTCAACTGATTAGGCTGGGTTCGTCTCAGCTGGGTTCGTCTTATATAACTAGCCATGTTTGTCTAATACTAAGAAATCAAAAGAAATAAATGAAAGTAGTCCTGGTCCTTTTAACAAGTTTGGAACAGGTCTTTGACTTTTGAATGTTGGGTTTTACTCATATACTAAGTTTAAGAATTGTATGATATTTATTTTTGAGCAAATTTTAGTATTTTGTGGAATTATTGATATTAACGATTATGGTATATTATATTCAAAATTCAAAATTCATGGTCCTAGTTTAAAAAGTTTCAATTTAGTCTTTTATGTTTTTATACTTTTCAATTTAGTCTATTGATAAATGTTAAAACTTTACTAATAGTTAGTTTTTTTTAGTACAACATAATAGTTAGTTAATTGACGGAAATTTGAAAGAGGAGGTATCTGATAGAGAAAATTTTCTACCAAAAAAAATTAATAGTTGATTGCAAATATAACATTACTTTTCTAAATTGCAAATATAGTGAAAAATGGAGGACAAATCTAAATAAAAAGAAATGAAAAAGTAAATTATACTCCTCGTATTGATATATCTAATATCAAGTATATAAATAGATATCCAAAATTTAGTAGATAAATTATATATTTAATCTGACCTTTCGTGAAAATAAAGATGGAAGCCTCAATGTACTTAATATTAGGTATATCAATTATATCACAATATATTTCATATTAAATGTATCAATTATATTAGTGATATACTTTATATTCAGTATATCGATTATATAACTAATATACTTACAAAATTGGAATAACAAAGAAAACAAAATTTTGCTTAATTATTTTTTGGTCAGATTTACCAAATAAAGAAGAATTAATTGTTATATTTGCAAATGCTATTTTGGCCCATAAATTTGACATCTCAAGCCGAATCCATGTTGGGCCACAATTCGAATTTTTTTTTCTTTCCAGATTCACTCAATCAACTCAATATCTGTTTGGCGTTTTTGAAAACTATTCTAGTATTCTTTAATCCAAATGATGAAAATTATGCAGTATTTTCCGATTTTGAATTTGAAATTTAAAATACAGATAAAAACTTTGATAAATATATTTCATGTTATAACTTCATTTAATTTTTGTTAAAATTAAAAAAAAAAGTAAAATATAATATATTATAAACTATATAATATTGTAAATTAATTATTCTTCAAATATATATATATATTAATTAATTAATTAATATTATTGAACTAAATATTTAGTGGGTAATTATCATTAGTTTACAAATATATTACTAAATACCTTATACAATTTTTAAAATTGATATTTAATTTCCAAATTTACTCCCAAACACATAAAAAAAGCTGAAAATATTAAATACAACCTATTTTTCATTGAATTTGTTGTTTTTAGATCATCAACAAAATATACTAGGAAGTTTTCCAACTATAACCCTAGGGATTGAATTGTAAATTATCATTCAAGCAATTTTTTTAAATTTTATTTGTTTGTTTTCGTTTTTTTTTTACAAGAAAAATTTTCACATTACCGATTTCTTACGTGCTACTTACAATATTTTATTTAAACTAATTTTTTTACAATAAATAATAATATTATCTTTTCCTTAAAATTTTATACTCTTCATTTATTCTAATTCAAAGTATATATTTAACTTTTGATATGTTATTTTAAGATAAGAATTTTAAATTTGTAATGAATTTATTCATATTAAAATAAAAGAAATACACAGTTAATTTACAACAATCATATTAAAATTACAAAAAATTAATAAATTTTCAAGAGATGATATTTTATTTCGAACCTATGAAATTAAATAATATTTCATTTTAAATTATCTATGTTAAAGAATTTATTTGATTTGTAACTTAACAAAACTATTATATTTTGAACAACTAATGTTTCAATAAAAATTTACAGTATACTTTACATTCTCAAAATTTCAAAGCAAATAATTAAATAGATTTCTAAATTCGATAAAAAAAATTATAAAATCTCACTTTACAAATATACTATAAAAAAATGGTGGGATGAAATTTATTTTGATGTAATTATGGGGACTACTTTCTCTGTTTTATTAACTCTTTTGTCATTAAATATTTTGTTGAACACGTGATATCAATATTAAATTTTACTCGAAATTATTGTGAACAATTTGATCGACTTTAAAATTTAATTTATGCGTCCATCCATAAAAATAAATAAAATTATGATTTAAATATATATATATATATATATATATATATATATATATATATCAAAAATTGACTATCAACTCAAACCATCAATCCTGCACGTCAAATACATGCTACGTAAACTCAAACGACATAACACTCGGATCAATCCCAGACTTCACAAATTCAAGCTATCAATGTTGAACTCGTAGGCCAAAACACCCCTAAATGTTTTTGTTATACATTAAACATTCCTTTTTTAACTTGTCTCATTATTTGGTCAATGGTGGGATGGGATCATGGGAGGGATGAAGATAATTTTAATATTTCTTCGAAAAAAGATTATAATTATAATATTAGATATTTTATTAAAGAAAAGAAAAAGAGAACAAATATCTTTTTCTTCCATGAGCCCACTTTTGTTAGAAAATAGAAACCCTTGATTTACTTTTGGTCGTTTGCGATGCGATTGCGTAAATTCGGACCCGATTCGGCGATTCCCACTCTCCAGCTGTCCTTCTCTTTCGATTATAGCCTGCAAAAAAAGTCATCTGCTTCCCCCATTTCTTGCTTCTGCTTCTTCACTGTCCTCCAAGCTGCTGTTTTTTTTTTCAACCCATTTTTAATGCGTTGACGATTTGGATCTCTGGTTACAGTTTGGCGTCCTGCAATCCACGTTTTGTTTGTTGGTTCTGTTCCTTTTGATTTTCACCACTTGATTCCAAATGGGTGTCTGGTTCCAGGGCTTTTGATTCGAATTTCTCAACAGCCATTTCGGAAGCTTTGCTTGTTTGATGAAAAAATTGTGACTTGGGACTTCTATGTTGTTTGGTTGCTTTACGAGGGTGTTTCTTAGTTGATGGAGAAGGATAAACCCCAAAGCCATTCTGGAGGATTTCTGCCCCCATCGAGTCGTTACTCGGGTCTTTCACCAACTGGGAGTAGTTTCAATGGAAAATCTGAGGCAGCTACCTCTTCAATGTCGTTCCCTCCAATGGCTCCGAGTGCTAATTCCGATTCGGGTCAATTTGGTCGTGGAATGTCCAGCGATTCCAATCGGTTCAGCCATGATATCAGTCGGATGCCTGATAACCCACCGAGAAATATTGGTCACAGACGTGCCCATTCAGAAATATTGACACTTCCCGATGATATTTGCTTTGACAGTGACCTTGGTGTCGTTGGCGGTGCTGATGGGCCTTCTTTTTCTGATGATACTGAGGAAGATTTGTTTTCCATGTACCTTGACATGGATAAATTCAATTCTTCCACTGCTACCTCTGCAGTACAAGTCGGGGAGTCATCCTCCGGTGTTGTAGAAGCGAGATCAACACATGCTTCAGGAATTGGAGCAGCAACTTCTAAAGATGATGCCTCTGTTGGTTTGAAGGAGAGGCCGAGAGTCAGGCACCAGCACAGCCAGTCCATGGATGGCTTGACAACCATCAAACCTGAGATGCTTGTCTCAGGGTCTGAAGAAGTATCTGCAGCTGATGCCAAGAAAGCCATGTCAGCTACAAAGCTTGCTGAACTTGCTCTAATAGACCCCAAACGAGCAAAGAGGTATATTCCCTGTAGAACTCCTTTCCTTATTTTGTTTAACATGGACAGAAACTGATGGTGTGTTCTTTTATGATGTATCCAGAACAGATTTTGTGTGTTGCTATGTTTGGGTCATTTTATATTTTCTATTCTTGTTCATTTTCTAGACAGAATCATTGTTGCTGTACGATTTATGCTAATTCAACTTACTTGGATGCTCTACCTTTATTGCAAGAAGTGTATGATAGTATGATGTGTTTTTTGTCAATATTTGACGACAATATTTAGGGCAAGCATCCATTCGGGTTCGAACATTGCTTTGTAAGAAATGAAACTGTGTGTATATTTGGGTGGGTACGAACCATATCTTTTGTCTCTTGGCCCTGTTGATTTTTTTCTTTTGTAATTTCTCTTTTGGTGAAATTATTTTTTATTGTCAAGATTTTGAAATTTTTTTGTCTTTTTGTTTCTTATAAAAAAAAAAAAAGAAAATATTTTGTCTTTCTAGATTTCCTTTGATGAGAATGTTCACTCTATGTAAATGGAACCCTATCTTTCATATTGAGTTACGACTTATGAGGTGTCTTTTAATATCTAACTGGTATTAGATCATTTACGTGGATTGCGTTTGTGTGCTCTCTTTTCTTGAAGAACCTGGAGTTTTCTTTTTCTTACCCTGCATACATCTCCCCTTCTCCCTCGCCATTCAAAGCATTTTTTTTTTCCAATTTTTTCATTTCTGAGATTTTTTGTTTTTGTGTCTTTCAATTCTTATGTTCATCCTGTTTCCCATGGAGAAAATGAAAAAGGACTAAGAAAACTTGTTCATAATCCCCTTCATTGTGCAATGTATAGGATATGGGCAAATAGACAGTCAGCTGCTAGGTCGAAGGAAAGAAAGATGCGGTACATTGCTGAGCTTGAACGGAAAGTTCAGACTCTGCAAACAGAGGCAACTTCTTTATCTGCTCAGTTAACCCTGTTACAGGTGGGTTATCATATAACTAATTGTGTTTACCATATTTTTGGATGCCTATTCTATATTTGTGTATCATTCACTTTATTTTCTCTGTATTTCAATATAATGATATCATGTTTTCTTATTGCCTTCTTATTATCAGAGAGACACGAATGGTCTTTCTGCTGAGAACAGCGAACTAAAGTTGCGGTTGCAGACAATGGAGCAGCAGGTTCACCTGCAAGATGGTAAGGACCTTCTCTGTAATTTCAATTTTGAGGTGACTGCCACATTATAAAGTTGCCTTCTATTTGTTTTTATCTAATCGCCTTGTTTTGTATTTGTATAAGCAAATGTAGGTACTTGGAAGATAATTTTATATGTACTTTTGACATTGTGGACATTGAAAGTTTCTTTCTAGTCTCCAAGTCTCCATCCTATAGCATAAGGAAGGGCGTTTAAGTTTTACAGAGTTAAGTTTATGGGTTGGGGTTCAGTGCAAGTATGAGATATGACCCAATCGAACATTCATTGAGACAGAATAAGATTTTTTTTTCCTTTTTAAATAAGAAACAAGCTTGTATATGTTAGGCAAAAGAAGAGCAAACTAAGGGCTGGGGTAGAGGAAACCCCACCTGAGAACTAAATCAACATTTTCCAATTGTTCATGTCCAAGAAGAAGTGTGCTGTACATCCCTTAAAAAATGTCAAAAGTAGAAGCTTTGTCCTAAAAACTCGAGCATTTTTTATAGGGAGTCATAATAACAGTTGATACAAAATGAAAAGTTGATTAAGCGAAGCATTAGAGCATAGCTTTTTAATGATTATAGGATATGATGTGTCTTGTTGAGAGAGATAAAAAGTGGCAGTCTGTGAGGTACTTGACACACTTTAGTGGGATAGTTGTAGGAAATTGATCGATATACTTCTAGGAAGGGCACCTTTAGGCAGGAAGGCGTGAACTTATTTATTTGGTGAATTGTGAAATAGAAGATGAGATTCTTCAAATATTAGAATCCTGCTTCGAGTTTCATTTTGACCTGGCTATTAGATTGGGATGGTGCTTCTAGTTGAATATTGAAATTGTTAATGGCCGGGCTTCTCCTTGAGTTTGCTGGCTCTCTCAGAGGAACTGAGCTGTGGGATGCAGATTTTCAAGGTGTAGCTGCAAGTTGATCTCTAAACTCAAGAGCTTCTTGCTCTTGTGTGTGTGTGTGTGTTTTTTTTTTAATTTTATATTGAGCTTCGTACTTGTTGTCACAACCCTTATTTCCATCAACAGTGTGACAATTTTTTTTATGAAAAACACAACTTTCATGGAAGAATACAAGAGGGCAATACAAAAGAAGGAAAGCCCAGACCAAATAGAGCCACGAAACAACCAAAACAAAAGAAACAAAAAATGCAAATTACAGATATGGGCTCCAACTCCAGAGAATGAGATAATGGATAATCACTAAAGTCTTTGGTGAAGGAAGTCCAAAGAGAGGCTTGAACTTAGCCAAGCCTCAAACCAACAGTGTGACACTTGTTTGGATATTGTAGACAGGCGCTTGGATGGGCTAAGTAGTTGGATCACTTGCCCTTTCTTGCTAGTCACTATCTTGTAATCATTGGGTCATGCTTGCTCAAGATTTGGAGGATTTCGTAGAATTAAGCAATTGGAAACTTGAGCTTCAGAAGGATTCTTTGAGTTAAGCATTTGACATTTTGTCCAACCCTGCACACTCACTGATATAAAAAAGGAAAAGTACAAGGAAATCCCAAATGACTTGAGATGTTTTGCTTGCCTGCAATATTACGTTTTTAGCATTAGTATCTGCACCTGTTATGTTGGTTCACACAGTTTGGCATTTGGTTCCTGTTAGAGGTGGCCTGTCATAGAAATTTTGCCTTTGATATTGATTGATCATGCCATCATGGTGTAATCTCAAACCATTGAACATCATGATTTTAGGTTGTTTTTGAGCTTCATTTTCTTCACTTTAGAAAAACAAAAGATTTCATGAATTTGAGGTAGAGTAGAAGGAAAACCATTCTTCTTAAAGTATTTGAAGCATTTGAACAGATTAACAGAACAAAACAAAAGTGCCAATAACTAAGGATTTCAATGCTTTTCTTATGTGTCTCATTCTGGTCATGGGAGTCTTTTCTGCTATTTCTCGTAGTTAGGTAGTTTTTTTGGCTCTTGTTGTTTCAAGCATTCTTTATTTGTTTCATTCTTTTGTATTTATTCATTCTTCTCCATAAAAGTGGGTTTTTCATTTAGAAAAACAGAACTATCTTGTTAATCTAGGATCACATTTAACTAAAATCATAAAGTTCGACTTAAAAGTTCATTTTCATGTCCATTTTTGGGCTTTTAACCTTTTTCAATTTCCAAAACAAGATATGCTTTGTAATGTTCTGGTTTCTGTTGAAGCTTTTGTGTAACTCTCCACTACCTGAATGAAAAGTTTGTTTTAGTTTCAAAAGGAGACAAGATAAGATCCAATAATTTCTCTTGTGGGGCCCCATCTTTATTAGTATCTCTCCATCTCTCTCTCTTTTGACAGCTTTAAATGAAGCTCTGAAAGAGGAAATCCAGCATTTGAAAGTATTGACTGGCCAACCAATCCCAAATGGTGGATCAATGACAAGCTTTGCTTCATATGGAACTAGCCAACAACAACAATTCTACCAAAACAATCAAGCAGTACACACTTTGTTAACTGCTCAACAGTTTCAGCAACTTCAAATCCACTCACAGCAGCAGCAGCAGCAGAATTTTCAGTATCATCAGCTGCATCAGCTTCAGCAGCAACCGACCGGAGACATAAAAATGAAAGGGTCGGTTTCTTCTCCGAGCCTGAAAGACAACAACACATCAGATACGTCCTCTACCGCTTGTTGAAAGAGAAGGCCTAGTGAACCTACTTGTTGTCACAAATAGTTTATCTAATACATAGAAGAAGAGATGAGCCACTGTTCAAAACCATCATGGTTTAGCTTTCAAAATTTTAGTTGCATTTGATATCCAAATACCACATTTCTCAAGACTCCTCCTCCCCACAAGCATATTGTTTGCTTTCCTGTATCTGTTAACTTCTGTATAATGTTCATTGTTCTAGATAGAGAAGTTGTAGTTCATTTGTTGTTAGATTGTGGATATAACAGTTTCTCAGTCGATTCAGATGTTTGTTTTCTCTTTCTCGAGATTTTGTTATCCTTAAACATCGTTCTTAATATAAGATCAGAGATACCCTTTCATCCTTCCTTTGATTATGCAATTAATTCTCTACCTGAGCTTTAAGTTTCATTAAAAGAACTCCAAGTAGGAAGTTAGGATAAGTTTGTTTGGTGAAATGAAAATAGAAATCTAAAATCAAAGGATTCAACAAAAAATGGAGTTATATAAATACTAATGTTTCTAGTATTTCAAAATATGTATTTGGTAGCAAATTTGTAAATCAACTTTCAATTAAAAATTGTTCAAGATGGATTGATATATTTATAAACTAGTGGTAGTTACCGATTAAATATTTACTTTAATTAAAAAAATTATTAATTAATTTATATTAATTTAAAATATATTATATTTTACCCACTTAATTTTAACATAAATGAGTTTATAACAAAATATTATATTTATCAAACTCTTTATATAATCCTACATTTGAAAGTTTGAAATTTAGGAGAATGTAGCCAAATTCAATAATTTACCAACAAAAATGGAAGTTATGGGTGATGGGTAAGTGTGGGCCCATACTTTTCTTTTTTAATACAATATTGGTGGGGGATCCAACTCACAATATAGTTGGAGATATATGTTTGAACTATGCTTGCTTTGACGTGTGGGTCCATACACTTAAAAATTTTTAAAATGATAAATTTAACTTTTGATTAACCCATTGCTTTGTTCTAAGTTCTACGGTAGCTTAGCTCAGTAGTAATTGTACTTGCCTATGATCAAAAAGTCATGAATCTTTTCACTCCACTTTCGTGCTAAAAGAAAAAAATAAATCTAAGTTATACCTTATTTTGATTGGCTGTTGAGATTTCTTTTTAGTACAATAAATTGGGGGTGTAATCTTCAACCCGAGGTTCATACATGTCAACTTTTTACTTGTAATTTATGTGTTTAAATCTTAGTGTTCTTTTGGATCCCTCGAAATACATAAAAATATATTCTCATTTAATATGATTGTTGGTACTACATCACTTTTAAATTTATTATATCGACTCTAATGATGGCTAGGTCAACTCAAAGTTGTTCGATAATAACTTTTACGACCCTACACTGTTAAATTCATACTTTTTTTCTTACATTAAAAATTATATCACGACCCACACGAATAAAAAGGAAAATTCAAGCTAAGATGAACAGGTAATTGACTTGAGGTTGACATTACATTACAAGAGTTCTGTTACGTATGAAATTTGTTAGTTTCTGTTAGAAAACATTGCATCATATCGACAAACTTTGGCTTAGGAGAGCCTTAACAAACTTTGATTACATTATACTATTTTCAAACGTAACGATAATTTCTCATGTTCTTCATAGCTGAGGAGTGGGTCAGAAAAGGTTAATTTTTTCCCAAATCCAAGTCCAAACATCTCACATTTTCCCATGTGATTTCTTTTTTTTTTTTATTTGGGTTTCTTCTCCCAAATGGAATATGCTAATTTTCGGATTCGATTTCCACTCTCCAGTTGCTGATCGCTCTCGTTAAAGTTTGGAAAAGTCATTTCTGTTTTTTCTCTTTTTCATCTTCTTCCTCCTGATTCTCACTGTTTTCCCGAGTGGTGTTCTTTTCTTTTGACCCATTGCGAATACGTTGGCGGTTCAGATCTCTGATTATGGTTTGGTTTCCTGCAAGCCACGTTCTCGCGACTTCTGTTTTGATGTTCGTTTGATTTTAGTTACTTGATTCAAAATGTGTATACGGTTCGGGGGCTCTTGATTCGATTTTCTGGTTCGAGGGGTCTTGCTTGTTCGAAGAACAATCTGTAACTCGAAAATTTTTGGGTTTTGAGTCGCTTCAAAAGTGCGTTTTTAGTTGATGGACAAGGAGATACCGCAAAGCCATGCAGGGGGATTTCTGCCCCCAAGTTTTTACTCGGGTATTTCACCAAATGGGGGCAGTTTCAATGGAAAATCTGAAACAGACTTATCTTCAATGTCGTTACCTCCAATGGCTCCGAATGCTAATTCTGATTCGGGTCATCGATTTAGCCATGATATTAGTAGGATGCCTGACAATCCGCCGAGAAATATTGGTCATAGACGTGCGCATTCAGAAATCCTGACTCTTCCTGATGATATTTACTTCGACAGTGACCTTGGTATCATTGGTGGTAGTGCTGGGCCTTCTCTTTCTGATGATACTGAGGAAGATTTGTTGTCCATGTACCTTGACATGGATAAATTGAATTCGTCATCTGCTACGTCTGCAATTCCAATGGGCGAGTCATCTACCGCTATTGCAGAAGTGGCAGTAACACATGCCTCGGCAACTGGGTCAGCAACATCTGTGGATGATTCTGCTGTTGGTTTGAAGGAGAGGCCGAGGGTCAGGCACCAGCATAGCCAATCCATGGACGGCTTGTCAACCATCAAACCTGAGATGCTTGTCTCGGGGTCTGAAGAAGTCTCTGCAGCTGATACCAAGAAAGCCATGTCAGCTACAAAGCTTGCTGAGCTTGCGCTGATTGACCCCAAACGTGCAAAGAGGTATATTTCCTTCAGAACTCATTTCCTTATTGTTTAACATGAAAGGAATCTAATAGTTTATTTCCCTTGGCGTATTCTTTTGTGATGTATCCAGAACAGATTTTGCATGCTCATTTAATACTCAGAATTATTGATTGTTGCCGTAGAATTTATGATAGTGTTCAACTTACTTGGATGTTATATCTTAATTGCAAGAAATATATGATAGCTTGAACTGTTCTGTCATTTTTTGGTAACGAGTTGAGAGTAAGGATCTATTATTGGTAGTTTCTGGTCTTTTCTTTCTGTTATAACTTCATAGAGGCAACCATTTGTTTTTCTTACTATTCTTTTCTTGGAGGAACTACAGAAGCTATTCTGTGTGTGAAAGGTTGTGAATCTTGAACAATTGAATAGGATCTGGGGACTATACACGTATTGTGCAATAATGTTTTCTACTAAATACATTTGTTCATATTTGGGTGTAGGGATCAAATATCATTTCATTTGCCCTTGTATAGTTATTGTACAGTCTTATGCGTTTCCTTGTAAATTTCCCTTTTAAGGAAATTGATTTATTTATTATCAAGACTTGCTTTTGGACGAGAACTGTTTTCATTATAGAACAAAAGGAACTTGAAAGGGGCTGGAGGGTCTCAGCCCATGCTAATGAAGTTACTGAAAAGTATGTTAGACCTCCTATCGTATAGGCTTACTTGAGGATGAGCAAACAGGGAAACACTTCTAATGTAACTTCTCTGCGATAGATATTTTACTTTGAATGATTTTGTCTTAGGTAGTTAGTGAACCATGTATATCTGGCTGTTGGATAGGGAGAATGGTAGGTCTGTAAAACTCAAAAGCCAAGCCATAGGGCGATGAGAAATAGGCTATCTTGAGTTTGACTGCTGGCCTTACACATCAAACACCGGCTGGAGGAGAGATAGATCTTGGAGATACTCTTTTTTGGTTATATTATCGGCATTAATGGACTACCACCCAAAAAGGGCTCCGAAATAAAGATTTTATTTTTCACCTTGTTAGAATAGGCAGGCCCTTCCATATCCATTTGCAAATATTAGGATCCAACAAATGGAAGTTGTTTGAGAGACCTTTCAAGACAGACCTGCAAGTGAGGGTACATTGAATCACTAGTTCAAATCCAATCATCTTATGAGGGATATAGAGAAATATTTTCGTGAAGGTCCATAAGTGAAATCTACTCGAGAATTTCCAGGAACTTGAGATTTATTCTACAGTTAATGTCCCGAAGTCAAGCTGACAGGAATGGTGCTGACATAGCCTCACGAATGGTGTAATGATTTTTCAGTCTATGAAACGGAACGCAATCTTTTGTGCTGGGTGACAAGGCAGCTTTAAGAATTTAACTGTATACCATTGACATGGATGACATTTCTGTGCTCACCTTTCTTAAGAGTGGTGTTTTTTTTCTTCCTATATATTCCCTCTCCATTCAAAGCATGTTTTCTCAAAATTTTTCATGTTTGAGAATGGAAAGCTCTGGTTCATCTGTCTTTCAATTAGTATGTTCTTTCTGTTTAGTGTTTCCTATTACAAGAAAAAATAAAATATGTCCCTAAGCTCCCTTTTTGTGCAATGCTTAGGATTTGGGCAAATAGACAGTCAGCTGCTAGGTCAAAGGAAAGAAAGATGCGGTACATCGGCGAGCTTGAGCGGAAGGTTCAGACTCTGCAAACAGAGGCAACTTCTTTGTCTGCTCAGTTAACACTCTTACAGGTGGGTTATCATTAATAATGCTTATAGTTTCCTGTCCCTAAACACAATTCTTGGATTTCTGTTCAATATTTTTACATCATTTGGATTCCAATTTTTTATTGCATTTCAGTTATATAATGATATCATTACTTATTCGTGGTCCTTTGTAATCAGAGAGATACAAATGGTCTCGCTGCTGAGAACAGTGAAATGAAGTTGCGGTTGCAAACAATGGAGCAGCAGGTTCACCTGCAAGATGGTAAGTGCCTCCACTGTGATGTTGCTCCTCTCAATTTTAGCATTTGTCTCTCAGTTAGCTGCTCAAACTAGAAACTTGCCTTTTGAGATTGATAGATCATTTTGTGATCCCAATTGGCTGAGGAGATCATGCTGTTACACTTTTAACTGTTGCATCTGCACCTGTTATAGCCCTCACAATTTTGGTATTTGGCTACTCGTCACTGTAAGAATTTTTCCTTGGAGATTGATTGATCATATGCCGCTATCCTGAAGTGCTGAACATCATGCTTTTTAGGATGTTATTGAGAATCACTTCTACTTCATGGACTATTAACTATAAATACCTGTGAATCAATAAGTTCCATCATTTAAATTGATAATTTACTAGACTTAGAAGAGCGATGGTTGACCATATTAGGTTTTGACAGTTTGCCTCCTAAAATATTTCATGAGGAGGTTGAGTTAGAATAGAAGGAAAGTCATTCATCTAAACTGCCATGATGGCAATTATTTGAAGCACTTGGATGGAATGAAACAACAATATTTGATATAGGTTTAAATACTATTTTGGTCCTTGTACTCTCGACTTTGGTTCATGTTAGTCCATGTACTTTTAAAACGTCTATTTGTCCTTGTTAATTTAACTTTTGTTTGCTTTAGACCTTTATTCCCTGTAAGTTATTGGTACATGTACTTTTAAAAAATTACCATTTTGGTCCGTTGAAATTTTGTAAATAGGTATCAAAACGATCACATTATTATAAGTGCAGGAATAAAACAGACATTTTAAAAATGTATGGACTAGAATAAACAAAAGTTAAAAATACTGAGACCAAAATAAACGTTTTGAAAATACAGGGACTAGAATGAACCAAATTTTGACTAAAATTGTATTTGAACTTTGAAAATACATTAAACTAAGCATGTAGTTTCACTTGGGAGTTCATTCTCTTGCCTATTTTTGTGCTTTAACCTTTTGCAAGTTCTAAAAAGAGAGACAGAGAATAAGATCCAATAACTTGTCTCTCGTGGGCCATCTTCATTAATTTGCTTTGTTCAACTTTTGACAGCTTTAAATGAAGCACTGAAAGAGGAAATTCAGCATCTGAAAGCTCTAACTGGTCAGGCGATGCAGAGCGGTGGACCAATTTCAAATTTTGCTTCCTTTGGAGGCGGCGGCCAACAATTTTATCAAAACAATCAAGCAATGCATACTTTGTTAACTGCGCAACAGTTTCAGCAACTTAAAATCAACTCGCAGAAACAACAGCAGCAACAGCACTTTCAGTACCATCAGCTGCATCAGTTTCAGCAGCAACAGGCTGGAGACATGAAAATGAAAGGTTCAATGTCTTCCTCGAGCCTCAAAGACAATTCATCACGTGCGAGCTCTCCCTCCTCTTGCTGAAAGAAACGATCCAAACAATCGAGTGCATCTACTGATCCCTATCACCAATATATACATATGGAATGAGCAAGAGATGACCCCATCTAGAACCATTACGGTAAGCGATCAAAGTTTTCATTGCATCAATACCCGAAAAGCTCAATCCCCTTCCTAGAAGCATATCCCCTGGCCCCCTACCATAAGCGCTTCTTTTCTTCCCTGCATTCATTTATCTCTACGTATAATATTCATTGTTTGTAGCAGAAAAGCTGTAGTTGATTTGTTTATTAGCTTGTGGATATCACAGTTTCTCATGTAATTCCTTGTGTTATTCATTTTTTCTTTGAGATTTATTCAAATTTTCTCTCCCAAGGCTGAGCCATTGTTGTTTCCAAATGGTCATTTCTGCTGCCCTTGAAGGTGCCACTATTTTCTGTGAACTATTTAGTAGGTGTCGCTTCTTTTGCCATTTTTCTGATATCATGTATATAATTTATATATCACCTAAAACATTAGGATATGTTTGAAGGTTATTTCAGCAGGATCGAAATTGTTTTTATTATTGTTAAAATCACTCCCATTTAAAATAATAATGTTTTACGATGAGTGATTTCAAAAAATGACAAAATCATTCTCAAACAAAGTCTAATTCCTTAGCTCTCTACCTTCAAGTGGTATCTACATTGATTGTGAGCCTTTAGTTCTCTCCCTTTCAAGCAAAATCTTTGGTTACGAGTCCTTTATAGACGGAGAGTCGTGAATTGTACGACTGAAACATTGAAGTAGCTAAGACGTGCTTGCAAAGGTACACTCTATTATAAATTGGTGTTATTTTTTTTTAAGTATTATCGTTCAAAAACGCGGTGGACATTTAAATCTATACCCTCTAAATGAGATTATTAAAGTATCAAATAGTTAAATTATGTTCGAGTTGACTACAATATATGTATCGTATCGTACCAAAAAAGAATTACATGACAAAATAATTAAACAAAATAATTTATTTATTTCATATATTTAGTTAAATATAAAATATATAAATCTTATTTCCGTTATTAAAAGAAAGCATAAGACAGAGAATGGATGAAAGTGCACTAACTCAGAACTATATATATAATTACGCCTCTAAATTACAATTAAATCTTACAACTAATAATAACTAAAAGTAGGGATTTTTTTTAGTACAATAATTGGGGTGGAGAGATTCGAATTCATAATCTCTTGATCAGAGATAAGTATCAATTACTGACTCTGACTAAGCTTGCGTTGACAACTAACAATAGTTGAGCTAAGATCCTGTTGACAACTAGCGATAGAGATTAATGTCAATGATTTTCTAAATTTTATGGATAATTGCTAAAATTAAATAATCAGTGTGAAATTATTTTGTCAATAGTGATTTTGCCAATTTGAATTTAGCTCAATGGGTTAAAATACCTATTTTCGACTAAAAAATAATGAGCTCCAATTTCTATCCCCATGTATTATACTAAAAAAAAGAGTCGTTTGAACTAAAATATAAATGGTTAAAAAATACTCTTGGTTCATGTCCTTTCCCTAAAGTAACAATTTAATCCATAAACTTTAGTTTGTAATGATTTAGTCCATGTACTCTCAAATTTGTACAATTTAGTCTTTAACTTTAACTTTAGTTTGTAAGTTAAAGTTTGTAACGGTTTAGTCTTTATCGCTAAATTTTTTTTTTTGTTAAGTCTCTTATATATATAGATCGATAAACTAAAGAGAGACCAAATATGTTTATAAATGAGAAAGATTAAATTGTTATATGATAGAATTTGACACTTCATTTTAATAAAAAATTTTACCATAGGGACTAAATTGTTATAAATTTTAAACTATATAGATTAAATTGTTACAAATTAAAGTTTAGGGACTACACCGTTATTTAATAGGAGTACAAAGAATAAATCATTATAAAACTAAAGTTTGAGGTCTAAATGGTTACTTAATGAAATTACAATGACCAAAATGTGGATTGGTAAACACATTGTATTGATGTCTTATTTGAAATGTAATATTCTAAAAGGAAAATCGTGATTTTTATTATTTAAAAAAAGAAAGAAAAAACCACCTCTCTACATAACAGTCTGTAAAATTCTTGTCTCCCATTTTTTTCCGATTCCCTGTCTTGTTCGTGAATTCTTTTTTCTCTCTGCTTTCTTCTCTGTTCTTCTTCTTTGGATTGTTTTTTTTTTCTTTTCACCCATTTGAATCGATTCAGATCTCTGGTTAGTGGTTATAGTTTCGTTTTCTGCAATTACGCGCTCTCGCACTTTTTAATTTGTTCTTTTGATTTCACCCACTTGATCCAAAAATGTGCATGCGATTCTAAACGCCCGTTTTGAAGCTTGCTGCTTCGAAAGAACAAGAATCTGTAGCTTTGGGTTTCTATGTTATTTACTTGCTTTTTTAAGCGTGTTCTTGATTGATGGACACGGAGAAAAAGCAAGGCTTTGCAGGAGGATTTCTGCACCAATCAAGTCGTTACTCGGGTTTTTCATCTAATGAAAGTAGTTTCAATGGAAAATCTGAGGTACCTTCGTCTTCAATGTCGTTCCCACCTTTGGCTCCCAGTGGTAATTCCGATTGGGGTCAATCTGGCCGTGGAATCTCCACCGATTCCAGTCGATTCAGCCATGATATTAGTAGGATGCCTGACAATCCGCGGAGAAATGCTGGTCATAGACGTGCCCATTCAGAAATCCTGACCCTTCCAGATGATATTTGTTTCGATAGCGACCTTGGTATCATTGGCGGTGCTGATGGGCCTTCTCTTTCTGATGATACTGAGGAAGATTTGCTGTCGATGTACCTTGAAATGGATAAATTCAATTCGTCGACCGCTACATCTGCAAGTCAAATGGGCGATTCATCCTCCGCTGGTGTAGAAGCAGCAGCAACTTCTACAGATGATATTGCTGTTGGTTTGAAGGAGAGGCCGAGAGTTAGACATCAGCATAGCCAGTCCATGGACGGCTTTACAAACATAAAACCTGAGATGCTTGTCTCGGGGTCTGAAGAAGTCCCTGCAGCTGATGCCAAGAAAGCCATGTCAGCTGCAAAGCTTGCCGAGCTTGCGTTGATTGACCCCAAACGTGCAAAGAGGTAGATCTCCTTTGGACTCATTTCCCTTTTTGTTTAACATGAAAAGAAACTGATAGTTCACATTTCTTGGCGTATTCTTTATAGTGTATCCAGAACAGATTCTGCATGCTGTTATGTTTGCCCATTTTCTAGTCAGAATCATCGTTGCTGTACAATTTATGTATGTTGTGAAACTTACTTTGATGTTCTACCTTAATTGCGAGAAATGTACGATATTATGCTAGTGTTTTGTTTTTTTTTTTTTTTTGTCAATGTCTGACAACAGGTTAGCTTAGCTTTAAAAATATTGTTATTACTTCACCATTCTTTCTGTGTGCGTGAGATTGCAAATTTTGGACAAAACAAGTGATAGACTTTGTGGTCTTCCCTTTTTGTACAGTTTTGTTTCATACTAAATGAAAGTTTTCATATATTGGGGTGAGTAGGTATCATTTTTTTTTTTTTTTGGTGGCATTATATCGTCTTTGTACAGTATAGTGCATTTCCTTGTAATTTTAATTTTAAGGGAACTAACTTGGTCTATTATCATGATTCTGAAAATATCAAGGTTTTGATGATTTTCTGCTTGATAAAATGGAGGACGATATTTTATGTCAAGCGATGAGTCAGCTTAGAAAATCTAACTGTATTTGATTATGGATAATGTTTTGATGCTAACTTTTCTTAAGGGCCTGTAGTTTGTTTTCAGTATGCTCCCTCTCCATGCAAAAGCATGTTTCCTCCAATCTTTTCATGACTGAGATTGAAAAGATGTTCATATCTGTTTTCCATGTCTTTTAGTTATTGTGTTTGTGATTTCCTTTGTTGTGCAATGCATAGGATATGGGCAAACAGACAGTCTGCTGCTAGATCAAAGGAAAGAAAGATGCGGTACATTGGCGAACTTGAACGGAAAGTTCAGACTCTGCAAACGGAGGCAACGTCTTTGTCCACTCAGTTGACCCTCTTACAGGTGGATTACATATAATTAGTATGCTTATAATTTCACGTCCATGCATGGAAATTTTTTGGTGCTTATTCTATATTTTCACATCTTTTAGACTCCAACGTTCTGTTTGATCTGTACCCTACTTGAGGAGTGATATCATTTTTTATTTATTGTCTTATAATCAGAGAGATGCAAGTGGTCTCAATGCCGAGAACGGTGAACTGAAGATGCGATTGCAGACAATGGAACAACAGGTTCACCTGCAAGATGGTAATGGCCTCCTTCTCTGTGATTGCATTTTTTAGGCTACTGGCACATTTATATTTTCCTACTCTCAAATTCATCAAATCTCTCTGGTTCCCAATTATAGTAGCAAATGTATGTACTTGTTTGAAGAAATTTTTGTATGCATTATAGACACTGGTAGACGTTGGAAGTTGCTTTGTTCATACTATAGCATATGGGATTTTGCAGTGTTAAATCCATCAGGGCTTGGTACAGGAATGACTCAATTGGACATATATAAAGACATAATAAGAGTCAATACAAAGCAAATTGGATCAAGTGATGCATTAAAACATAGCTTTATAATGATTTCAGGATAAGTTGTGTCTTATTGAGAGAGGAAAAAGGAGGTGAGGTGGTATGAAGACATACTTGGGTTACACGTATCAATTTAAGAATGTGGGTAACAGCGAGATACTTGACACAGTTAGCAAATTTGGATATAATTGTAGGGAATTGATTAATAGACTTCTGGGGAGGGAAGGACTCTTTAGGCAGGAAGGTGCGAACTTCTTTATCTGGTGAATTTCGAAGTGGGAGGATGAGTTTCTATTGATATTAAAATTTTGCTTGGGTTGCATTTGGGAGATTGTTGGATTGGAGTGGTGCACTGGTGCTTCTAGTTCTAATTGAATATTCTAGTTAATGAACGGGAGTTCTCCTTGACTTGGCTCTGAGAGGTAATCAGATGTGGGAGGCAGATTTTTTACAAGATGTATTTTTCAATTACTTTTGAGTTTAGAGTTTATTATTAGTCAGACCAATATTTCTAGGTGCAACTTGCAGGGCTTCTTGCTTGTCTAGATGCAGAAAAGATGTTGCTTCATTGAAGCGAGACACATTGTTTTAAGAGGTTAAAGATGGCCTTGGTATTTTTTAATTGTGATTTTTATCCTTTGATAAAAACCATAAAATTGTATATGTATAATCAAGTATGAAAAAAGATAATCTCTGCAGAAAAAGTAAGATAGAACATAATGGTTATATAAAGGGGGAAAGAAATCACTTTTTACCCTTAAACCTCGTGATGCGAATCAATTTTTTAAGTATTGCTATTTTAACTTACAATTAGATTTTCATTTGAAGAACTGATGAGCTTTTATGTGCGTTCAATGGGTGTTACAAATAGAGGCCAAGTACTAAAATGACAGGGTTATAGACAAATCAGACACCACAGTTGGATTTTTGTCGAAATTAGTGAGTTTTTAGAGGTTTATTCTGTTAATCTTGAGCATTGTTTTACTTGGACTTAAATTTGTGTTTTGATTTGTGGGGGCTTCATTTTCAATGAAATTTGGGCTTGGAGAGACTTTTTGGTTGCATTTTGTTGGAATTAGTGGGTGAATGTAGTAATGCATGCTCAATGGCGAAAATTGTAACCCTTATTCAAGTCTAAAGATTCAACGAGGGCAAAGTAAGGGTAAATTTTGAATTTTTTCCCTTGCATAAAAAGTATGCATATGTATAAATGAAGCACTTTACCCGAAGGTATCTCTCTTGTGGGGCCATCTTTACCAGTTTTTCTCTTTTGACAGCTTTAAATGAAGCACTGAAAGAGGAAATCCAGCATTTGAAAGTATTGACTGGCCAACCAATGTCAAACGGTAGACTAATTACAAACTTTACTTCCTATGTAGCTGGCCAACAATTCTATCCAAACAATCAAACAGCGCATACTTTGTTAACTGCTCAGCAGTTTCAGCAACTTCAAATCCACTCACAGCAGCAGCAGCAGCAGCATTTTCAGTATCATCAGCTGCATCAGCTTCAGCAACAACAAATTGGGGGCATAAAAAAGAAAGGGTCAGTTTCTTCTCAAAGCTCGGAAGATAATATGTCAGACTCGAAGCCTCCTACCACTTGTTGAAAGAGCTGATCCTGATGACGACCAAGTACGTCGAGAATAGTTTATTTGTAAAGAAAAGAGATGGCTCACTGTCTTAGAACATTATGGTTAGAAGTCGATTTTAGTTGCATTTGGTACCCAGATAGCACATTCCCCTCCCTGATAAGCATGCATTTGCTTTTTTGAAGTTCATTATTTGCTGACAACAATGTGGTAGATGATTTGTTATTAGCTTGTGGATATTTCTGTTAATGATGTTATTCCTATGTTGTCATTACTTATTTATTTATTTATGAAGATTCTTTTTATTTAGCTTTTGTTTCTGCTTCTGATATGAGAAGAAACAAATACATTCTTTGTAGTTTTCTCTCTCTTCATCATCCTCAGTTTCTAGGATTTGAGACCTTCAAGTCAAAAGGTGGGCTATAGTGTGGAAATCAATCAACTGCTTAGAGGGGAACATAATAAGGACTAGAAGTTTTTATTTAGAATTTGTTCATGACCATGTTAGAGAATGACATTTAAGTTTGAGAAGAATGATTTGACTTAAATCTATTGGATGACATTATCTTGTAATGATGGAATTAAAAAAAAAAAGGAATAATCAGCAAACTTGTACATAATTTAGAATTGGCATCAGCTTTTACAAGTTTGAAAATCTGTGATGTGTATATGGAGGTCCAACTATTAAGCTAAAACTATCTTAAAATTTGAAGTATTTTATGATAGTTTAGCAAGAGAATATGTTACATAGTAAAACATTTAAACTATTTTAAAAAGTTATTTTGAAGTGTTGACTGTTTGAATTGTTTTATGATAGTTTGGTAAGAGAATATGTTACATAATGAAACATAAAAGAAATCTTAGAAGTGTTTAGAATTTATGGTAATTTCTTAAGTCGTGATCACGTCTCATGTCTTGCCTCCCAACTTAGTCACCAGTTTCATGTTTCCTTTGAATTTCATCGGTTCTAAATTCAAGTGCCTGTTCATCCCTCGAACATTTCCTTTGAGTGACTGCTGCTGTTCATCCCTCGTTCGAGTGACTGCTGCTGTTTATAGTTAAAAGTTCTTAACCAACCTTTCTCACCAAGCTATAGGAAGTTTAGATGGACAAAATCAGAACTTTGAAATTATTATTTGAATTCGAGATGACACTAAATCTAACATTCTTGGACGAGGATAAGATTATGTTAATATGCATAAGGAAAACAGGCCATGATGGCTAATTAAATTAAAGATGATCTTGTTTATGCAATAACATCAATCGACCGTTTGCTTTATTAGTAAGGATGAAACCCTTTGAGCAGATTGGCCTCAATAGTTTCCAAGCAAGCAGGATCTCATTTATTCTCATATAATCCTGCATAATTCTATACACATTTACATGACGGAGTAGCCTGGACCGCCACCGCCTTCTGGGACGCTCCACTCTATGTTTTGCTTTGGATCTTTAATATCGCAAGCCTGAAGAGAAGTGTCATTGATTACAAGTTGAACTACAGAAACAAATACATAACAGTACAGAACATTCTTTTGTTATATGAAACACCTGAAAAAGCAATACAAAACAAGATGGGATATATGGATGGAGAGAAAAATAGTTTTTTTCTGAGGCTACTTGAGAGCTTGTTAGACTTTGGTTACTAAAGAGTTCTGTAATTATCAGTTAGATGTTCATTTGGATTTGGAGCCTCTTTTGGAGGCTTGGTTTCTCCTTTTGTTGGGTTGTTTTTGGGTATGCCCTCGTACATTCCTTCATTTGTCTCAATCTAACCCGGTCTCTTATTAAAATATATATATATATATATGGGGGAGGTATTTACCACCTATAGGAATATAAAATTAACAGACCTTAACAACAAAAAAGAAGTAAAAAAGTAAAACTGTAAAAGTAAAAGTAAAAAAAAGATCTTCATCAGTAGGCCCTGTCTAAGTTTTCATTTTATTGTTACCTTTGGCTGGATAAAAATTAATTTTTGGATCTCTTAAAAGAGAGATTTCAATGATTTTTGCCAACTTAATAGTTAATACTGCCTCAGTTCCCTACTCTACCCCTCCCCCCAAAATACACACACACAATCTTGATGAAGCTTCCCAGGGGTAAAGTAAAAGGTTCAAATATGACTACCATGGCTGCATGCAGAAAACGACAGTTCCCCAACATTCATCCTACCCACATAAGCCAAAGGGAAAAGAGCTCCCTTCTTCCCTAGAAAAATGCTGGCAGGAGCTCAACACCAGAAACTGTAACAAGTATAGTTCAAATGAAGGTCCAATACACTGGGCATTACCTTGCAATGAAGACAATTTTGAGCATTAATTTGCAACTTCATCTGGTTGTTTTCATCAGGTATGTACCTATGATTCCACCCGTGGCATAAAAAAAATTAGCATTGATCAGATGAAATTTTCGTAGTATAGGACACAAGCATAGGTTCATAATGTATTACTCGTATACACGTGCAGGACAATATCTTGATTCGGGTGCAGCATATCCTGGAAAATTTACTTCCTCTGGAATCTTAGGGTCCCTTAAGCGAAGGTGGGCTGGCTGGTCATGTTCGTGATTTGTGTTGCTCCTATAGGAACATATAGTTGACATAATTTATAAATATACATTTTCAAGTATTCATCAATAGTTATAAAACCAGATAGAAGTCTGAAAAAGAGAGAAAAAAAAAAACACTCTGCCCGTGGAACAATTATCTGTCACTAACAACTATCGTTACATGGGACACTTGATTCCTCAAGCAGACAACTAAAAAGTAACCACGTTACCATCCAACTTTACCTCAGTTTCAGAACTCATAAGTACCCAACGATAACATTTGCCTTAGGAATAAGGTGTGCCCTCCCATAATGAAGTATGGTTTCTCCTATTATTTATTTTTCTCCTTTTCTTGTTTTTTGTTTTGAGGGGCAGGCGAAGGAGGAGGAATCATCCCAAGGGAGGGTATGCTAGGATCCCGAACAATATAACTATGATACTATATTGCAATATATCTGACCCTAGCCTTTTGAGAGGGCTCTTAACCTCCACACTCCCTCTATTTATAACTGCTAGTCTTCCCCTACTAACCAACATACTGAGTAATTACAATTATGTCACTACTGATTTCTCAATATCGTTCCTAATATTTCCCTGAAGGACTGGATTTTATTTCTGGCCAGTCAAAGTTATACCAAACACAAGATACAATCAGTGAAAACTGAAAAGTGAATCATTTCCTTGCATAATCTACCCATTTGTCCTCACTCGTTTAACTGAAAATACAAAAAGGAAGTTATCTAGTAAAATACCTGTGTAGTGAGGTCGGCACATCAAATGACAGAAGACTATCATGCTTTGGATAATTAATTGGAGTATGTAAACTTGCAACCTGCACCAATTAAGATTAGAAATTTAAAATAAAATATTAAGTTGTTCCTTGTTATTATGTGGGTACTTGAACAATTCTTGTTCAACAATTATTATTTAAATAATTAAGACTAAATTTACAATTTAAAGCCCTTTCCCTTCACAAAAAAATCACAGCCAGCAATTTACTCTCAAAGTGATCATGCAATCCATTATGTGCAGGCTCATTTGACTGTTTTAATATTAAATTTTCTTAGCTCTACACAACCACAAGAAAATGAACCAAGGTACGTTTGCCTTGCACCATAGTAAGGTCAGAATGAACAAAACCAAGAAAATAATAAATTTGAGTGCTAAACACAAAAACTAACGTTACATTATGGGTGTATCAAAATGCACACAAGTAAGATCAAACCAGGTTTTGAAAGAGGGACTTCTCACATCTGTAGCTTCATGGTCAGGTTTTCCATGCTTTAGTGTCAGAGGAGACCTTCCTTTAAGTACATAGCTGTAGGTGGAAAAAATAATGTCAATGAAATTGTCGCTGATCTGAAAGAACATTAGAGATTTGAACAGTCTTTGCATAAAATATAATAATAATAACAAGTGATCATAATCAGCTGAAGGTGACGATGAGGACATACTGCTCCAGGGCACTTATGGTCAATCCTGGAATAAGACCATGCTCAAATGCCTGTACCATGAAAATTAGAATATATAAGATGAAATTACAGCAATATATTAGTGCATACTTTTTATTCTCCATATATTTTAACCTCTTGGCATTCTTATATATATAAACAGTCCTTGAATAAAAATAATTATAAATAGAGTTTGAAAAATAAAGATGGGAAGAGTCGAAAACAGTTATGTACAGGTCTATAGTTCCGAGCTCGATATAGTTCTTCCCATATCCATGAATCTTTCAAACTATCCCAATATGCTTCCATTTTCAAGCCTTCATGAAGGGTGCCAAATGCAGCCTCAGCTGCCAGCATTCCTGTTTGAAATTAGGCACTCGAAGATTAGGTGTATTTAAACAATATAATTGGTACTTCCAAGAACAGAAAAAAAAAATATGACCTACTATTCTTGAAAGCTTTCAAATTTTCAACATAAACTGAATGCTTCCTGATCAAGCATATTTAGACAATAGATGAATCACAATAAGTCAGATAATTTTGAGAAGTACCTGACTTCATTGCGGTGTGTGTTCCCTTGATCTTTGGTACATTTAAAAAGCCAGCTGAACATCCAATAATTGCACCTCCCGGAAAAACTGGATATGGAACAGACTGAAATTTAAATGGCATCATATTCCTATTTGATAGTGAATGATACTTAATGAAAATGAAAGTTGAATATATTCTCTTCTGTTTCTTATCAAAAAAAAAAACAAGAAAATGAAAGTCAATAAATTCTTTGTAATATAATTTAAGTTTGATGACAGCTACTAACAACCAATTTATAGAAATCTATCTTCTTTCCATTTGCCTTAACTACCCAATATGATAAAACAGATGTAAACAATAAAAATGAACAACTTGTTTTTCTGTGTTGATTTTTTCATTTTTTATTTGCCTAATTCCCGAGATCCCTCATCAATGTAGTGCAAGTACGATGATTTCTAGCTTTCAATTGTGTACTACAATTGAGTGAAATTCCAGAAAAGAAAAAGGTTTGCACACCTGAAGACCGCCTTCATTTAACGTGCGAGCACCATATTGGACAACTGTCCCACCTTCTAGAAGTTCTTTGATGGCAGGATGATGTTTCAATTTCTAACAGAAGCAAAAATCATGTGAAGCTGAATAAATAGGTATGCTCGAGAGGTGAATGTCAATGAAAATAATACAAAAACAATGTTTTACCTGAAATTCTTCATAAGGATTCAAGAAAGGATTCTGATAATTTAAAGCAACTACGAGGCCAATAGAGATCTGTAAAATCAAGGGAAACTTGAATTAGAAATACAAGATCCAAACCAGCATATACCTCGAGAAGTCGTGTGCATAAAAATGGCTTACAAACCATAGGAACTATAAGGGAACTACATGCCAATAAACATGATTGGCATATTTGTTCTCACAACAGCCTGTAAGTTGCAGTATGCTCGGTAGTAATTGAAGTGAACTGGTTTTGTTTTGGCAAAAATGACTAGTGATTGGGCTGAAATTTACTTTTAACTAGCGACAACAATTTGGCTTCACATAAGAGACAAGTTATAATCCTCTCAGAAAAATGAGGCTTTAAATTTTAAGCTAAAAATGTAACTTCAACGCGAGCACATTTGCATGCTTACACTGGGCATATGACTTTATCGCCAACCCTTTCTCCTACTTTAATGAATAATGAAAGATAAGTTTCATGTATGCATATACGCATAAAAATTTATTTCCAGAATAGAATCACAGCATGTACTTCACTGATTACAGAAGCATTTACTCTTCATCTTGAGGAGCGGGGCAATGTCGAATGCATGTTGAACACATAAATTAAAGTGAGAAAGAAGTCATTATTATTTCATTAAATTGGATGTGGAGAGACATAAATGAGATGGGTTCAATGAGATAAAAATAATAATAATAATAATAATTTAAAAAATAATATTCTTGGCTAGAAAGAAATCAAAGGATCTTCCAAGATATAGAAAAAAAACCTTTGGACTCATTTTGTGATTATGCACGCCTCTTGTTGGGGTGGCATTCACAAGAAATTCTTTTGTAAAATAACAGATTTATCATTTAACAAAACCTCACCCAAACCTCTCCCATTAGAGATTAATTCTTTTCGTAGGGGGTAAAAAATAATGAAACAAGTAAACTAAAGATTTTTTAGATCAAAAAGAACAAGCGAGTAACTTGATGTAAATAGAAATAGTGAAAAGGGTAATGGAAAATAGAAAGGTGATGAAACAAAAATGAAAGAGTTGAGGTAGGGAAAAAAATTATAACCCAAAAATTTCTTGGCCAGTTCCAATTTTTAGTGAGATTGATTTTGAACAAAAGGTGCAAAACAATGTCCAAAACCTTGCAATATATGCATTAGTTTTTTCTTCCATATATACATAAGCAATAGTGTTTTTGTATGTTTGCAGTTTGCTTATCCACAAAAAAAATAAAATAAAATAAAATAAAAATTTGCAGTTTGAAGTCTAATTTACTTGAGAAATAACAATCAACCATCCATGTCATCTTGTTATTCTTGTGTCGCATAGCTTATAAAATTAAAATAAAAAAAAGTTTTATTGTGTGTCATACAATGTATATTTTTTTAGGATAAGAAACAAACTCACCTTACATAGGTATTATAGACAATAAATTACAAAAATAAAATCATGTACTACCTGCCTGTCCTTCATGTGGTACAGAAATGAGCCCCCATATGTCTTTTGATTCAAAGGCCAACCCAAAGTATGAAGCACAGCTCCTGGATTATGCTTGTCCTCATTTATTTCCCACACCTGAGTATATCATACACATTTAAGAATCTATTTATACATGATGATCTCTTATCAAAAAAATTTATACACGATGATCTGGAAGAATGCGCAGATATATGAAATTATATGGAATTACATTACCGAGATCCACCAAATCAAACCCTTTGCGGTTTTTTGAATGGAAGTGATTTCATGTTTCTTATAAAAGAAAAAAACTGCTGAGATTATCATGGTAGTAAACAGACCTGCCTATTTAAAAAGAGGAAAATGATTTGCAAGATGACAATAGCAGGATGTTTCATAGAGATATAACCGTTAGGCCATTACACAAATTAGGGTTATACATTGTCCAAGTAATCAACTAAACCAAGCCAGGTAACAAAAATAGCTTTCAACAAAAAGTTCCAATGCTTTCACTCTGTCAAATCTGGCTTTTAACACCGCTCAAATAGATAGGAGGAAAACAATCGTTCACGTGCATTTGAATTCTTGATACACCGATCAACTCTCAAAAGGAAAAGAGACTAACGTTCAATGGTACCTCTTTAATTCCCAAAGCATAAGTCTGATGCTGAGCGTTTACTTTCTCCCTCAAGCTGTATTTCTTCATTATTTTCTGTTTCATGGTATAAAGAAACAAAAAAGGCAGATACCATTATAAGGTGAAATCATGAAAATTTGATCATATCCAGCTCATGCAGAAGCATATTATTCATGAAACCTCTGATAATGATCCTCGACACCCCTCAGCCAGAAGCATTATGCGCCCTATATAGAAGAAAAGGACATTACACATTCGTTTAATATTATCGTTGAAACAGAGAAATGAGAAAGAGAGATAACCTTTCAATTCCACACCAAGTTGAAAATTCTCCTTCTTTGAACCATCTTTTGCTACTCCCATGTCATTAGTTCTAATACCAACAACTGTATCTGCTGTATCATATAATACCTGAAAATTCCACCATGTAACTTGAGAATATCATCATCCAAGAGCGTGTTAAGTGTTGAGAAGAAAGGACTTAAATGAGTACTTCACTCGCAGCAAAGCCTGGATATACTTCTACTCCCAACTCTTCAGCTTTCATTCCCATCCAACGAACCAACTGACTTAAACTACAAAAAGAAGGGCGGAAAAAGCATGTACTTAAAGCAGCCCATTCAGAGAAAAAAATTAATTAAAAGAAAGTAATAATCTACAATGCTTTTGGCAAGTGGGGAGTGTAATGAAATAAAAAATCTTCTCCCCCACATCCAAATAATAATAAAAAGAAATGTTATATTCAATGGGGAGATTTCAATTTCCATTAATTTAGAAATTATAAAATCTTAATCTCCTCACTGGTGCCCTCTCTGCAAGCAGCACAGTGAGTCTATTGGCCATATTTTTGTCTCCTGTGACATTGCCACAATATTATGGGCAAAAATTTTGAACCTTTTTTATTGGTCGGTTGCTCTCCCCACTGATATGCTCCTTTTGCTAGCATCTACCCTCATCAGCCACCCTTTCAAGCATGAGAAAAGATGCTTTTGGCTTCACTTCATTCGGGCTCTCTGGACCTTATGGATAGAAAGAAACCAGTGGATTTTTCAAGCTAAGGAATGCTATCATAACCTTATTTTTTAATCCATAGTTTATTTAGTTATCACTTGGTGTAAATGCTCTTCTATCTTTCAGCACTGTAGTTTTGTTTCATTATTATCCAATTGGAGGGCTTTTTTGTAACCCAATCTTGGGTTCTCTCCCCACTCTTGTAATCTTTCTCTCTTATTTCATATATCAATGAAATCGTTTTTTTTTCAAAAAAAAAAAAGAGTAAAATCTTAACAAAGCTTTTACTCCCTTTGGAAAGTCTTAATCATACAATGACATAATCTTTAATTAATTGAAAAGGATGGTGATTTAAAGAAAAACACCCTTTCCTTTCCCTTCAACCAAATTGGTGAAGCCAGCATACGGGGAATAACTAAAGTGCTGATCATATTGTATACGGTGATATAAAATTAATATTGTATTCAAATTCTAGATGGCTAGAGACTTGATTCGATACATGTTTAGTAAGTACCTTATCACATAGTTTCCTTCATTATTAAAGGGGCAAGGAAGTGAAATGGCACGATTTTTTGTTAGAAACCAAAAATTATCAGAAGTTACTGGAACACTGATTGGTGCCTGCAAATAATTGACAGAAAACATATTAAATATAGAATGAAGGAGAAAAGTGATTGTTGCTTAGAAGTTTTTACTATGCTAAATAGGGATCTATAGCTTCTAATTCCAGGTAGAAAATAGAAAATTAGTTAAAAGCATGTTTTAACATTCACTTGTTGGAAACTCTCAAGGCAAAGACTTCCTTATATCTCATAGATGCAAGTGTAATTATTTTATTCATATCAAAACAAGCTTTTTCTGTTATAAGAAACTAACTTTTAGGAGTGGAAGTACAACGACGCCATACAAAAAAACAAGCCCACAGCACCTAGAGGACTCAATTTTATAAAAAATGACTCCAACTATTTTTCTCTTTTTTTTCTTGTTTTTTTTCCTATTCTTAACAAAAGGTCACCCCAAGGGTGTTTAAGAATCAAAAAAGAATTTTAAGAAGGAGCTGTTATCTTCTAAGAAAATCAATTTGGAGGTGTGTTTTTAGGTAGTCAGAAGATTATTCAATTGGTGGTTGATTGGTTTCAAGGAAGCACAAGAGACCATAGGGCAGGGCTTTTATGTATCAACTGTTTCTTTTTCTTTCAAGGAGAGCAAGAGTTTTTTTCATTCTTCGTAGTTAAAACTTCAATTTTGGTTTATGGTTGGGGAGATTATTTTGGTTTTCGAAGGCAAAAGTGCTCTTTGGAAAGAAAGATTCAGCTTTTTCTATTTTTAGTGAAATATTCAGTATACATCATACATTTATAAGTTTAATTGAATTGCTATAAAAGAGAAACTGAAAAGATAAATAAATAAACCTCATCCTCCTTCCATGTGGGGATTAGTTCATCCAATGCTCGGGGTTCAAAAACATTTCCAGATAGGATGTGAGCGCCTATTGAGAAACAATAGGATGGTTAGACGGAACGACATAGCAAAAAAAATCCATAAGAATTGAGGAAAATAAATCTCCATGACCAAAATGGTTTCAAGAGAAGGCATAGTTGCTTCGGATAGGGAATAAAAGAAAAATAAATCATTGCTAGCAACATCCAAATGAACTTTCGCTTTCAATAATAATCAGGTGCATTATGAAAAGAATCCCACTGACATACTTCATCATAACATCCCTAAGTTGTGGCACTGTCCTTCAGACATTCCCTAAATCTTCTCCAGTTCAATTGCTTATTCTCTCGAGTCCAAGTAGATAAAGCTCAACCACATTGCTAAAATACCATTCAAAATGTAAAGTTCAGATGGAACCCAGATTCCAGAACTTTCCTCCACTTAACTGTTGCAGGAACTACTACAATGGCTGTTCTGTACAAACCTGACGGGACCAAGATTCTCAAATTACATCAAAATTCAGAATTTAATCCATGCATGCAACGGCACAGCAGTAAAATTAAGATCCAGTGGCAATTTTACATACTACGAATGGTCCAGAAAAAGAGAGCAAGAGTAGGAATCAACAGTTAGACAAGTCAATTATCTCAGTAACCGCTAATCTAAACACAATTGCACACAGTTTACATCTACGGTATCCATCTGAGTATAATCAAGCGGCTTACCAACTTCAGCGCCTTTCTCCACCACACAAACCGATAAATCAGCACCCTTCTCCCGGCACATCTGCTTCAACCGGATCGCCGCAGATAGCCCTGCAGGTCCTGCTCCAACCACAACGACATCATATTCTATAGACTCTCGTTCCGGCTCACTGCTGAATCTCCTCAACATACCCACGTAACTCCGACCTGTGTTTCTTCTGTAACCTCTTATATTACAACATTTCAGCCAATCCCCAGTTGAAAATAAGGTTTTAGATTTACCATGGCACCCGGGAAAGCTGGAATACCGATGCCGACGACAATGTGATGAATACCCAGATGCAGAATTTGTGGGGTCTGTCTCATTCGATTGTTTCCGAGTGAATTCAGATAGAAGAGAGAGTGATTTCGAAGTTGAAGCATTGGCGCGTAGGTAATATAATGAACAAGAGGATGTAGAAGAAGAAAGGGATTTCGAAGGAGACTTGAATTTGGAGAAAATTGAACGAAAGAAAGGCATGATTATTGAAGAAGCAAGTCGAATGATCAATGGCGAAGTCTGTTCATTGAAATTGGACACAAAATGGCAAAGCTTTGTACAGTAGAGACGTGAAGTAATTTTTTCTTTTTTCTCTTCTTTTTATTTTCTTCCTAATTCTTGGATAAGATTGAATTGTGATAATATAACAACTATCCAATCTTGATCTTCCATTGAAAAAAAAAAGGAAAGGAAAAAGAACAGATATTATAAAATATATATATATAAAGAACATCTAATTAAATTTATAATATATCATATCTATCCTCGTAATTTTTTGAAAATTTGTCACATGTTGAAGTCATGACCCATTGGTCATTATTTTAAAATATTTCTCCAATCATTAAAGAACGGCAGGAATTTTATGTTCATCCCAACCTAACTCAAGTGTACAAAAAACCTTAATACATCTCAAAATTCATTGCTTCGATCCCTGTTTGTTAAACTACAAAAAAAATTATAAATTTTTATAGGTAAGAAAGAGAGTATTTGTTTTTATTTTTTTATTTTTTGTTGTAAAACTATATAATATTTTTTTAATCCAACATATGGGACAAAATTCGAACCTTCTTAAATCACTCGACTCCCTTACTATAATTGTACAACACGTCATAGATAGTTATATGTTTTTTCTTTTTGTAATAATACCTACAAATATAATCTCATATATTATAGATTTATTTATATTATTGATGTATAATCTTATTCAAAAGATCATGTCGTGCACATCATTAATGATTAACTAATTAAACTAATTTGTTTGCATTACAACAATTGACTAACATATAACATTGTATAAACTTAATCATAAATTAACCTTCAATTTTGTTAGTGATAAGTTTTTCATTCAATTTCCTTCCATTTTGTTAGTGATAAGTTTTTCATTCAATTTCGTTAGTGATAAGTTTTTCATTGATAGGTGCTCATTCAATTTAGTCCGACAAATACAAATATCGTATGGAAAACACATTGATATGCTTTAAAAAAATAAACAATATTAGAAATATAAAATACATGATATATCTAAAATACACAATATATGATATAGATGTCTCTAAGAAGATTGAGCAGTGACAAGGGCCTTGGACCTTTAGGTATTACCATGAAGATCCAATCACCGTATTGCTCAGTCCAAGTAATGAGCTTCAATTATAGATATCCACGGCATAAGCTACACGAGCATCCATTACAAAAAATTCTAAAAGAAATGATATATGATACACAAACAGTTCTTCCGTGGGGTGGGAGCAAGAGTAACAGCACACTCGCAGTCAAAATTACACAAATGAGCTAAATCCACATCATACAACACGGCAAAGAATCTACAAATGCTCGCCTTTTTCTCATGAAAAAAACAAAAATGAAGTAACTTAATTAGCTTTGTTCACTCTATCTTTACACAGCATGTGCCATTCCTGAAGAACTGCAGCTTGAAGAGCAAGGTGCTCAACCTCTTCCGCAGTTAGTTTCGACAATGTTGACGGTCCCTTACCGTTCTCCTGACTATCTTGCTTCTTTTTCTCTCGTTCACCATCTTCCACATCTTCATCTTCTTCTTCGTCGTCTGATGATTTTGAGGACTTGGGTGGAGGTTGGGCAGCCTTGAGCAAGGCTATCCGTTCCATTGATATCTTCAGCCTCTCGGCGGCAGCCACCTTGACTTCATCTTCTGGCATGTACTCAACACCTCCATCAGTTATGTCATCCAACCAACCTTGAGGATCGGCTTCGATTTCCTTTGTGATCGATGCATCAGACGCTCGAATAACGAATTTGCATAGCATGGTCGTTGTCTCGTCACCCAAATCTACGTTTCTGCTTACTTCACTGGCTCCAAATATCATCATGCCCAGGAAACCCCCATACCATGTTTTTGCAGCCAAACAAAGCTACACAAGCATTCAAATGGGAACAAATTAGTAATGGATCCACAGAATATTTATTAGTTAAAACTGAAGACGAACTAGCTTCTGGCTGTGGTTAAAGATCTTTGAGATGAAGAACAAGATAGCTGGAACCTGAAGCTTAGAAGAAATCTTAAAGAAGAAGAAATACAAGAATGGGCGAGCCTAACTCTTCATCTATCCAGCTTCAGCTTCACAAATGCAGCAGATTCTGTCTACTGGAAGCTGAAGCCAGGGGGACATCTTTCTACAAAATTTCTTATAAAAGATCTCTACCTTACCCACTGTAATTTGAAGCCATTTGGAAGGACCCCTACCCAAAAGGAATAAAATTCTTTATCTGGGAATTAAACCACAGAGCCATCAACACAGTCAGAATCACAGCAACATGTTTTCGTCTCTTGTGAATATGCCTATCCATTTTGGATTAGCATCCTTTCATTTTTTGGATGGCATACTGCCCTACGGATAGATCCTCCCCAATTATTGGAAGCAACCCTTGAGGGACAACATTTCAAAAGGAAAAGAAGCTATTAGGGATGAATCTTATTAGAGCTTTCCTATGGCAAATTTGGAGAGAGAGAGGAACCAATGCATCTTCAACGAAAAAGATCTCTCATTCGATCGGATTTTTTTAGCTATAATTTTATTGGCTATTTCTTGGTGCAAATGTTCCCCCCATTCCACAGCTATAGCTTTTCTTCTCTTATGTTTAGCTGGAAAAGCTTTTTGTAATCCTATTTTTGGGCTACTTTTGTAATTTCATACCTCAATGAAATTATTTCTTACACCAAAAAAGACGAACTAGCTTCAACTTCCAAGGAGTATAACATTTTTCTATTCATCTTATTTCCTGATACCATTTTAAGAATTAAAAACCCTGCTAAGCCAGCAGAAAAGAATCAAATATGCTCTAAAGTTAAACGAGTTAATCCACAGTTGAACACTTCACCAATCATGTTGAACAAGTAAATTCAAAATATTCAGAAGAGGAAAGAGGAAATGAGCTTTTTGGAAGGGTTTGAGGTAGTGATCCAAGTAAAATATCTGCAGTTTGTCTACAACACTATTGTCTCACATAAGAAGCAAGGCCACTAAGAGTAGAAATGGCAACTCGAATGTCTAGGGCAGGAATGAGAGAAAATTTCAATCCCTATCCATCCCGCCCCATTCCCCAAATTCCTCATCCTACTCCATTTCCTGATTTAATTCCTAACCAGCAACTCACCAGTTGATCTTTTCTTCTGGGAGTTTTCTTGTTGCTACTTTTGAAGCTCGGTGGTAGTGAGTTTTGTGGATATGGCTTTTTGGATTTTCAATATCTCACATGGTGATTCTGTTCTTCATTGTTTAGTCTATCTTTTGGTTCTTGTAATATATTTGGAGAACTTGTCTTTATTATTTTGGTCGTTTGGTTTTCTTTTTCACCCATTTTGGCAGCTTGCATCCTATAACATTTTTTTAACTTTTCATCTATCAAAAACAAACAAAAAAACAAAAAAAGTTGTTTTTTTGTTCAAAAAAGAATTCCTATCCAGAAAAACAAACACAATATAAGTGTACGATTATAAACAGACATAGTAACATTACTTTAAGCTCTCTTTTGTTGGCACTTTCCTCTCAACTTCCTTTAGTCCACCTGCTACCACAGATAAGGTACACTATTGTCTGCTCACTCTGATCGCCAAAAACTATCCCTATCTTGACATGACCAAAAACTAAGTCTTTTCCTACGAAGTCATCCATTAGACGTATTGGTTGAATGACCCTTGTTTTAAAAACTGACACCCCTATCTTGAGAAAATTATGCGCCCTTCCCTATACAATACACTCTCGGGCAAAGCCACTCTTCTAACCATGAATGTCAAAAGTGGGGAGGACGTCACTCTTCCTGGGGAACCCACTTAGCCACTTGGTCTGCCATTATGTGCCACTCGAAGTGTCTTATTTTTTTCCCCAAGGCTAGTGTGGTTACTTTTATTGGATAAGAAATGATTCATTAAAGAAAGGACAAAATAACAGCCCAAGGACAAGGGCCGAGAAGGCCCTCTCCACAAAACTATCAAAGAAAAGCTCCCCAATCAAGTAATATCATAGAGAGGCTGTAATTACAAAATAATTTTGTATTCCTATGGCACCACCACGAAGCTAACAAATGAACACTATCACAAATGAGGCTAGAGTGGTTATGCTTATACTCACTATCACAACATGAAAGTTCTCTCAAATATTTCCAATTTTAAAGTTCCATCCAATAGATTGATTGGCCTCATTTGTACCACCATTCTGATATGAGGTTGCATTTTGTGGCATCTGGTTTGGGTCGAGGAGGAGTTGATCATCTATTTCTTTTGAGTCTGTCCCCCTTGACAGACAGGAAGATTTTGGAAGTTTCTGCCTTACTTCTTCTGTCGAGGGACGTTCCTTTTTGTTGGGAAGGAAGGATTCTGAGGTTTGGTCTCTTAGCCCATCCAAGGGGCAAGCAGTTTTCCTGTAGCTCTTCTTTTCACCAGTTTAGTTCTTCCTTTCTTCCCCCTTCTGCCCCGTTGTTTGTCTAACTTTAAAAGGTTTAAATTCCAAAAGAGATTTTTCTAAAAAAAATTGTATTGCAGGTTTTTCATGGAAAAGTCAACATTTTGGATTGTATCCAAAGGCATTCTTCCTTCTTCTTTGGGCCACAGTGTGTGTGCTTTGCAAAAGTGCCTCAAAGGATCTTGACCATATTACGTGGAAATGTTAGTTTGCTTAAAATATTTGGGGTTAATTCTTTGAGTTGTTTGGGGTGTCTTGGGTTCGTAATAAGGACTGTCGGGCGCTGGTGGAAGAGGTTTTGTTTTTTTATGTTTTAATAAGAAACCAAGCTTTAGAGAAATGAAAAAATATACAAGGGTGGGTTTTGTTATTCCCTCCCTTTGGGGATAAGGAAAGGTTTTTGTGGCAAACTTGCTTTTTCTTTTCGCTATTTTGTGGAGATTTGGCTTGAAATAAATAATATAATCTTCTGGAGGTTGAGAGATCCATGTATGAGAGCTTTTTTTTTTTTTAACAAGAAACCATGTATGAGAGCTTATTAGATTTAGTACCTCTCTATGGGGTCTGTTTCTAAGGTTTTTAGATAGGAGCCCCCTTCTCTAAGTGGGCCTCCTTTTATAGGGCTGGTTTTTATGTATTTCATTGTATATACTTTCAT